GGCTCCAAGATCCAAAGCTGGGGTAACTCTCAAGCATTAAGATAGTGTTAGCTGGGGCTGGGGATTTAGCTCAGTGGCATAAGCGCCTGCCTTGCAAGCAGGCAGTCGTGAGTTCGATTCCCGGTACTGATAAAAAGGAAAAAGACCAAAAAAAAAAAAAAGATAGTGTTAGCTGCATGAGGCCCTGGATTTGATCCCCAGCACTGAAAAAAAATGTATCTGCAATGGATTGTACCCCAATGCATAAAATAGGAGCCAGGAGAAGTGTAAATAAATTAAATGTCGGTAATTAAATAGATAATTTAGGTAAATTAAATAATGGAAAGTTTGACAAGGATCAGGATATTTAGTTTCGAAGAGTCCCCTACAAACTGCTCACTAACTCCAGAGGAGAAAGGGAGGCGCAGAGAGAGTGCTCAAGCGACCAGAGCAAACCTCATCAGTGACAGGCACCGTGATGCCACACACCCGTGATGGGATTCAGTGAGACTCACTGCACTTCTATGACAAGGATACACAACCTGCATCTTATCAGGGGGTGAGCAGTGGAACCCTGGCCTCCAGAGCTCCTGAGGATGTGACCTTATGTGGCATAACAACTTTACCAGTATGATTAGGGTTACAGACCTTGAGATGTGGAGATTATCCTGGATTATCTCCGGGATGGTCCTAGTCTAATCACATGAATCTTTAGGGAAACTTTCTCTAGCTGGCTCAGAGATGTGACCCGAAAGAAACTTCACTGGCTTTGGAGACAGAAGGGGGTGACCAGCCTGGCAATGGCTTTTAGTTTACAACCAGGGGCTTGGGATTTAGCTCAGTGGTTTAAGCACCCGCCTGGCAAGAGTGAGGTTGTGAGTTCAATTCCCGGTACAAAAAAAAGAAAAAAAAATCTACAAAGTTGACAACCAGTGAGAAAATAGGGATCTTGCAACCCAAAGGAATGGAACTTTTTTTTTGTCTTTTTCCCTTTTATTGGTACCAGGGATCGAATTCACGACTGCCTGCTTGCAAGGCAGACGCTTATGCTGCTGCCCCAGCCCCAAGGAATGGAATTTTGCTAACAACCAATTGAGCAGGAAGTCAATTGCTCTGGAGTTTCCAGGAGAGAAGGTGGCTGCCACACCTTGATTTTAGTCCAGTGTGATCTGGAAGGGACTTGGAAACTGAGATAATAACTTTGTATTAAGGTGCTGAATTTGTGGTAATCTTGTTACAACAGCAATGAAATATAAATGCAAAGAGATGACAACTGACAGACATAAATTTAGTGCTTCAGGGTTAGTTCTCAAGGGAGACCTCAAGAAGCCAGGCACACTGAGTGGTGCTTACCTGTGATCCCAGCTACCAAGAAGGCAGAAGCAAGGGGATTGCAAGTTTAAAGCCATGCTGGCTACCTTTAGAGAGAAATCTGTCTCAAAAGCAGGTGTGAGGATGTATACTGGTGGTAGAAGGCTTGCCTAGCACGTATGAGGCTCTATGAGGCTCTGGGTTTTAATCCTCTCCCCCCTCTACCACCAAAACCCCAAACTCCTCAAAATAAGAACAAACATAAGTAGAAAGATGGGCAAAAAATGAACACATATTTCACAAAAGAGACATGAAGGAACAACAAAAATATGAATAAACAAGGTGTATGGCACATGTATGTAATCCTAGAACTTGGAAAGCTGAGGTAGAAGGATCACCATGAGGTAAACACCAGCCTGGGCCACACTGTAAATTCAAGGCTAGCCTGAACTACAGAGGGCGATTCTGTCTCAAAAAACAAACAAAAAAAGAAAAAGAAAAAAGAAAGAAAGAAAAAAGATGACTAAGGGAGAAGACAGGAATCCATTCTGGTCAGTACATTAGCTAAAATGGATGCTCTCAGACTGTTGGGGATGAGGGAAGACACACACAGCAGGGGTCCACAGTATGCAGCCTTCAGGGCTAACTGGGAGAGCTTCTGCTTTGTAAGCAGAAGTTTTACTGGAATGCTGGCATGCCCACTTGTGCAAGGCTGTCTCCACAATGGCAGGATGTGAGTAGTTATGACAGAGACTGTATGGCCTGACCATCCAAAAATATGTACCATCTAACCCTTAGAAAAAGCTTGCCAACCTGTGATGTAAGCCAGGGGAACTTTTATGGGCACTCTGAAAAACACTGACTAAAAAGTCACAGGGACACAAGCTCTTGAATCTACAATTCCACATCTCAGTAATCACACTAGAGAAACTCTAACATGCAGACATTAAGGAGACAAGTCTGGGGGGATTTAGCTCAGCGGCATAAGCACCTGCCTTGCAAGCAGGCAGTCATGAGTTCGATCCCCGGTACCGATACAAAGGAAAAAGACAAAAAAAAAAAAAAAGGAGACAAGTCCAGCAATGCTCACTGCATCGCTGTTTATGGCAAACAACTGGAACAATGCAGGTGCCCTTGGTAGGAGAATGGGCTACTTTAACAATGGGAATCCAGCCGGGGGCACAAGCGCCTGCCTAGCAAGTGAAGCTGAGTTCATCTCCAGTACCAAAACAATGGGATTCATTTGCAGTGAGAACAAGTGATTCACAGCACACATGTGAAATACACAAGTAGTAATCAATCTTATATTTTTGTTTTTGTACTGGGGATGAAACTCATGACCTGGAGTTTTTCAGGCAGGCGCTTATGCTAATGAGCTAAATCCCCAGCCCCTGGTGAATCTTGTAAATGACATTGGGTAAGAGAGTTGCAGAAGAATATCTGAAATATGATTTCTTTATAATAAAAAAGTGCAGAAATGCTCTATCCTAATAGGCTACTGAATCAGACCTTAGCAACTTCACCAAACAGAATCCACGATAACAGCAGCCTACCAGATGGTCTGTCTCTCTTCCATGGGGGAGTAGGGAGAAGGGAATCAGGGACCAGTGGAGTGGCTCTGCCCCATCTGATCTGGGCTCTCTCTGGCTTGTTGCTCCATCCCTGCCCTGGGCCTCAAGACTCAAGATGGCTTCGTACTACCATGTCTGTGCTCCAAACTCCACAATGAAAGAAGAGACAGATCATGCTTCTATGGATTGTTTTCTTTATTCTAGGCACTGACACGAGCGTGCCTATTAGGAGACGGACCACATGAATATTAAGAAACAAATAGTAGCAGTCTTTCTATAATTATTTAGGGCTATATTCGATGTCAAAGGAAAGTAATGACAGGATCTGGACAGAGATGATCCCAGGATGGCAGTGAAGAGGGCAGGAAGAAGGCAGAATCGGGAGGGAACATAAAGGGAGTACCCCAACTCTGCTAACATCATGTTTTCAAAGATGATGTTGGTTTCATAGGTATTTATTGTTATTCATTAAAATATATTTAAATTTCACATTCTATCTGGTGTGTGTGATAGTTCTTTAAAAATTACATAATCAAAAGGTTACAGATTGGGCTGTGGATTTAGCTCAGCGGCATAAGCACGTGCCTTGCAAGCAGGCGGTCGTGAGTTCGATCCCCAGTACCGATAAAAATGAAAAAGACAAAAAAAAAAAAAAAAAAAGGTTACATTCACATAAAAAATAAATGAACACAAACAGGCATTTATTATTTTGGCTTTGTATTCAATTATTCCCCCCATCCCACTCCAGTACTGAGGACTGAACTCAAGGGCACGCTGCCACTGAGCTACATCTCCAGTCCCATTTATTTTGAGACAGTCCAAGTTGGCCTTGAACTTCTGATCCTCCCGCCTCAGTCTCCCAAGTAGCTGTGATTACAAGTATGGGTCGTCATGCCCGGCCTCATGCTTGCCAGACAGGCGCTTATGCAGCTGAGCTAAACCCCTGGCCCCCTTATATCACTCTTTATGGGGTCATATTTTCTTCTTGCTCTTCATTTGAGGGCGGGTCAGTGTCTCACTAAGGGACTGCCTGGTGCCTGAAGAAGCACCCTCCTGAGACCTGAACAGCTGCTGTGCCAAACATGGCCTTGCTTTCCTGATGGCCCTTCCCACACACAGTTCCAGCCCACTTGGACTTCCTTGCTTCCTGCGGAGACCTCTCCCGACCCCTGCAAGCTTCTATGTATTCTTTTTTTTTTTTTTTTTTTTTTGAGATGGGGTCTCGCTATGCAGTTCAGGCTGGCCTTGAGCTCACTTTGTAGCCCAGGCTGGACTAGAACTCGTAATGATCCTCCCACCTCAGCCTCCCGAGTGCTGGGATTACAGGCATGAGCCACCATGCCCGGCGTCTATGCATTCATTTGTCCTTCAAACCTCAGCCTAGAAGCCACCCCTTCTTAAAGCCTTCCCAGAAGAGGCCACATGAGTCTCTCCCTCTTGCTCTCTCGCTTTTCCTTTGCTCCTTGAGGCGTTTAGACTCCTTTCCCTGCTCTGGAGGCAGTGTCTTGCCAGCACCGGCAGCGCGGCGAGCCCCACGCACTCTCTTACAAGCTGTGTGTCCTTAGCTGAGTCGCCAAAGCCCCTAGTGCCTCGCGTCTCCTCTGTAAAGCCGAGGTGTCAATTTCTCTGCACAGATTGTTTTTAGTCCAGAGCCAGCACCCAGCCTCCTGCGCCCCGGCCACCAGGAACACCAAAGAAACCGTTCTAGGGGCTACAGGTCGACCAGGAATTTCCCATATCCTCTCTGGAAGGCGCGCGGCATCCCGCTTTCTCCTCCGCCCTTTCGGATTGAAGTCTCACGTAGCTGGCCTTCCTCCTCCCGCGCCAAGGAACCCGGCTCCGCCTCCCCGCAGGTGCACCATCTAGCCCCGCCTCTCCCTGCTCCAGGCCCCGCCCAGAGCCCGACCGCGCCCCCGCCAGGCTCTAGCAGACCTCCTTCTCTTTAGCGCATGTTGCAATAAGCCCCGCCCACATCCCCCGTCCCGTCCTAGCCCCGGCCAACCAACGCCTTATGCTTTTGCCTCTCATTGGCTACTGTCCATCCGAGCCTCGCCCCAGCACGGCAGGCCCCTCCCTGTTGGCGCTTTCTAGCCGTTTCTCTTGGGCTAGCTTCCCGCCGCGCCCCGCCCCCGAGTTCGTCACTTCCGGATAGGGGAGCCCGCGGAAGGCGGAAGTGTGTGAGTCGGTAGTGGCGAAAAGCAGTTGAGGTGTCACTAGAGTCGCCTACGGCCCTTGCGGCTCTGGTTTCGGAAGTTCGGAGGCGGTCACCAGAACGAGCGAAGGAGAATGACTGTGAGGCGGCTGCGCGGCCCGGCGGGATCTGGAGGCTGACCTGCCCCGCCGCCTGCTCCTGGGCCCGCTGCCCGCGCCGGCCATCAGGATGACCGCGGCCGCTGCCTCCAACTGGGGGCTGGTCACGAACGTCGTGAACAGCATAGTGGGGGTCAGCGTGCTCACCATGCCCTTTTGCTTCAAACAGGTGCGTCCGGGCCGCCTCGCCGGGGTCCTGCGGTCTGGAGGCGGGACAGGTGACGTCCGCGCGCTTGGCGCTCGGGGGTCTGCGCTCTGGGGGGCCGCACACAAGACCGTACCGGAGGGCAGAGGGAGCACAAGAGGGTTCAGTGGGATTTATTTCATCCTGCCTTTTTAAAACTCAGCTAACTTCACGGAAGCAATGGGGCTTTGGTTACAAGGTGATTAAAAAATTCACCAGCTCGGTCACTTGAGAGCTGTTTTGTATAGACATATTGTACATATTTGGTCTGTACTGTACGAATTTCACGCCAAATGAAAAATTCTTACGTGCAAAAAGTTTGGTTTCGTCTCACCATTGAATGCCACGCAAAAGAAAACAGCTGTGTCTGTGACTTCTGTTTAACTAATTAACAGGTGAACAGACACTCGGAGGCTGATGGAAAGATCAAACTGGGTAACTTCTTCCCTTAAGACTTTTAACAAGTGAACAAGGGGCTCCCCCCTGAGGGGAATCATGTTGTCAAGTGTGTGCTGCTGTGGCTTGCTGCGTGGCAGGGAGGAGCTGCGCACTGGACAGATCCTGGCAGTTGGACGTCAGGGCAAAGACCTGCAAGTTATGTCTATTGACGTCAGAGGTAGAGAATGAAATAAGGTGGGCTTTATTTTCTTTTTGCAGTATTGGGGATTGAACCCAGGGGTTTTGGACTGTATCCCCAACCTTGCCCCTCTTCCCCTTATTTTGAGATGATCTTGCTCAGTTGCCCAGGCTGGCTGCAGAGTTTTAACTTTCCTTTCTGAGGCTCCCAGAGTGCAGGGGTTACAGGCATACAGTACTGTACCCTCTTAGATGGACATTTTGGAACTGAAAATGGTAGTATTAGTAGTTTAATGTTAGGTTAATGCTTTTATATTTTTCATATTTTGGATCTTTTGGATAAAAATGTGAAAGATTATTTTTGATGTGGGAGTTTTCAAATCTCACAGGGTCCTGCATCAGGCCTGGACATAAAAGCATAGATGATGATGGTATGGGCCCCATCTAACATGGTTATATTGTAGGTAGGAGGATGGAGCTACAGGTCACTGATGCCCCTGGGAAAATACCTGTTGTGAATCGCAGTGCAGTGCCACCTCTGGGTATCTCTGGAATGCCTGTGTGTCCTGGGGTCCACAGCAACTTTCCCAGTAGCAGAACTGTGTCCTGGGATGTGGAATGGTGACTGGTTCCTCATCTGCCATCTGATGCTGCCATCCTTGATACCAGCCTTCGAAGTGGTTGGAGCGCTAATTGTGACCCCTGTGTAGGGTCCAAGTGATCTAGCTGTCTTCATATTTGGAATACCTAGTGGCCATAGGCCCCTGCCAGAGTATGTACAGGTGAGGCAGGCAGAGACTCGCCCCAGAGGAGCTTGAAGCTGAGCAGGCAAGTATAAGAAGCAGTCACTCTGTGTCCTGAGGGCCTGCCAGCTGCTGCTGTCTCTGAACTCAGCATCTCCTGCAGGGGAGTCTTCTTGGGCCAGACCACAGTGTGAGGCCAGCAGTCCATTTGGGGATGTATGTGGATGTGTGTTTAGTGTTTGGCAGCCATGTCATTAAAATTTTTTGTTGGTTTAGTGTTGGGATCTTTTTGTTGTTTCAGTAATTCTGGCACTGTTGAAAATACTTGAATGTCTTAGTAAAGTTTAACGTATAGAAAACTGTACACACTTTAGGTGTACTTTTTTTGTTTGTTTTTGTTTTTGAGACAGGGTTTTTGCTATGTAGCCTAGGCTGGTCTTGTCCTGAACTCACCATGGAGCTCAGGCTGGCCTTGAACTCAAGGAAATTCCTTGCTTCAGCTCTCCTAAGTGCTGGGATTACAGGTGTGTGCAGAGTACACCTGGTGGGTGTACTCTTGTTGAATTTTCATAAAATGAACAAACAAATGTGACTCACTCCACATCAAAGAACTCCACAGTTCCAGCCCCTCTGCCAATCACTCCTGCTACCACTTTGGTACAAGACATTAATGTTGCATGTTTTCTTTTTTTTTTTTTTTTTTTTTCCTTTTCTCTCTTTTTAAAAATTTTTTGGAGACAAGGTCTCCCTTTGTTGTTCAAGCCTGGAACTCTTGGCAATCCTACCTTAGCTTCCTGAGTGCTGAGTTTACAGCATGTGGTACCATGCATGTATTGGCTTTTTTGTTTGTTTGTTTGTTTTGTTTGAAACAGGGACTTACTAGCTAGTCCAGGTTGGCCCTGGCTAGTGTCAAACTCACGGCAAGCCTCATGCCTCAGCATCCCAAAATGCTGGGATATAGGTGTGTGGCACCACGCCCAGCTAATGTTATCTGTTTTCAAATTGAGGTAGAATTATAGCGATTGTACATATCAGCATCAGGCCAGTACCCCACTGAATGGCTCTACCACGTATACTTTTTGTGAGACATCTAGTGTTTCCTGGTTGAAGCTCTTACTATGTGCAGAGAGCTGTTGTGTGTACGGTTGCCCAGGCTTTGGTGAATGTTGACTGTGTGTCTGTTAGGTAGAATGACAGAGGCCTGGGGTGTATGTGTGTTCAGTTCTATTATATGCTGCCCAGAGTTTCCGGCAAATGTACCGGTGTGTGCTCCTGCCAGTGAGTACTTCAGGGCCAAATTCTCCACATGTCATCAAGTCCTGCAGAGAAGTCAGAGTCATTGTGGTGCAATCTTGGTGAGTATGTGCATCCTCGTGGGTGTATTTGTGTGTGTGATACCAGGGATTGAACACTGGGTGCTCAATCGTTGAGCTATAGCCTCATCTCTTTTTACCATTTTATTTTGATTCAGAGTCTTGCTAAATTGCCTAGGCCGCTCTTAAACTTGCATTTTTCTTGACTCAGCCTCTGAAGTAGCTGGGATTACAGATACCACTACTTGAGGCTTGTTTGTATGGTTTTTTTTAATTGATAGAATTTATGTATGTATTTATTTATTAGCAGTTTCAGATTTATGATTAACAGGGTAGAAAGCCCAAGGAGTTTGGCTAGACCTCCTTCCATCCTTTTGGTCTCCCTTGTTAATATCTTGCACTAGTATAGTGGTGCTGAAGTTTTTAATGTCAAGATTTTTTTTTAAAGGAGTAAAACAGAACAGTAAAAGGAAATAGAACAAAACAGTGAAACAGTGATAGGATTGTAGGATATCCACAATCATTACTATATTTACATATTGTTACCCTCTAAATGTTGCTCAGACTAGCTGGCCCCAGGCTTGCAGAATCCATCAAACAACAGAAATGTCAGGTTGTTTCTCTATTTCAGTTATTATCATCATCTCAGCCTGTGTTGGGTCTGGTTGCTTACGGGTAGGGAGGAGGCGGGAGGCAGAGGCTTCTCCCCAGCTGGTAGGGTCTCTGTGGGTGCACAGTGGGTGGGCGCTGCATGGATTCTTTGCTGCTTCTCCCGGGCTGGTAGGACTTCCACCGGAGCGTGGGAGTGGGCGCTGCACTCAATGTCAAAGTTATTGGAAGATAGTTCACATACAGTGAGATTCCCTGGATTTTGATGTATGTGTACAGTCATGTGGCTGCCGTGGTCAAAAAAGTTACTCTGTCCATTTGTTGTCAACTGCCCTCCTACCATACTGTCTGCCTTTCTGGCTCATCCTGCAAATGGCATCACAGTTCACTGCCCTTGAGTTGGCTTCTTCCTCTTAGCATGGTGCATTTGAGAAGCATTCATATCCATGCGGAGCTGGTGGTTCCCTTCTTACTGCTGAGTGATACTCCTTTGCACAGAGGGGCCATGCTTTGTCCAGTTACCTGCTCAGGGCCGTTCTGGTGCTGTTCAGCTTTTGGATTATGGTTAAACCTGCTGTAAAGTATGGGTTTGTGCACGGCCATGTTTTGCCTCTCTGGGGGAATACGTAGGAGTCACCTGGTAAGTGTCTGTTTAGCCTAAAGAAAAGTACACATACCATTTCTAATCTCTTCCTTCCAGAAGGTATTTCCCACGTACAGGTGACCCAGATGGCTACAAGGTGGGGTACATGGGGTTTATGCAGAAGCAGGGGGCTAGCTTTGGCAGCACTCAGCTACCCAGCAAGACTTGAGAAAGAGGCTGGGATGTATTTGGGATCCACATGCAGGGTTCCTGCCACTGCTGCAGGGAAACAGCTCTCTCAGGGCTCAGAGGGGTTGCCCACAGGAATAGACATTAGTGGAGGGGGGACTCTGGTACATATGGAAGTGGACAGAGGATACTTGTGTGAGCCCCAGAGCTATTGATATGTGAGGTTAAGATGTGGGGACTGTCTGGTTTTGTGAACAGTGTTTCCTGTGTCCTCCCTGCAGTGTGGCATTGTCCTGGGTGCCCTGCTGTTGGTCTTCTGCTCCTGGATGACGCACCAGTCATGCATGTTCCTGGTAAAGTCTGCCAGCCTGAGCAAACGGAGAACCTACGCTGGCCTGGGTGAGAACATGTGGGTGCTTGGGTGCTAGTATCTATCTTCGCAAGCAAAGGGGTGCTCTAGTTCTCAGACCTTGGCCACTTAAGTCCTTTTGCCTATTTATTTATTTATTTATTTATTTTTTACTTTATTTTAATGAGGTTTTTGGACAGTAGTGTTTTTTCTTATTTTAAGATATAAGGCAATTTTTAAAAAAACTGCCTCATAATCGATAGAGAAGAGTATGAGGTGTCCCCCTACCTCTTGAGCAGGCACACACACATCTCCCCCTCTAGGTCTGCCGTAGAAGGTGCACTCATTGTGGCTTGTTGGCTGTGTAAGTCTCCAGGTACTGGGAAGCCTTCTTTGGAGCTGGCGAGGGGAATCCTGCTGAGTTCCCCACTTGCAGTTCCCAGGAGGAAATGTAGTCTGATCAGGCTGTGCTGGATTAAATAACCCATCTCCCTGAAGACCTTGGCTTCCTCCTGGGGTTGCTGGGTTGATGTTTGTTTCCATTAGTTTAGCCAGAGAGAGCTGGTCATAGCAGTTTGGAATCTTTTCTAGGTAGTTTGGTTCAAGGACACCATCCTTCACTTTCTTGTCTGCCACTCTCCAGCTGGTGTGTGAAGCCTAATTCTTCCTGCCTCGGCCTGGCTCTGAGCCTTCCAACTCTGCAGTTCATACTAGGAACATTTGGTGTGGGTGTTGAAATGCCACTTTCCTGTGCTCAGGGCTTGGTTTAGTGAACATTCCTGGCCTGCAGTGAAGCTCCTGATTGTCAGGCCAGTGTGTGACCAGGATGCTGGGCTCTGCATGCAGAGGGCTGACCTGGCTCTCTTATGGATGAGGGGAGGTGTGAGAGGAAATGGACCACAGAATTCTGGGGCCAAACAAAATAGACGTCTCTGGAGAGGCGTACAAGGGCTTTTGCAGCTCATCCTTTTGCCTCCTGCAGGTCTGCTGTGCACTGGCACCAGGGCATTGGTGCTCATTCCTGGCTTCAGAAGCAAGGAGTGCCTTCCTTTTCTTCTGCTCTGAGGGGAGTGGTGCTGTCAGTCTTACTATTGGCACTTGAGGAAGTGAGGTCTGCCAGTTAACTTGACCCAGATGAGGTGATCTAATTCTATTGGGGTTGAGGTAGGCCCACTGGAACCCATGATGAGGTGTTTAGGTGAGCCCCTCTCCTGGTTTCCAGATTGACTCTTTGCTGCTGAGGTCTCATCAGTTGTAGCAGAGGCTACAACTGAAGTATGCACTGTATCCTGAAAGAGGTTTTGGAACCTTCTGTTGGAGCAGCTGTGGTTTCTGATTCTGATAGTAGGCTGGCTGATTGTTCTTCGAAAGTCCTTGAGAAGTCAAACCGGTTTGGCTAGATGTGAAAAGACTGAAAGAAAGTTGCCCAATGAACACCCCTGTGCACTGGCTGCTGGGGCTGCAACTTTCACTGAATGGGGTAACTACTGGAAATAAAAGATTCCCGAATACCAGTGGTCTCAGGTTGTGCATTTGATCCCAAACAAGATGGCTCACATGTGCCAGCTCCCAGATGGAGCCTCTGGGCTACCATCTGCTTAGCACCAGATTCCCCTTGTCCCCAGAGGTGGGTAGACGCTCTGCATGGGCACCACACATGCCAGCAGTTAGAGAGAGGTAGAGGAGGATCTCCTGGTGCTGCTCCTGTGGAGGTGGCCCTTCAGGCAGTGTGGTCCTTCTGTGGCTTGATGCAGACGTCCTCTGGGAGAGCCTTTACCTCTTCCTCTGTCCTCCCCTGGGTGAAGATCTCACAGGCTTCTGTGGCAGGGCCTGGACAGAGATGTCCTTGATGTGCCCTGCTTGCATTTGCAGATATGGGGAACACCTTGTTGGCCAGGGCAGGGGTTTTGGGCAGCGTCTGGTGAGATGGGCAGATGGCCTTTATCTGGAACTGGAGACTAGAAGAAGGGGAAGGAAATCCAGATGCTGCAGATGTGTCTTCTAGTAGCCCACTCACTTGTGCATATTGCATGGGAGAGTTGATGCTGACCCCCCCGACACAGGTTTGCAGGTTTTCGTCCTGACGTTTGGCAGTGTGGCAGACTCAGGAATTGCCCAGATGTGGCCCATTGCTCCAGGCATTGGGGATGATTTTTGCTGGTGTGGAGAGGAATACAGGTTGGAGTTTTATTGAGATTGTGCATTTTTTTTTTTTTTTTAAATTGGTACCAGGGATCGAACTCACGACTGCCTGCTTAAAGGCAGATGCTTATGCCGCTGAGCTAAATCCCCAGCCCCTCACATGTTTCTTTTGTTTGCTTTTGCTCCCCTGGTTGTTCTGTGGTTTTTGCCTCCTCTTCCCTGTCCCACTCTGGGTGGCCCTCTCTATACTTTGTTCCACTTCAAAAGCTGGGCTGGAAACAGTAATCCCAGCTGCAGGAAGCATTTGGTACCAACATAGAGCATTGCCAGCATGTGTCACCTTGGTTTCACACAACCAGTCATTGTGTTGCTGGCTCTTCCTCTGCCTGGGCAGTGTCTGCATGGCCATAGTATGGAATGGATTTCCTCTCTGCTTGTCCTTGGGGGTGACCTGTGCATGTGCTATTGGCTTAGCACACAAGCTGGGTTTGTTACTGCCTTATTTGCAGCTGTTTATTATGCACCTGCAGTATACTGATGGGGCTATGCCCCCAGAGACCTCAGGGCCACACCTCCTCTGTCTGCAGGAGCAGCTTCTTTGGTCACTGGCTCCCCCTCCCTGCCTCTTAGGTGTCTTCCTATCTTGATCAGTACCCCTTCTCTGCCTTGTATGTGCCCTTAACTTGAGCAGCACCTCCCCTTCTTTTGCTGCAGCTGGGTGTTGCAGACAGGTGGAATGGGAATCGGCTTTCTTCTGGCTCTGGATGGAGAACGAGAAGGAATGTGGGCAAGGACATGTCTGTGTATCCTGAGGACACTACTTGAGGTGGGGGTGGCCCAGGGGAGGAGAAGGGGGACAGGGGGAGGCTGCAGTGACAGAGCCTGATCTTGGCGCAGCTGCCACTTAGAAGGTTCTGGGAACCTGAGGAGACAGCCACTTCCTACTTGATCTGACCTCCTGACAGCCTTCCACTTTCCTGTGCCTGGGTCACAGAGGGATCCCAGTACTTCCAGGCCCAGCACTCCAGGGTTTGGAGCATGCTGTAGGATGTTCCTTCCTTCCTTTTGGAGAGTAAAGGAATGGAAAGGGGTAGGCATTCAGGATCCACATGGGGATATTTTGTTGTGCCAGGTGTGCTGGTGTTTACATCTGAATGGCCTCTGTGGTGGCAATATGGTCTCTGGCTAGGCCCCCTGGAGTTCTTAGTTTTTAAAAATTCCAGTGTAGATCTTGATCCATACTCAGGATTTTGTGTAGGGACCCTGCTTGGGTTTCACTTTGTTAGATGCACTTTATGGATGCCAGGCTCCTTTACTGGTGACCCACGTCCAGGAAAGGCATTGTGACTCCTCCAGGCTGAATCTTTCACTGCTCCAAGGCCCTTGGGCCCTTGACAACTGTGCTTCCTCCTCAGTAAGCTGGAAGTAACAGGGAGTGTGTGTGATCGTTCATGCCCAGCTGGCTGTGTTTCCTGCTTACACCCGCTCGGAGGGCCTCTGGCCTTGTGCAGAAGGAGAAAACTAGGGCCAGGGAGCTCCCAGTGAGCCTGGAGCCACCCTGTCATGTGCTTCTGTTCAGAGACCAGAACTTTGTTTTGTCCTCATTGTACTAGACTAAGGAAATGCTGAGTGGGGGTTCGCTGCTAAGGTCCTGGGAGGGATTTTGGCAAGGCAGGAATTTCTCATCTACTGGAAATACTTCCTGTGTCCAGAAAGGGAAGGTAGAGGCTCCTTTTGTAGCACAATGCCCTGTGCTGTGGCGATACACACTGCTCGTCAGCAAAGCCTCTGGATATCCTCCCTGGGCACTGGTGAGCCCCAGAGCTCCTATCCCTTCCCTCCCCAACTGCCACACTTTACCAGGATTCTGTTTTCTTCTGTAAATCATACCCTGAGAGGGCCAGGGATGTAGCTCAGTAGTGCAACGCTTGCCTGGTAAGCGCAAGGACCTGAGTTCAATTCCTGGTATCAAAATAGAAAGAAAAAAAAAGAGACCCCCCACCCCCAGTCATGCCCAAAGGGTGAAATAAAAGCTCCTGCAGTGTCCCTGTGGTGCAGGCTGCAAAGATTGGGATCCCCACCCCCACCCCTCAGTGCTAGGGCCCTGGGTGGGACCGCTTTGCCTGCCTGGTACTGTTCTAGAAAGGTCTCATCGTGATCATCATGTGTGGGGAGCTGCCATTTTGCAAGGAACCCCCCTAAATATCAGATGAAAAGAACAATTTGCCTTGGATCTCCCTCGTTTTATCCTTATTGCAGTAGTTTGGATTGTGGAAGGTAAATCCAAAAATGCTCAAGGGGCAGAATCCCCGGGCCAGTGGATCTTCATCAAGTTTCCTTTTGCAGCTTTACTCAGTGCGTTTTTGCTGATGTGTCTCTCACATGGTAGGACTGAGTGCCTATTCTCTTTACCTTGCCCTAGCATTCCATGCCTATGGAAAAGCCGGGAAGATGCTGGTGGAGACCAGGTAAGGGCTGCAGCCTGCTTCTGTGTCCCCTGAGCTGCAGAGCTGAGAGCAGTTAGGACACATTGGGAAATGAGTAACAAATTTCACTTGTGGATTGGTTTGTAGACAGAGTATGTTTCTGAAGAGTTACCTACAAAATAGTTGAAAGTCCAGTTTTATGGTACCCTTCAAGTGATTGTTGTCAAAATTGAAAGCTTTATTTAAATATTACCAAGAAGTACTTAAAAATGGGCAACCCGGGGAACATAGCAAAATCGCTCTCCCTCTGTTGTAATTAATCTCTTAATGCTGTTCCTTAAATGGTACCCCCAATACTGCTGCCTACAATTGGTATTAAACTGAAAATGCTACATTTTTCTTCCTTTGGAATAAAATTTTATGAAATGAAAGATTGCTGGGAAATTATACTTTTAGGCTTCTAAATGAGCAAATCATAAACTTGAAAGAAAGCCTTTTTTGGAAGCAGTTGATTTTAACTTGTGTAATGGCATGGTGCATTTTTGTTAACCTAAAAGAACTTAGGGAATCTCCCATGGAGAAAAACTATAGTACCACACAGCAAAGAGCTTGGTGTTGTTCACTATTCACTCTAAGCCCAGTAGAGTTCATCGCAAAACGTGTCTGGGTCCGTGGCCCTGGGTGTCTTAGATTACAGCTCTCTTGCTGTGGGTAGGCTGTGGGCATTCATGCACAGTCCAGGGACTGGGCCTGGTCCTCAGTGTCCTTTGGGCCTGTAGATGCCTGGGCCCAGTTCTTTGCATGGGCCTAGGTTTGACTGTCACAGGGCTGCACACTCTTTGAAAAACACCATTTGAAACCTACAGTTTCCTTCTTTTACAGCATGATTGGGCTGATGCTGGGAACCTGCATTGCTTTCTATGTCGTGATTGGTGATCTGGGGTCCAACTTCTTTGCACGGCTCTTTGGGTTTCAGGTAAGGACTTCACAGTGAGAGTGGACCAGAATTTTTGGACCAGAATTTCAAGACTCCCATCCTTCTTGAAGCAGGGTCAGCTTTCATTCAGTAGAGAAGTACCTTGTGGTGGGTTCCTTTGAGTCCCCGCCTGTCCCTGTCCTGTCAGTGCTGAGTGTGCAGGGAAGGCCCAAGGCAACACAGCTCTCCACTGCTGCCCTCTCTCTCCCTGTATAAAGGGGGTACTGACTTTTTTCTCTGGCTGGCCTTACACTGGGGCTGGGCTGGACCCTGCAGAGTCAGAAGTGGTCAGAGGCCTCCAGACAGCTTCAGGAGCGCGTGTGTTCACCTCTACCCTTCTGCTCTTGATGCCATGGGGCTTGTGGTGCTCCTTGTCCAGCAGCCACACAGACAAACCCCGCTGGTGAGTGAAGTCAGCACTGCAGATCTCTGGGGACTCTTCCTTTGCAGGTGAGTGGCACCTTCCGCATGTTCCTGCTCTTTGGGGTGTCCCTGTGCATTGTGCTCCCGCTCAGTCTGCAGAGGAACATGATGGCCTCCATCCAGTCCTTCAGTGCCATGGCCCTCATCTTCTACACTGTCTTCATGTTTGTGGTGAGCCCCATGCATTCAGTGGGAGGGGGTCTTGCTTAGCCTCCGGCTGCCTTTAGGGAGTGACAGAGAAGCGGCTCTGAGCCTGGCAAGTGTTTGAATTAATGGAACGTGCTGTGAAGCCCGGTGCGTGTCCTGGCCAGTGAGCACTTAGGGACATGTGCAGTTAGACAGCAGAAGGTGCAAGGAGCTTGGGGTAGGAGGGGCTCTGGGAAATACAGATTTAGTGTCTGCATGTTTTGCAGAAAGACCTTCCTGGGGAGTTTGTGACCCAGAGCAGACACCAGTGTTTTGTTGCATGTGGCAAGTTGTTGTTTTTCTAAATGAGAGTTGGTAGTAAGATAAACTAGAAGATCAAGTACAGAGTTGACAGAGGACATGAGGGTCTCACAGAGATCAGGGCTCTGGCTGCCTTGTCAGTCCCCCTGCACCCACCCACCCAATATGAAGGCCAGAGACCACCCTTCTTGGGGGCATCTTTGCAAGAGACCTGCTGTGGAGTGGGCTGTGGGTTACCGGCATTTCTCTACTCTCTGCAAAGACCAGCCAGGTGACAGTTTCTTACTCTTGGATAGCTGTGTCTTCAGTAGGTTGAGCTCTTGAAAGACGTTTGTGGCACAGTCCAGGACCAGGAAAGGGCCAGCCCCGCTGGGCTGGGTCCAGGGAGTGAACTCTATGCTTCTGTCTGTGCTGAGTAGCCACGCACAGGGAGAGGGTGTGGTGCATGCAGGAAATCCTCTGCACCTGGGCATACCCCATGCCTATTGCATGGACTGGAATACTCTAGGTCTCCCGCAGGGAGCCCTTCAAGGTGGGTGTATCCCCTCACCCCTCTAGGCAGCCCAGGCTGTGTCTGCAGGGCTCAGTGGGCAGCACTGTGGGCTCAAGAACCAAGGGTCTCCCGACCTGTCCCCAGCATGGCGCCTGGCAGCAGAAGCACGGCTGCCTCCTGACCTGTGCTCTGCTCTCTCCTGGTGCAGATCGTGCTGTCCTCCCTCAAGCATGGCCTCTTCAGTGGGCAGTGGCTGCAGCGGGTCAGCTATGTGCGCTGGGAGGGTGTGTTCCGTTGCATCCCCATCTTCGGCATGTCCTTCGCCTGCCAGTCGTAAGTGCCGCTGCGCTGAGGTGGGCTGGAGGTTGGGGAGGGAATGTGGATCCTCTGTTTTTCTTCTCTGTGTCCCTTTAGTCACTCATTGCTGGCTGCTGAGGAGCAGTGTCACATTCCGGTGTGACCTGTACCCTCCGGGAGGGAGTTCTGTGTGAACTAGAGAGAAACTGCTGGGTTTGCTGGCAGAAGCACCTTGTTTGCCAGATCTGTGAGAAGAGAGTTGGCTGTGGGTGTGCGGAGTCCCAAGTGTTTTGCCAGAACTTAGCTGTTCTGTGAATATTTGAAAAGAAATTATACAAACATTGACTTCAGGCTACCGCCGGGACGTCTCCGAGATCCGTGTGCACATGGGTGGGCAGCAGACGAGCTCCCTGGTACTCAGGGCTCTGTGACTGCAGAGCCAGTTGTTGCTCCATGATCCGAGCAGCAGTACCTATTCCTCCAGGGTGGCAGGAGCTAGTGATTCGTGCCTGGACGCGAGCAGGAACCAGCTGAAAATTGAGGTATAAATCTGGCATGGACCAAAAAAGACCATCGGCATGGGGGAGGCTGGCAGAGTGGTCCCCCCATAGTGTTGGTGCACATGTATTGTGCCAATCGTAAACTAATGTGACAGATAAAATTTGCTCATACTGCTGTGTTTACACCCACATTCGAGATCCAAATCGTCATTTCCCACTTACCGTCTCTCTTGGCAGCTCTGTTTCTACCAGAACATGCTCCAGCCTTGCTGTTTAATGTCCCCATTATCATCAGTGACAGAAGTTACATTCTTGTGCTGTGTACCTAGTTACCAATTGCCCTTTCTGTCTGCATGTTTGCTTTTTAAAAAATAGCCTGTGATCGGCCTCCAGTGGTGGCCACGTAGCAGCCATCACGCATCTGTTGGGTTTCTCAGGGAAAATTGTAGGTTCCTGGAAGGCAGGAGCACACAGCTCGAGAAGGGTCACTTCATTCTCCCAGGAGAGCCTGGGGCTGCAGACTGGCCTACTTCACCATGACAGCTGCATGGGTGTCTGCTCTGTGCACAGCAGAGGGCTTGTCCTCCTGTGGCAGCCTGCATCAGATGGCCTGTCCCACTGGGGCCACAGCCAGACCCCTGCGTCGTGACTGGCGTGGTTGTTGCCATCACTGCCCCTCTGGTCATGCTTTCTAATAAGAGTCTGGGTTACAGGACTGTCACTTTGAGCCCAGGGAAGCAGTAGATAGCCACTGAGTGTGTCAGGTCCAGGCAGGGCAGGCTCCACCTAGAGACCTGGATCATGTTCAAGCAATGGGGGTCAGTGCATAGCGCCCTAAGAGCTGCATGCAGTCACACAGACTGCCCCGCAGCATGGGAGGTCTGGGGATGCCATTGGGTGTGGGCGGTGCTCATGGCTGTGGCACCCTCCCAAGTGGCATAGGGAGATCCTGCATGGGTATCCAGGAGGTCTTTGGGCTCTGCCTTCCTTCTTTCTGGGGTCCAATCCAGGGATCCCTGTGGCACACAGTCAGGATTGGAGGGGAGCCTGGCTTGACCTTTCCATCCTTCCTGTCCCCCTGTGCCCAGACTTGGCCTCCCCCACAGCCTCCACAGCTTCCCAGACAGTGACTGTCATAGGTCTGCGTTTCCTGGGGGCAGGCACATGTCATGGGACTCTGGTGTGGACTCTGCACGCTGGGCTTCCTGACACAAATGCAGCTGTGGCCAAGGCCTAGTCAGTACAGGAAAGTTGGTGCTGGGGCACAATCTTCTTTCAGGGTGCCAGGCTGGGGCTCAGGGTGACTCACAGTAACTTCCCTCTGGGTCCTCTGCTGTATCCCCGGGGCTGCCTGTTCCCTCCTAATCTGACTGCTGTGGTGACCCTTATGCTGGGAGTAGCCCGAGGGACAGTGTGCTATGATCCTGGAGTGAACAGGAATGATGCCTTTGCACAAGGGCGTGTCCACTTTTTGATCAAGTTGGAGCATTCTCTCTGTTTTACTTTTTCACTTCTTAAAGGCAGTTTTGGGATTTAGCTTTCCAGACCTTTGTGCCTGCCCATCTGTTGCCTGCTGATTGCCTGCATCCTGTCCCCTCCCCATTCCCTGCATTGGTCTCATCTCTGTGCCTCTGAACTCAGCCTGGAAGGCCACAGGCCCCAGGGACCACTGCAGAGCTGTCACCAGAATCCCTCCCTCTCTAGTTTCACTCTGCAACTGTTACTCTTGCCTGAACTGCAGAGCAGCTCCCCACTTACAATGTCCCCATCCCTCACAGGTACCCAGGTCCTGCTTCTTTCCTCAGCTGTCACCCTTGTCGTAAGACAAGCTCTCTGATCTGAGCCTCGTGGAGCTGTCATTTTCCTGTTCAGCTGGTGACTGGGGCCCCTCCCACCCACCCAGCAGCACCACTCTCCTGGCACTGGGCCTGGGACGGAAGCCAGTTCTCTCATCCCCAGGCGCAGGCGAGAGGGTGCGAGTTGGGAAACATGCCTGGCTCGCTCCTCATCTGTGCCCAACTCCACTTGCTCCTGTGCCGAGGTGTGGCTCTGGGTTGGGCCGTGGCTGGTCAGGGCTGTTTGTTTAACTTCTCCTTTGACTGCTAGGAGCGCAGCTGCTCCCATAACACGGCTGCAAGGTCAGTGCTTCCTGCAGTGGTCATGCAGTTCCTGTCGGTTGGCCTCTGGCTCTAGCATTTGGGAGATGTCTTTGTAGGTGTGTTTTGGGGCCACAGTGGGACCCTCACAGCACTGCCAGCTGTAGTGTCATGAAACCTGTCAGTGTTGGCACTGTGAGTTGTGATGTGCGGTGGATGTCACCTGAAGGAAGAGTGCGGGCTTGGCTGGGTGGCAGGAGAGGTCTCAGGAGCTGCCGTGCAGTCAGCTGGTGAAGCTCCCTGGAGTTTGCTTTGTGAATTGCTTGTCTTTCCACAGCCAGGTCCTGCCTACCTACGACAGCCTGGACGAGCCGTCTGTGAAGACCATGAGTTCCATATTCGCCTCCTCCCTCAATGTGGTTACTACCTTCTACGTCACGGTAGGAGCCCTTTCATGCCCTGTCTTCTCCCAGGTTCTGTCTGCACAGGTGCCACCTCCTTCTCCCTTGCCATCTCAGTGTCTGGGGCTCACTGCATGAACAGTGACCGTGCAGCCCCACTCCTCAGCCCCAGTCACCCAGGGCCTGACGCTGTGAGCCTCCTTCCCCGGCTTGTGTAGGAGCTCAGGGAGTTGTTGGGATTTTGGTAGATATTTTTCCTTCTAGTCTTTTTTCTGCTCCTATTTGTTGTATTTAAGTAAAACTGAAAATGCTGAAGTCACAGCTTGTTTTCTTACTTTTGTGCCTCAGCACTCCTGTAGGTTATTGTGAATGGCTCCTGAGAGTGTTGTCCACATCTGTCTTCTTCCACCAGGACCATGCCTTACTTGATGGCTCCTCGGTTGAGTTTTGAAGCCAGGCTAAGAGTATCCCTCTGAAGGTTGGGCAGGTGTCACCCTGGCACCTTCCTTTCTTCATAGACAGCTCTGGTTCTTTTGAAAAGTTGTATTGGGCCCCTCCCTTATTTGTAGCCTTTTCCCTCTGGTTATCAAGAGAGAGGGCTATGTGAATGTTCAGTTGAATGATGTTTTCGGCCTCCAAGACTCTCTTGCTCCCCCGACCGCCTCAAAGGTGCCATGCTTACCATGTTGCTCTTTTTCTCCTGCAGGTGGGGTTTTGTGGTTACGTCAGTTTCACAGAGGCCACGGCAGGCAATGTATTGATGCATTTCCCCTCCAACCTGGTGACAGAGATGATCCGCGTGGGCTTCATGATGTCAGTGGCCGTGGGCTTCCCAATGATGATCCTGCCCTGCAGGCAGGCTTTGAACACGCTGCTTTTCGAGCAGCAGGTATGGTTCTTGAGGTGTCCTGGGGTGGGGGCGAGGGAGTTCTCGGTTTTTTTCTGGGCAGCAGTAACAGGAGCTTTTCCTAATTGAAGATAAACAAAATTCAAACGAAGTACAGTCTCTTCATAGAGATTTTTTTTTAGAGTTTTCTGCCTGGGATGGAACCCAGGTCTCAGTACATGCCAAGCACAGATCTGTCACTGAACTACATCCCTAGACCCCAGCTGGAAAACTTTAAACTGGCCGTAGGAAAAGAGCACCGGAGACAGCCGGTTCGTTAGTGTGCGCACAGCTCAGGCTGTCTCTGTGCCTCCTGGCGTTGATGCCGTCACTCCCTCGCTCAGAAGCAGGAAACAGGTCTGTCTCAAGAGCAGTCCTGCGCACCTTGGTGGCGAGGTGGGGCACATGGGCACTGGGCTGCGTGGCCAGTGCTGGCAGGAGTTGTGAGGTGGCCTTGCTGAACTGGTTTTTTTTTAAACTTTGATTTAACTTAAAAATCTAAATAATTTAACCAAAGGATTTTGAGCCATAACTGTTTGGCCAGAAATTTTTTGATACAAGGGTTGAAACCAAAAGGCTGCCTGTGTTCCCTGCCTCTTACTGAGTTAATCACCAAAGATGCACTTGTGTCCAAGTCATGGAGCCCGAGCCCTCAGTGGGACATCATGGGAACCCTGTCTGCTCTTCAGGGTGCAACCACTCTGAGCCAAGCAAGGTGGTCTGTGCCAGCTCATGGCTTTTCTCTTTGGTGGCTTCTTCTGCTCAATGCCCAAAGTCTTTCAGCCCAGTCTTTCTCTTCAGCAGGGACTTCTGGTAGCCAGGGACATGAGGTCATTTCAACTGTTTGTGGCATGGGAGATTTAGTGGTCTTGCAGAGTCCAACAGTAGATTCTGGTCTGCTTCCACTAGCGTTCAGGTGGCTGGGTGCCAAAGGAAGCAAGTCTTAGGTCTCTGTCCCTGGAGAAAGGCAAGGCCAGCTCGCCTGGCTGTGGGTCGTCCCAGTCTTGCCTTGCTCCAGTTTGACTCGTGGTTGCTGGGGTCTGTCTCTCATTGGAGCAGATGTATACTTTGTATTGGACCAGCACTGGTTCTGTTGCATATGATATATTTTTGTAAAGTTAAAAAACCAAAAATGGCATGAGAGGATGTATGAAGTCAGAACATTTGGCTGCACCCTACCCTGCCCCTTGACCTGGCGTGTTACAGAGACACTGTGGCACCATGTCATTCTGGCTTCCAGTCTTCAGTGGCTATGCCTCTGGGTATCTGTGGCAACCCTGTATGGCACCTCTAATTGCTGCTGGTTCCCTTCGGGAGTGGGCGCTACTTTCTGGCTCTGTCTGTGACTTCTCTGGAGAGCTGCCTCAGGATTGTCTCCATGCCCACGGTTCCCCTGCTTCCCTTTCTAAACTGTCATTCAGAGTTGATAGAAATTCCGGTTCCAGCTTCCTTGGTCCATCTGGTGTAAGAGTTTATTCTAAAAATTGGGGACTTCAGACTTCTGGGTTGGAAGATTCTGTGGTTTTTCCTAAGCAAGGGATGATGGTCATGGTCATCCTGCCTGTGTGTTAGCTTCTGTTGTCCTCATCATGACAAGGAGCTGCTTCTGTTAGTAGAGGGGAAACTAAGGCACTGAGCCAGTGAATGGAGGGGCACGGTCTATCTGGCCGACCAGGGCTCCGGGGCAGGTGGAGTCTCAGGGTAAGTGCCTCTGCGCATGCCCTTCCACCGGCATAAGCCCTCCTGCGTCCCTCTGGGGAATGTGAGCAGGGGTGTGTGGCTGTGCTGCCTTGCACCCTGCTTCCCTTTCCTTCTTCCTGGACTTAGAAGCTGTTAATTGCTTGTCATGTGCTGAGTCCATGCAGCCAAGTGGGCATGCACATTGGCTTCTCCCCAGGTCTGAAACCCATGAGCTAAGAGAAGCCAAGTCATTTGGCAGGGCCCCTGTGGGGTCCCACTTCATGTCTCTTTGTAGGAATCTCTTGTGTGGGTTTGCTCTGAAAGTGCAAAGGAAGATGGAAGGACAGCACCCTTCCATTGCAGAGCAAAATTGTGAGCTCTGCGCTTGGTACCTGGCGTGAGATACACTCGCGCCTTCCTGGCATTGAATAGGTTCCCATTAGAGTTGCTCAGCCAAACCTCACAGTGCAGGTGACGCCTGCACTTCTGCCAGGGCAGTGCTCCAAGCCCTCACAGAAACTGCTGTGCCTGGCGTCGCCCCACAGGAGTGGCAGAGGAAATCGGTCATTTCAAAACTTCTGTGTTTTCTTTCATGTAGCAAAAAGATGGAACCTTTGCTGCTGGAGGCTACATGCCCCCACTCCGGTTTAAAGCGCTGACCCTCTCGGTTGTGTTTGGAACCATGGTTGGTGGCATCATAATCCCCAATGGTAAGGTGGGCAGCTGTTCTGGCAACTGGCTCTGCTGCTTTTCTCTCTCACTTTGTCATTCTTGCTATTACATTTGGGCCCCAGGATATCCCTCTTCTGTGTCCCAGGGTCTTATGCTGTCCTCTCTAGTGTCCTAAGAAAAGTTTAGAAGCACCCAGGTCATATTTTTCTTTGGCTCATGGAGAAAGACTGGGGACAGCATTGGCAACCTGGTGAGACAACAGGCATGCTTTGAAACCCAAGGGCTTCGCACCTGGGCAGAGACCCTGGGCTGGGACGCAGGCCTGGTTTGTCTGCCTGCAGAGCTCCTCATTCTTTGCTCACACTCTCCTGGCTCCTAATGTTGTCCACATGATACCCAGTGGAACACTGAAGCATTTATGTTGTCTGGATACACCGATTCCCAGCTGGCGAGTGTGAGTGTTTTGTAACAGACAAGGGAACTTGCAGGTTCTACCCCGAAGCCTCTGGTCCAATTTCCTGACAGTGGCTATATTCACCAGTACACCGGGCTTTCAGGTGGGCCCTGGGTACCCTGCCAAGTACCCGTCAGTGAGACCCAAGCCATGCAGAGCCAGCATCTGATTTTGGTGGGAAATCCCCAGAATCTGGCCCTTTAAAAAGCAGCAGTCAGCAGCCACCCTCCTCCAGGAGCATCAGTCTGATAGATCTGGTGCCTCTGTTCCTGGCTGGTGCCTCCATAAAGCACTTCCTCTGCATGCAAGGTGAAAGCGAGGCCACCCTTGCAGAGGCTTCTCCTGCTCACCGCCTTGGTGTCCTCTCTGTTCCTAGTGGAAACCATCCTGGGCCTCACAGGGGCGACTATGGGGAGCCTCATCTGTTTCATCTGCCCAGCTCTAATCTACAAGAAGGCCCAAAAGAATGCCCTCTCTGCCCAGGTGAGTGCCCGGAGACCTGCAGCTGATGGGCTGGGCTAGGTTGCAGAGGACTGTCGTAGAGTAGTGTCCCACCCAAGGTGCTCACATCGGTTCTGCCAGCTCACTTGCAGTCTGCTGGCTCAGAGGAAGCTTGGTCACCAAAGCATGGGAAACAGTGGGTCTGAGCTGTGAGCTGTACGTATCGGGAGGTTCCTGAGAGAATGCTGCCTTTGTGGCTCCTCTTCTGGGGGAGATGCTGTAATAGCTGTACCCTCCCCCAGGGTCCACTGTGTCCTGAGACCACCATCACTGGCACTTTTGGTGTGTCCACAGAGACACTGCATGTATAAGCATGCATGTGTTCATACTTGGGCTGTTTTTGTTATTTTTTAATAGTGATCCAGTTTCCTGCTGCTTTTGCTTAAAATCCTGCACAAGTTGCTCCTCAGCAAGTGTGTGTGTGTGTGTGTGTGTATCCAGCTGCTTTGCTGTTTTTAACTGCTTCCTGGTGTGCATGGTAGGAAATTTCCATAATTCCAGTCTCTGGTGGAGCCCATCCCCAGCCTTGCACTGTTACAGATAGCATTCTGATGTCCCGTAACGGTCAGGCACAAGATCCCTAGGCCACAGGCATAGCCAACCCCCCCCCCCCCTCCGTCTTTATCTTTCCGGGTTTGGGAGCCACTTCCGTTTCTTTTCTTGTGAACTGTTTTTTTTTTTTTTTTTTGTCTTTTTCGTTTTTATCGGTACCAGGGATCGAACTCACGACTGCCTGCTTGCAAGACAGGCGCTTATGCTGCTGAGCTAAATCCCCAGCCCCTCTTGTGAACTGTTACTGCTGTTGCTCACTTATTACAGGGTTGTTGCACTTCTGTTACTGATGTGTATGGGTGGGTGTTTAAAAGTAGAATACGTGTGCAGGAAAGCATGTAGACTGTGTATACAGCTTGAAACAGTTGTACAAAAGATGGATGATGACATCTAGCACCTGAGGCTTCCTTTGGACACCTTGGTCACCCTCTGCATGCCCCAAAGGTTACTGCTGGCCATCTGCTGACACTTTGGGGTGATGTCGTCTGTCTTGTACTTGACATAAGCTGAGTCTGTGTCCTTGGTGTTGACCTTTTACTCGGCCTCCTGCCAGCAATCACTCACATGACTGTGTGGGAGGAGCACATGATGCAGTTTGCTTTCTTAGTACTTGGCAGGACAGGTGGCTTCTGGTCCAGCACTGCAGCCCCAGTGCTGCTTCCAGTGCCGGTGGTGAGTGGTGGTCCTCACTTGAGAGACTGTCGGGTCTGTGTCCTGGTGCTCAGTTCTGTGGCTCCTGCCAGGTGGGGTTTGGGTTCCCCTGGGGCCTCCACTGCACGGAGAGTCCACTGCAATTCCCATCTGCGATCCCTTTTAATTTTTTAAAGTACTGTGGACCGAGTCCAGGGCATTTGGACTGAGCTGCACCTCAAGTCCTTGATTGTTTTTCTGTTTTGAGACAGGCTCTTGCTGAGTTTCCCTTTGCTGGATTCAAACTTGCCATCTTCCTGCCTTGGCCTCCAGCAGGGCTAGGGTTACAGATGAGCTCCACTGCACTTGCCTTTACTGTGCCTTCTGAAGGGTGTGTCTGGCGTGGCACGTCTCACTGGCTTCCAGTCTGCAGCCCCCCAATGACTGATGACACCGTGGGCCTTTTGTGGGCTCACTAGCCATGTGGCTGTTGTATTTGTGAATACCTCTGTTTCTTAGGTTTTTTTTTTTCCTTTTCCTGTTGGCTTATCTGTCTTTTTCTTACTGACTTATAAAAGTTTTTAATAGATTCTAGACGTCTTTTTCAGAAATACATATTGCAAATGTTTTACTCTTGGCTGCCTTTTGCTTTATTAGGTCATCTGTTGATGAATAGGAGCTCCAGGCTTAGTGTGGTCCAGTTCATCGATCTTTTTGTTTTCCTTGGTGCTTTCTATATCCTATTTGAGTTTTTGCCTGCTCCAAGTTTCCAAAGACAATTATACATTCTGGAGGCTTTTAATTTCATCTTTAACATTTCGATCTGCATTTCATCCAGAATAGGTTGGTGTACAATGGGTTGTATGGGTCTCTGGTGGATCCACACCATCCTTTCCCACGCACATCCCTCTCAGTCGCCTGGGTACGCGTGAGGCTGTTGGGGACCCCTCTATTCATGGGAGCACTGTTGTCTGTTGTACCACTACTGCCGGTTTGAGGGGTTGTTACTTCGTAATATGTTGTGATTGCCAATGATAGAAGTCCTTCCACTGTATTTCTCTTTACAATGTTCTTTCCCGGGCTGGGGATTTAGCTCAGCAGCACAGTGCCTGCTTGGCAAGAACAAGGTCATGAGTTTGATTCTTGGTACCAAAAAAAAAAAAAGAAGAAGCTCTTTCCTAGAATGACCTTCTACCAAATAAACTTTCATTGAAGTTGCATCAGACAGTAGTTTGAAGCAATGTACCATGATGGTACACATCAATAATCCCAGCACTTTGGGAGGCTGAGGCAAAAAGATCTCAAGTTCAAGTCCAACCTGAACAACTTAGTGATTTAGTAAGTACTGCAAAATTAAAAGTAAGGAAAGGGATAGGTTTGTAGCTGGTGCAAAAGCCCTGGGTTCAACCCCCAGTACTACTACAAAACAAAACAAAACAGTAGATTGAAGAATTGATGTTATCCTTTAATTGACCATATTTTCTGATTTCTGTTGTGATTTCTTTTACCAATAGCTTCTTTTTTTTGTACTGGGGATCAAAACTCATGAGCTTGTGCTTGCCAGACAGGCACTTATGCTGTTGAGCTAAATCCCCAGAGCTTCTTTAGATGACCAAACATTTGGAAGTCCTAGTAATCCTCTCCAGCCTTCAGTGCAATTGTTCTTAAGTATTTTTGTTTTATATACATTTAAAGCCCCACCCAAAAATGGGCATCTGAAATGAATGGATACTTCTTAGATAAGAAGTAGAAACAACAGATAAATATATGAAAAATGTTCAGCATCACCATTTGAGAGATACAAATTAAAACAACTCTGAGATCTCATCTCACTCCAGAGAAAAAGGCTATCATCTAGAAGTCAACGAGTAGCAGGTGCCAGCGGGGCTGGGGAAAGAGGAGCCCTTCTCCACTGGTGGCGAGAGTGTAGGCTGGTAAACCACTGTGGAAGTCAGTGTGGAGATTTCTCAGAAAACTAAAGCTAGAGGTTTCATCTGACACAGGTATTCCCCTTCTTGGTATCTTCCCCAAAGGACTAAAGACATCATACAACAGCAATATACAATAGCCATGTGTGTAGAGACACAGTTGGTAATATTTGAGTCTTGGAAACAACCCAAATGCCCATCAGTTGATGAATGGAGAAAAATGTGGTGTTTTCATATTCGGCCTTAAAGAAAGGAATACTTGAGACATTTCTAGGTCAACGAATATACCTTGAGTCCATACTCAGGAATGGAATACAGTATCAAGCACATGTGTAAATATTGCCTTGCTTCTCTGGTATGAGAAACTGAAAGTGCAAATAAGGACCAGAGTGTATAATAGGTATTGTAAAATAGGAAGAAAACGTTCAAATGGGGAAGGGAACTAGGAAAGGGTAAGGGGGAAAGAAAGAGAAAAGAAACAAAAAGTGAAAAGAAGAAAAAATGGAAACAAAGCTTTTGTAAATATGGAGGAGAAGAGGGGATGAAGGGAGGGTAGGGGAAGTGGAAAAAAAATCAAGACATATCATGAACAGGTACAAGTTTTCTATGATGAATGTGATCATTATGTATGTCTAAAATGTACCAATCAATTATATTAATTTTAAAAAAGAAAAGAGGGCTGGGGATATAGCTCAGCAGACAAGCACCTGCCTGGCAAGTGCAAGGTCCTGAGTTCAATTCCCAGTACCAGAAAAGAAAAATGAAAAGAAAAGATTAAAAAAAAAGCTGCACACAACAATCTTATCATTGTGTCAAATACACATGATTCCAGACTTAGTGATAGGTCAGCTTAGCAGCCATTGACCTTGTGATATATATTATGAAAGCAATATGCATTCAATAGAAACTATATCTTTTTTGGTACTGTGGTTCAAACTCAGGACCTCACTCTTTTTTTTTTTTTTTTTTGTCTTTTTCATTTTTATCGGTACCAAGGATCGAACTCACGACCGCCTGCTTGCAAGGCAGGTGCTTATGCCGCTGAGCTAAATCCCCAGCCCCCCAGGACCTCACTCTTGCCAGGCAGGCACTGTGCCCTGAGCTAAATCCCTGGCCCAGAAGCTGTACTTTGAGCTTTGAATTTTGATCTTTTCTTAAGCTGGCCGTGTGTGGTGTGATATTCTTGTGATACTGAGCAGTGGCAGCAAGCTGTAGCTCACTGTCAGCCTGTAGCCAAGTGAGGGTAGCAGCCGAGCCCATCCGTGCTGGGTTTCTCAGCTAGGGTATTCGTAGGGTAGGTTGGTTTAGTGCACTTTCAACTTAGTTTTAATATATGTTGGGTTTGTTGAAATGGAGCCCCATTGTAAGTCAAGGAACATCCGTAATCCTTCGTGATCTTTCTTCTTTGGTTTCTTGGTTTTCTGTCTTGGTCTTGTCTTCTGGCCTGCTTGGTATTTGCAGTCACTGTGTTTGAGAAGTAGCAGAGGTTCTGGGTGATGTCACTTTCTGGCCATCAGACGGGATAAGCAAAAGGCTGAGTCTAGCTCAGGCAAACCTGTGTCCACTGGCCATGGCTGCTAGGAAGCCTGGCTGCTAAGTTGTCTGCTTCAGCTCGTGTTCTTGGCAGCTGCTCTTGTGAGTCCTTGCTCAACCTGCACAGCTGGAAACAGGTGTGGGCCTCAGGAGAATGGTGCACAGGATTGTGCCATTGGCTTCTCTGGGATCCCTTTTGTCCCTGGGACTGTGACTGCCAGAGCCCCTGCTGCTCCTCCCTGGTACCCAGCCCCAACTCTGCCTGGCATCTAGAATACCATCCAGCGTCACCCATGGTGCTAGCCCTGTGATGGGGAGCGCCCGGCAGCAAGCCTCACCCTCTGAGCATGCTGCCCTGGGTCATGGCCCCTCCGGTCTGAGCTACCATGCTTGTTCCCCACTGTCTTCAGTCAGGTAACCTGAGGGCATTGCTCCAGCTTCTACTGTTGTGCAGAGAGCAGCATGGCACCTGCTGTTCCAGCACAGTCTGAGGCAGAAGTTTGTAGTGAGTTAGAGGAAATTAGTTTATTGCCTGTCACAAATGTTTTTCTCCGTCTGTAAAGTCTCAAGCCCTTTATTTCTTCATAAGGAAAAAATCACTTAGACATTCCCCACTCGAGTATTATTTTTTAAAAATTTTTCCACCAAAAAAATATTTTTCTCCATCACTTTGTCCAGTGCTTTTTTTCTTCAAAGTTTTGATCCCTCTGTTCTATTTTGGTATGAGAATCAAGTAGGTGTCCTGTCTTTTTCGAGGCACTCCCTGGTTGGGAACATTGTTTATTGACTAGATCCGACACTGATATGAATCTTTCGAATGTTCCTCACGCAGGCTTTGACAGTGGCCTTGGCTGGACTTTCGCTTTAGTTTGTGGGTCTGTTTTTTGCTCCAAACTGTTTTAATTCTTCTCGTGGCCTGGCGACCACTCTTGCCGCCCTCTGACCTGCCGCTCACTGAGGCTTTTTAATTCTGATCCTTCCTCTTTGCGCTTACTGGTATATTTAAGACATTCATTTGCATCCCTACTTTTTGCTCTTATATTTTTGAATGTTCTTATTTGGTTTATTTTCCTTATGAATGTTTGAATCAGGTGACAGAACTCTAAGAAAAACATGTTCTGCTTTTTGTTTTAGTTGAAGTTCATGGAAGCTGTAGGTAAATTTAGGAAAACACTCTGTCTTTGGACCCTGACTAACGTACAGTGTACATTTGCGAGCTTCCCACTTGTCCAGCTGGGCATGGCCTTCCTCGCGCTCTCCTAGGCCTCCTGCTTCCCTGCCCTGCTGCGTGTCTCCTGAAGCTGGTGGGCTGGGACCTCCTCTGTTGGCTTTTCTAAGCAGTTGTGTGTAGGGAAGCTGTGGATTTTTATACTTTAATTTTTTACCTGTTAACCTTACCGAACTCTCCCTTACTGAACCTCTTGGTTCTTCACCTGCGACAAATAATAAATTCAGTTACTCTTTCCCATCAGAATAGCACTTCTTTTCCAGGTGACTTTGTGTGTCTGCTGCCCAGGGTCAAGGTGTGAGAGAGGAGCTCAGGGTCTCCCTGACCCAACTGGAATGATGTTAGCTTTAGCTTTTGCTCTTAAGCCTGAGGCTGGCTCTTGGCTTGATGTGTAGGAACAAGTGTGCAAAGTCACAGCTTTGTGTGCACTTGGCTGTGAGCATATGCTGCATCATGTCAAAGACCTACCCAGGCCTGTTTCACTATGTTTCTTTTTCTTTCTTTTTTCTTTTTTTTTTTTTTTTTTTTTTTTTTTTTTTTTTTTTTTTTTTTTTTTTTTGATACAGGGTCTCACTCTGTCATTCAGGCTGGTCTTAAACTCACTCGGTAGCCCAGCTGACCTCGAACTCATGGCAATGCTCTTGCCTCAGCCTCCTGAGTACAGAGATTATAGGTTTGTGCCACAGCGCCTAGCTTTTCACGATTTCTTAAAGCCTAGAGCATGTGTTATATTGTCTGAGTTACTTTTTTGTTGTTGTTTTGTTTCTTTTTTGAGACAGGGTCTTGTTATATATTCCAGGCTGACCTCTAACTCATGGAGGTCCTCTTGTCTCAGTCGCTTGAGTGTTGGGGTTGTACTCATGCACCCTCATGCTGGCTTGAACTATTCTTTGACCATGCTGGGGAGATGTTGCAGTTCTCCCTCTGGATTAGTACACCCTAATCTGGGACGGCTTTCAGAGCCGCTGACCTGGGTGTGCTCCAGCTTACGAGTTAGGAGGGATGCACTCCTGAAGAGAGGCTGGGGCTGGGACCCAGTGGCCAGGCCCTGTCCTATGAACTCTGCTGCTTCCATAGATGGGACAGGTCCAGAGTCAGTGCTTGTTCTCAGCTTGTTCCCTAGTTGGGGACCCCATGAAGAGCCATGTGTTGGCAGGGCTTGTGTGTGGCACTGACTGGTGGGCGTTCGAAGGAGGGTGCCTGAGGCTGTCCCAGAAGGTAATTAATGAAGATGGTCCCACTGAAGCAACAGAAGCCCTGTCTCAGTTTTGGTCCCTCTCTAATCCTGAGTGAGGCTGGTCTGGATCTGCCATGTGGAGTTGGTGATGTCCGAAAGCCAGCAGGGGACACTGGAGCCTGACCAGGATATGCTTTTAGAAGAAAGAGACTCCAGGGGCAAGGAAGGCCAGCCTGGGGGAGTGGAGGGGCACTGCTGGGGGTGGGGGCGGGAAGTGCCTGCTCTTGGAAAGATGTGGGTGATCACCACCATCTTAATGTAGAGGGCATCGGGCCTCCACACGCAGCCAAAGTGAGGCTGGCTGGGTGTGGCTGTGGGACCTGTCTGAGGCACAGGCTGCAGGGTGGCTAGAACCAGTCCCTAGGTATTCGTTGGTCCCTGGAAGCACAGCATGTGGGCTCGTGTGCAAGCGAGCATTTTCTTTTTAAGCCGAGGTTTGTCTCTGTTCTGAGTCCCCAGTGGTCTGAGGGGAGGGTTGCCCAGCAGCCTCGAGGACTGTGGCTCCCAGTCAAGGCCTAGATTTGCCGAGCCTGAAAATTTAAGTTTGAGCCATGCAGGACAGATTTGTGCGTATTCCCTGTTGGCCTGTGGCCAGGGACCTCTGAGGTAGATGTCTGACATATGCAGGATCTCACCTGTTGACCCGGTACCCAGTTTCAGAAGCAGTTCTTCCACCACCAGGAAACCACCCGGTGGTGGCGCTAGTGAGCTGGCTGGGGCTTGCCCTTGGCCTGAGGCTGTGCTCTGGCCAGCGCCCCTCCCAGGCTCCCCAGCTGCAAGGGATTTGTCCACCCTGGCTGACTGGTTCTGGAGCACAGAGCTGGGCTCCTATCCTTATGGAGGCCTCAAGGGAACTGGGATTGCTTCTTCGTACACAGTTGGCAACGGTACCCTCATACACCAGTGCACAGGAGAATCTGCCACCCTGAAGACTGCATCGTAAGGCGGAGTATACAGCCGGAGGGTCAGGACCTTGGAAACAGCAGGCCCAGTGGCAGTCTCAATTTAGGGCAGGCATGAGGGCAGAGTAGGGGTTCCAGTGACCTTCAAGACCCTCCCAGGCCTGCATCCTTTGCCAGTTTCTGTGCCGCCTGGGCCTGGGTCAGCCCCTGATAGCTGTTGATTACGCTGGCCTCTCTGCAAGGCGCTGATGGCCTCAGAACACTGGAATTTCCTCCTTGATTGTTCTAAGAATACCCTGCCCCCCATCAGACACTGTCATTGCTCAAGTTAAGAAGAATGTAATATGCTGATCTTCAGCCGCACAGCTGAGGCTGGGTCCTGAGAATGTTTAAAAGAATAATTTAGGGCAGAGAAGAGACCAGGAGCTCCTGACCTGAGCACTGAGTTTCACAGTGCATATAGGTTCTGGCCTGTAGGGATTTGATCATATTTACCTTTCGGAGCCCCACTGTCTCCTGATATGCAGGCCAGCCATGTCTACTGCCAGAGGGGTCTGTGGTCTCCCAAGAGCCCTGTAGATCTCTCAGGCAACCTGGAATGTTTGTGGGTGCTGGAGCCAGCTCAGGATGTGTGGTGGCAGGATGCAGATGAACTTTTCCTTGTGGTAGTTTTGCTCCAAGTGGCCACTGTCCACTTCAGAGACCATAGGTGTCTCTGTCCTGTGGAAATCATTTTGTGTAATTGCATTGGGCCTGGGAAGTCTCACCAGTTCTTCTAAGCTGATTTGTTTAAAGAGTCAACATACCTTTCTGAAAAGAACTAGGAATTCTGGCTCTGAGACCTCTGGGCAGTGGGCCAGTGAGAGTCTCCCAGGCTGGGCAGGAATACCACCCTCCAGGCCTCGTCACAAAACTGGAACACAGAGGTAGCAGCCCTGGGCTGAGACACAGAGCTCGTGGGCGAGGCTTGGCCCAGCAGGTGCATGCCTTAAAGTAGCCCAGGCTGCAGCAGGACACTTACACAGTGAGGTATCTGTGAAACTGCAGGCTTTGATCCTTCCAAAGGCAGGAGAGGCCCCTCAGAAGTCGGTAGAGCCTCAAGTACAGCTTGTGGGAACACTGACAGGCACCCCACCACAGCGGAGAGGCACCAGGCCTGTCTGTCCTCAGTGATTCAGCACAGCCTTCCCTCACCATCTCTGAATGTGCCCAGCTTTTGCTGGGCGCTGGGTGTGGCTGAGGTTTGGGGAAGGAACATCCTGTGTCCTCTGTACAGGGCCTACTCTGGGGATCAGGGCACACACAGCTTGATATGTACCGTGGGCACCCCCAAGTTGGATGGTTGCACTGGGATCCTTATTCCTCTTGCTATGTAGTCCAGAGACCTGGCCCTTTTTCGGGAAGCTGGGTCAGGGATTGGGTCTCTGTAGCCTTCATACATGCAGTACCTATGTTCTCCCTAGCTCCTCTTCACCTGCAGCTTCCCAGAGACACAGCCCTTCTGCCTCTACTCTGTCCCCACGCCCTACCCTGACCCTGCCATCTCTGCTGATTTGGCTCCAGCAGGCTTGACTGAGGTTCTGGCTGAGGGAGGGAAAGACACAGGCATGCATAGCACTCTGATGGGCCAGGGGACAGTGACAGTCTGGGCTTCAGTACAGCTCCTCAGTGCCATCAGCAGGCGCGCTGTCAGGCGCACTGTCTGCGGCATGCCACCCCCCTCAGGCCAGCTGGACGCCTGCCTGTGCTTCCTGCCATTGCCCTGCTCCAGCTCCACTCCCCTCGCTGTACGCTCAGATCCATGCAGGGAAAGTTCTCGCTGCTGTGACTGCACCTTCTGGGTCTCTGTCTGGTCCAGGTGGTGCTCTGGGTTGGCCTGGGCGTGCTGGTGGTCAGTACACTCACCACCCTATCTGCGAGTGAAGAGGCTCCCGTGGACTTGGCAAAGGAGGCTCCCAGTGGTCGCCGAGGGGAGGCTGAGGGCATGGCAAAAGCGGAGGTGGCCCGGCTCTCAGGTAGGCACGTGGCCCCAGATCCATCCCTGAGCAAGTGTCCACATGTCCCCTAGGGCCATGGGTTGTAGGTGATGTTTTCTGGGTTGCCTGTTGGCTCTGCACCAAGCCTGGCATTCCTCTGCCCATAGCCTCCCTCCGTTGGGTGATGGAGCTGGGGGTGGGCTGAGCCCTACTGCCCCGCCCATTAAAGCACACATCCCATGGTGACTAGCTAGTGGCATCCACCTGTGGGCAGGGGACAGTGTCACACTGGCTGTGTGCAGACATGTATGTAAGTTGTTGCTCATGTTTGTTTTTTGTTCTGAGGATATAAATTTCTTGCTAGTTTTCTCCTTGACAGAGTCAACCATGAGCTTCCTGTTTCGTGTTACTTATTGTGTGCCAGTCCCATTGAGAGAAGCACAGCTCACACTCCCTCATGCAGAAAGCATCCTGGTGCTTGGTCCACACATCCAGACCTGTCCCTTCCTGGTGGCTCTGAGTGGCAGCAGTGTGGTTGCCAGTGGTGGATGATAGTTTCTGTGACTCACAGAGGTACAGCCGCATGTGGCTGGGTCCCTGGTACAGCGAGGCTTTGAATTCAAATCCACCAGGTGCCCATCTGGCCTGTGACTCTGGGTGGGCCTTTCGGGGAGCAGTGCCATCCTTGCTGGCAATTTTCAGGTTGCCATGGAGCTGTTGGCTCTGACACCTGCTCAAGAGAAACCTCCTGGGGTGGACAGAAATAGCAGTCTCTTGAAGGGAGCCCCAGTGAGCACCCTTGCTGGCCGTGCCTGACCTCTTGCGGGCTCTGCCCCAGCACAGGGACCGTAAGCTTCTGGCTGGCTGTGACCAGAGTTTGACAAGCCTCACCAGCATTGTTCTGCATGCAGACTGCTCTGGGTGGTTCTCCCAGGGCCTTTCCCTCTGGATGGCGCTTGGATTGGCTGCCGATGTTTCCTGTGCTGCCCTGGGTTGATGAAGAAAGTCCTCCTGTCCTGGTTCCTTGTGGTCACCAGACTAAGAAGCAGGCTGGGCTTTCAGGGCAGGCCCTGAGGCAACTCAGGTCCCTGGAGAAACAAAGCTGAGGTCACTTGTGCTGTCCTGCAGCAGATCCAGCCTGATGGAGTGGGGGCATTGGGTGCTGCTGCCCTTTCCACCTGGTGGCCTGGCTCAGTCCTGGGGAGGACCAGTCTGGTGCTGCTTCTGGGCCACCTGGCAGAGCAGGTGTGGATGCTGGGCTGCTGCAGAAGGAAGAGAGGACTCAGGGTGGGGAGGGGGTGGCATCCTGGGAGCCAGGAGCTAAATCCTAGGGCCATAGGGCCCCACCTGGAGCACTTTGGGACCACCTGCACAGCAGCAGGTGCCACCTGGTTCTCATCTCTGCAGGCTGCAGGCAGGCCTGGCAGTGAGTTTCTTGGTCGTTCAGCACTATGGTCCTAGCTGTGGCAGCAGCTGCATCCTGTCACCATGGCTTGCGCAGGCTGCCTGCTCACCTGGTGCTCTCAAGGCCACATCTGGTTTCCATTTCTTTGGTGAGGCTGTAACAGCATGCACCCCCCTCAGAACCACACGCCGGCAAGGCTCGCTGCTTCCAGCCGCTGCCTCTTAGGTGAAAGCTGAGGACTGCATGCTGTGCCGACTTGGGAGTGCCTTTCCTGGCTGTTTGATGTTGTGCAGACCACAGACAGAACCTGCCTGCGTGGCCATCACGGAGTCCTGTTGTCCTGTTTTGCATGATTGGCAAGTGCCACTAGGCCCCATGCATGGGCTTGTGGGCCTGTGGCAAGCATGGCCAAGTCCCTGGGAAAGCTCACGAAGACAGCTGCCCATTTAAAAAGACTAATTAGGTCATTCATCTCCACACCTGATAGCACCCCAGGGGTCTCTGGATGGATTTGGATTTTGTGGTATTCCAGCTTTTGCTGCATTCCTTGTCTTCCCCCACTCCAACACTGAGGCAGTGCAGCCTGACCCCACTCTGGCCCCCTGCAGCCCATCCCAGCTGTGCTGGACAGTGGACCAGGACATCAGCAATAGGATAGAGGTTGGACCTACTGAGCAAGCAGTGTGGCTGCATGCGTGAGCACTGGTGCAGAGGTGAAGCGGGCCCTCGTGGCTCAACAAGACCGTGTCTCAAAATAAAAAATAAAAAAGGGCTGGAGATGTAGCTCAGTAGAGAAGTTCCTAGAACTGCCAAAAAAAGAACAAGCAAGCAAAAGCAACCTGCTCAGCGGGGCTCAAGGGATCAGGCTGCCCCATGGGTGGGGAGAGCAGTGTGTGGCGTGGCCCTGGGACCAAGAGCTGTGAGCCCTTGCTGCCATAAGACAGAGGACGTTGTGGGCAGCAGTGGAGGCCAAGGCAGGTAGCAGGAGGGGGCAGAGATGGAAAAGCAGAGGTAGCCAGCAGCTGGAGGCACAGGGCACTGGGGCACAGCATGTGTCACTGATGCCCTCCCATTGCAAAAGATGAGGCCTGGCAGCTGAGTGCAGAAGACCAAGTTTTTGAAGCAAGCACTTACTAACCCTTTTCCTCATGGCAGAAACCAGATACATGTGAAAGGCACCTAACATCAGGGATGGTTTCTAGAAAAACCATCAAAGTAGTTTCTCCTGCTTCCTGGGCAGTGAGCTCTGGGGCTCCAAGCCCCTGAATCTGGCGCTCTCCTCACTGCTGGTAGGAGCTTGTCCGTGAGATGCAGGGATCATGTTCCAACGTCACTGCTGTTGGGGCTGGTGGAGGAAGGTGACCCTTCCCATCTTTACTGATCATAAGAAACGGTGGTAGCAGGTGGTACCAGTGACCTGCGAGCTGTCCTGGAGTTGGGGCCCACCTGCCCCCCAGCCTTCCTGCCTGTCCTTGAGAGGAGAGGCTGGCTCCAGCATAGCGGTCATGGCCACAGTGAATGTTGCTCCTTTCCCTTGAGGAATAGATATGCTACCCCAAAAGTGTCTGACTCCAGACCTCCACAACCTATGGGATTCTGCCCCTGCCGGTCCCGGGAGATGAGGGCAGGCATGGTACCAGGTCAGCATTCCTGCATGTGGAGAGAGCTGCGAACCTGTGCGGTCACTCCAGCAGCGAGGAGAATGTGAAAATAAATGTGAGATTTTCCCGGTTCTGCTGGCAGGCCATGGTTTCCAGTGACCAGAGGTGACAGTTTCGAGGCTGCACGAGAGACCAGGGTAGCAGGGATGCTCTCCATCCCCTTGAGCAGAGTCCTTCAGTAGAGGAACGGTGGGCTCTCATAGCTGGGCACCTGCCCTGTCTCTCATTCCTCAAGTCCTGTCTGCACTCTCTGAGGAGCTCTTGGCTGTGACCTTGTGGGTTGGTGCACTCTGGTGGCCTTAGGATGAAAGCAGTCAGAGCACAGGGGTCTTCTTAGCCACTGATTTTGAAGTTTTATGTTAATTTTCTGCAGCCAGGAGGCCCTGCCAGCCAGCAGTCCCTGGCTGATTCCGTGAAAGGCTGGTTCCGTTCTGGAAAAGGCCACGTCTGCTGCCCGCCAGTAGCCGCAAGGTGCTAGGCCGAGGCGGCTGCTGGAAGGTGTGAGCCAAGAGGCCTTTGCAGCCTTTCAGGCCATGCCTGGGAGTCCAGCAGCCCTCCTTGGAGGACTTCCAAGGAGGGACTTCACCCCCTGTATCTGTCCTGTGCAGGAAGTGGGCTGAGTCCTAACAACCAGGGAACGGCAGGCACTCCCTGCCCAGTACATGATGGGTTTGTTTCCTGCTGAGGCCACTGCCAGAGGCAGCTCTGTCCTGGGGGGGGGGGGTTCACCTCTCCGCTCTGCGGGGGCTGGAAGACCCTCTGGATTGATGGCCACTTTTTACTTACACACAGTACTATCTGTCAGAAATGTAACTGAGTGATGGACACTTGTGCAGCGACACCAGTGAGTTGGCCACACTGTGGAGCCCAAGCTGCCCTCTGTGGCCCTCTTGTCTCCCAGTGAGGAGGCGCTGTCCTCCAGTTTGCCTCAGAGTCTTGGCTCCCCAAAAACAAAGCATAGCCTCATCCACACATGGTTCTGCCTCCCTAGACTAGGATGCCAGATCAGGTGCCCGAGGCTGGCATCAGGCCCGTCTTTGGTCCCCAGCAGGGCTATGTGTGACTCCTCTCCACCTGGCTTCCCCAGTGGTTGGCCACAGTGACCTCTTTAAGCTCCCCCATATTTCTTCTCCCCTTCCAGGATGACTTGAGTTCAGGGAGGGGATCCAAAGCTGGCTTTTGGCCTCTGGGATGAAATGAGTTGTTTTTCTCCCCGGTTAGTTCTTTAGGTTCTGTTCAGTTTGCCCGGCATACAGGAAGCGCTGTCCTTAAATGGAGAACCAGTGCTGCACGGCTCCCACGGCCCGCAGGGCTTTCCTTCTGTTCTGGTCCTTTTTGTGTGAATTCCCCCATCAGCAGTAAGAAGCTGCCAGTGTGCAAATGCACACTGTTAACGTTATTTCCCTTACAGCCACTCTCATCCACAGCCTTTCCAGGAGGAAAGTTCAGGCTGGGGGCCCTTGCAAAGAAGCCTATTGGGAGATGCAAGTCTGCAGTGGGCTTGTGCTGCCCCCTGGTGGCCACAGCTGAGTATTACATTCTGTGACCTGTGCCTAGTTAAATATAAACTGCATTTTGACATTTTTGTTATGACTACACATGAAATATGACAGTCTTCTGTTTAGCTGCTAATAACTGAGCAGGACTGGTGAGGCTGTTCCATTTGGAGAAATATGACCACAACCCAGGGGAACGCTAGTCCCTGCTGTTACTGATGGGGAGGCTGTGGGGAAGGGTGGGCAGCTGGTGTGCCTTGCTTCCAGCCCAGGACCCTGTTGTGGATGTGGCAGAGGATGGCCGGGAGAAGCCAAAGCTGCTGGAGGAGAAGGAGGAGCTGGAGCCGGCCCAGATTAAGGGCCCTGTGGATGTGCCTGGTGCGGAAGAGGCCGCGGAGAAGCAGGAGGCCGCGCAGCTCGATCGCCCTGCCCAAGGTGGGTGGCGCTGGGGGCTGAAGGGCAGAGAGAAGATTTCAGAGCCTGCAGAGACGCTCAGGGCTGCATGCCTTCCATCTTCCCATCTCCCGTGGCCAAAGCCACTGAGCACTGTGCCTCTTGTGACTCCAGACATAGCGCGCCCACCCTCAGGCAGGTGAACTTGGACTCCGTGGACAGTGGTGCTTGCTGGCCCATGTCACGGTGTCGGGGACCAGAATGCAGGTTTCCTAGGAAGGGAAAGTGGGGATCCTCCTCCTCAGCCTGACCCCACAACTGTCCTCATCCCCTTCCAGGTGTCGCTGTCCTTCTGGGCGAGGCCCACCGCCACGAGCCTCCTGTTCCTCATGACAGGGTGGTGGTGGATGAGGGTCAAGACCGAGAAGGACCAGAAGAGAACAAGCTGCCTTCCAGACACATGGATGGCGGGGCTCCTGGGGGCAAGGGACAGATGGCGCCACCTCCACCCAAGTTGGAGAGAGAGAAGGGACCTGAGAGGGGAGAGGCTGGAAAGAGCCCTGAACAGGCCCAGTCCCTAGGGGATGTGGGGGTTCTTCCTAAAGACCACCAGCAGGTCCCTGAGGCAAATGGTCAGCCTGCTGTCCTGGCCAGGAAGGAGGACCCTGGACCAGGTCTTGATCCAGGGCCCAGGGTAGCCCTTTCTGCAGAGGAGAAGGCCAGGGCAGCAGGGGAAGGGGAGGAGGCCGCGCATCGAGCTGCAGGGGACGCCAGGAACGTTGTCGTCGAGAGCAACCCTGGTGGGTGTCAGCCTGGGGCTCCCCGCGGGAGACCCCTCTACCTGCAGAGTGTTGGGCTGGGCGGGTGGGGGGTAGTTGGTTCTTCTCCCGCCCCATCCCTTTCCCACCCAGGAGGTCAGCATGTGCATATAGCAGCCTCCTCTGCAGCTGGTAGGGAAGCTGAGTCTGGTGGCCTGACAGCTACTCTAATATCCGTCATGCAGTGTTTGCCAGACCACTAAGTGTCAGGTGCCACACTGTGCTCGTGTGTCTGGGCGCACACGGGATGGCGCGGGAGCGCTTGACAGGTAACACATTGTTAAGTGCCATCTAAGAGCTGGGTAGGACAGGACTTGCATTTTAATTGGCGAAGGTAGTTAACATTGGCTCACTACCACAGCCTATGAGATTGTTAAATATTTTTTTATTACTTCCTTGGTAATCGTCAGGTTGAATACAAACTACTGTGGGGGAAGGGTGGCAACAGTCATTTTAGGAAACAGCTGCTGCCTCCCTTGCCCCGCCCCCTCCTGTCGTTTTGCGAAGCCTGAGTCCCGCTCACTGCCCGTGTGCAGGTGGGAAGGTGCCCCTTCCGGCGCAGAGGCTGCCTCCCGGGGCTGCGCTGCCACGGGAGCAACGGGATGCAGAGCAGGCAGCGGAGCAGCCAGGAGGAGACCAGATGGGCAGCAAGCTGGAGGGTGAGGCCTGGCCCCTGGGCAGGGCGGGGCGGGGCGGGCCAGCTCCCAGCTTCTGCTCCTCTCAGCTTCTGTCCTCGGGAGAGCATCTTCAGGGACTCCCCTCTGCTGCCGCCAGCAGCTTTCTCCCTGGTATTCCCTTAGGAACTTTTTTTTATCTCCCTTCTCAAACTCTTAAAAAGAAATGTGTTCTTTGTCATATGGCTTTTAATTAGAATTTTTATTTCATTTTAAAACCGGTATGTTAGTATTTCCAATACTGGGGGTGTTTAAAGCCAGCCAGGTGTGGGCATTAGTGCACCCAGATGTGAAGACTTTTCAGGCTGGGGCCTTGCCTTGCCTGGGGCACATCGAGGTGCTTTGACTGGAGTGGTTTTGGCTGGAGCCCCAGCCAGGGAGTCCTGCTGGGCACCTCTGCATCCAGCTCGGACCCTGTCCACAGAGGTTCATGATCTGCCACTTGTCCTGAATCTGCTGCACCTCTGTGCCCATTTGGCTTTTTGTGCGCTCTCCTTTCTTGTACTGCCCCGTCTTCCCAGGGACGTGGTAGTGGCTGTCCTGATGCCTTCTTGGTGGCCCCTCATTTTATTTTCTTTGCTGACCCCACAGGCTTGGCTGGGCCTCATCCCCATGTGTCACCATTCCCTCAGGATACAGCCACCACACTTGGGTGCTGGGGGGCCTGACCCTGCCCTGGGGTGTGGGGTGTGGGCTGCTCAGTTTCCTGGGCCACACCAGGTGTTGGTTTGGCTGCCTCCGGACCAGCCCTGCCTCGTGGTTTAGGGCTTGCCACTGTCTTAAGATGCCTGGCTTTACTCCTCTGAGTCTGCCACCAGTGGGGGCAGTGGCCTCAGGACTGCTGTCCCAGGTGTGGTGCCCAGCAGGCAGGTATGAGCAGCTGCTCCAGCTCGAAGTCCAGCCCCGAAGTCCTAGAAGGTAGATGCTAAAGGGACACGTTAGGTTTCTGGCGTTCACAAGATACCCGGAGAACTTTCCCACTCTTAGTGTTTTTGCCTCTGGTTTTGGTCTGACTATATTAATTGGTTCTAATGTCTATACTGTTACCTAAACCTGTTTGATTCTTTGATGTTTTTCTTTTGGAAAGACAGACTTTTCACAGTTTCCTATTCTGCCTTTCTTCCATATGCCTCTCTACGGGATGAACAGCTGAAATTAAAAAGATAGTAGCAGGTATGACTCCCAAGGGCTGTGTGAAGATGACACGTGCGCTTGCGGAGGTCTGCAGGTGCCAGCCAGTGCCTGGCCCGTGCCCCACCCCGGAGGCCCTGGCATCCAGCTCCTGTGCCCTCCCCCACACATGCCTCAGTTCTTCTCAGCCCTCTGTGCTTTACTGTCCTCAGAAGGCAGCTGAAGGGGTCTGCCATTAGGGAGTCAGCGATAGGGTGGGCCTGCATGTCCCTGCTGCCGTGCGCATGGCTGTGCTTGTACATCCCACACGCACCTCAGCATCCCGTCTGTGTACCTGCCACTGGGTCTAAGGACTCTGGCCCGGGCAGACTGCAACCTCCATACTGTTTCACATCTGTCCTGCGCGGCTCCCAGCTGGCCACAGCGCCTTTCATCCCCGCCCCAGATCTAGTCCTCGGAGAGGAGCAGGTGATGTAGGGGCCTCCCCTTCCGGTCCTCACACAGCGGGTTCAAGGAGGCCAGCGGCATGTGGGTGCTCTGTGCGTACTAGGTGATTACCACTCTCAGACTGCAAGGTGAGATGGCCCATGCTGAAGTGGCCAGGCCTGAGCCTGTGGGCTCAGCACCCCGAGCTCCTTGTTTGCAGGGGTGTCTGTGGGAGCACGTTTTGGCGAAGCAGCCTTTCCCATGCAGGGCTTTGGATGACCTTGGCCATCAGCAGGGAGCAGGCTGCCCTTCTTCTATACGGTCAGCTACAGCGTCCTCTCTGCTGGCCCCTCAGGGTCTGGACAGGGCCTGGGGGTGTGCGGGGGGGGGAATGCTGACCTGACCTGCTCTGGCCACCCTCAGTCTGTGCAGGGCACATGGGGCCTTCACGGTGACCTTCACCCTGACTGCCTGCCAAGCGTTCTTCTTCCAATTCGAACTCACACACCTGGCAACCCTAACCATCCCCTTCAAAGACTCTTGGCTTTATGAGAGTTGTAAAAATTGCATATGCTCTGGAAGCTTGTGACACACAAATGCTGGTGCTGGAAGACTGTGGAAAAAGCCAGCTCCCTCCACAGCTGGGCAGTCCAAGCGCTGTGTCCTCAGGGAGACACAGCTGGCATGAACCGTAGCCCTTCTCCAAACTGGTCTCCAGCTCTTTCCTCCCCTCTGGTGCCGGTGTGTGCCTCCTTTTCCAGCAGGACTTGCTGGGCTCTGGTGGGCAGTCAGGAGCCACATGTCAGCAGCTATGTGCTGGCTGCTGGCCAAGACCTTGTGCATGTCCTGGCCTTTGTGCTCTACTGAAGAGGAAGGTCAGTTTGCTAGCACATGCAAGGCCCTGCGACAACCCCCAGTACTGCAAGGAAAAAAAGAGAAAAGGTGTTTAAATTCTCATCTTGGAGGAAGTTTCCTCTTTCCCCTTCCCTTGCTTGTTTCTTTTCTTTCTTCCTTTGTCTTCTTCCTTGTTGCCCAGCTGGCAATGAACCATCTTCCTGCCTCAGCCTCCTGAGTAAATTGGGATTATAGGTACTCACTCCAGCACCCAGCTTGGGAAAAAACCTCCTTCAAGCATGAATATTCGTTTCCCAAATAGTAGCTTTATTTTCTTAATGCTTGTTTTAGAATAACTAAACTTGTGAGATGGGGGTGATCATCCAGCCCAGACAACCCTACTGGGTGTGTCAGCACATTCCCTCAAGGGGCCCTCTGGACACACGCTCTTGGCAAGTGCTGGGCAGTGTTTGAGGCTGCCAGGCCACCTGCCTGTTGGATCTACAGCAGCAAAGCAGGCAGGGCAGCCTCCGGGAGAGGTGTGGGCTGAGGCCAGACCCAGCTGTGCCCGCCCAGCAGGCTGCTTGGGCTGCCCAGGCTCTGGGGACTGGGCTGAACACTTCCCTGTGTGCTTGCACGAGCAGGCTACTGAGACAGCACTGCCAGTGTGGGAGGTCACAGGTAGGCTCCTTGCATGTGACTGGATCACATTATGCTGCCACATGGGCAGTCATGCATCCTGGCTCTGTGTGTCCCTAGCAGAAGCTGGCAGGGCAGAGATGCTGGACCACGCCGTCCTGCTGCAGGTGATCAAAGAGCAGCAGGTGCAGCAGAAGCGCCTGCTGGACCAGCAGGAGAAGCTGCTGGCTGTGATTGAGGAGCAGCACAAGGAGATCCACCAGCAGCGGCAGGAGGACGAGGAGGACAAGGCCCGGCAGGGTAGGTGGGGCTGTGGACAGAGCAGGGCAGAGCTGGTAGTAGGCCCTGGCCTAGTGAGGTGACAGGAACTAGGCCTGGTGAAGGTATCTCCAGGTGTCCCTGCAGGGTGGCTCTGAGCCTTGTGGCCTTAAGTCCTACAGTGTGAATTGAGGTTTGGATTCTTGATTCTTTTTTTTTTTTTTTTTTGGATTCTTGATTCTTAACTGCTTGCAAGTTTGTTCCATTCAGTTCCTGCCTTCACAGCTTATGTTCATTTCTGTAGCTAAACTGTGCCAACTTTGTTTGCAGGGGACATGCAGCAAGAGCCTGGGGTGGCTGTCCCCAGAGATCAGGAGGAGGCTCGAGATGCTGGGGAGGTGGTGGAGAAACCCCCTCCACAGCCCGTGGAACCCGTGTTCAGAGACCCGGGGAACCGGCCTGCTCTACCCCAAGAGCTTGGCCAGCATGCTCCAGAGGAGCCCAGGCTGCTTGTGGGAAGAGACCCAGCTGGACATCCTGACATGGAGCCCCAGGCAGCCCAGGCCAAGCTGAACAAAAACCAGAAGGGTGCTGTGCCTGAGGCAGCCAGGGCTGGGAAGCTGCTGGCCCAGGACCCGCAGCCAGTGCCCAAGCTGGACCCCACGGAGACACCTGAGAATGCAGAGAAAGGCCTTGCTGAGGGAGTCCCCAGGGAGAACCAGGATGTGTTTGGCAGAAGTTCCCAGGAAAGGAAGCAAACTGGAAAGAAAGCAGTAGCCCCTAGAGCCAGTGCTCAGAAAGAGGCTGGCAAGGCTGAGGCCGGGGCAGGCGCAGAGGCTGGGGACACCGTCATGAAATCCAGGCAGTCAGACCTAGGACCTGCTGTGGGCCCATCCGGCAGGCCGGCAGGCATGGCCCCTCAGCCCCAGGATGGACCCGGTCAGCAGGAGCCCAGGGCCAACTCCGATGGAGGCCAGGGTAGTCCCCTAGAAGCAAACCAGGAGTCCTTTAGAGGAGACCACGCACCCACTCCTCGCACACAGCCTAGAGCTGGGGAGGAGGCTGCCATCCAGGAGCCCAGGCAGAGGTCAGACCCTGAGCCAGGGCCCAGACTCACAGTCCCTGAGGCTCAGAAGCCAGACAATGCCAAGGCCAGCCGAGACCTGAAACTGCAAGCAGGCTCTGACCTTCGGAGGAGGCGGCGGGATCTTGCCCCTCACCCAGAGGGTGAGCCGGCCCCAAAGGATGGGGTCATCATTAGCTTTAACCCCCTCCCAGACATCCAAGTCAATGACCTCCGCAGTGCCCTGGACACCCAGCTACACCAGGCCCCCGGAAACGTGCTGCAGGTCATCCATAGCCGGCAGATCAAGCAGCTGCCTGGGGCTCCTGAGGAGGCCTGAGCACTCGCACAGTGCTAGCCCGGTGAGGGCCACTGTCCCATGAGCAGCCAGCCTACCTGCTCACACTCGCCAGTCCCCAGGAAGTGTATCCGAGACCCTTGAAAGTGCTATGGCATCTAGCGACCTCCCCATTGGCATTGTGTGCTGCTGTGCTGTCACTGCCCATTTTGAGGGACACTTCATCTCTGTACCCGCCGGGCCCACACAACCCCAGCAGCTCTCAGTGGAATGGCACGAGGCCCCTGCTTGTGTCCAGGAAAGCTGGGTCACTGCCTGCTGTGACCCATGTGACCTTCGACACCACCTGGACTGGGCTGCCTCAGGGCTCTAAGAACCGCTATGCCCCAGAACAGTCCTGATGCTGCCGGGCTCCCAGAAGCACAAGAAAGCCCTGTGGGCACCGTGCCTTCCCCAGGCCTTGGCGTTGGAGAGGTGCAGAAAGGGAGTTCTCGGCTTGCAGGCTTCCGTCACCTGCACGCACTCTGGCGTCTGCTCTTTGAAAAATAAAAGAAAAACTTAATGTGTGGTGAGTCGAGTTGGTGATGAGTTCATTCCAGGAGGAAAACATTTGGGATTCTGGATGGTAGCAGTGAGAGACACAGGGCAGGGCCCCACCCAGACTTCATGGGATTTGTGAACCAGGCGATCTTGGCACCAGGAGGACCCACCAGGAAGCCTGGTGCTTGGGCGTGGCCCGCCCTGCCCTGTGATGAACAGGCCTCACACATCTTGCCAGCTGTGAAGTTGCAGCAACTTTTTTTAAAAATTTTTTTGAGGCAGGGCCTCATTGTGTAGTCCAGGCTGGCTTTGAACTCTCGGTGCTCCTCCTGCCTCAGCCTCCCAGGTGCTGCGATTATAGGTGGCACCACACACCTGCTGTAGCAGTGACTCCGACTCAGGCACTGTTTCTGCCCTGCGTGGGCTCGAGGCCAGAGCCAGGGCCACCCTCAGGCCAGCGTCCCTTTTCCATGCTGGTCAGCACAGCCTGGGCCTCGCTTTAGAAGAGCATAGAGATGCTGTCTCCTCACAGCTAGGGAGGGCTCAAGAAGGCAAGGGCGCAAGAGCTTGGCTTGTGCCTCATCCTGCCACCAGGGCCGTGGGAGGACCATGTTTGTGAATGCTTCCGGGAGCCCTGGCCCATACCGGCACGTTCTCCCTGGAGCTGACAGAACCATTTCTTGAGTTTCCTCATAATTTCCTCAAACACGTTACTTGGTACCCTGCAGGCTGGACAGTGCCTGGAAGGAGTGGGGACACTCATCGGCCGAGTTGTTCCTGTTGGGCCGCAGGGCCTAGGCAGGGGCCAGGCCTCTGCTCACAGGAGGGGTTACCCGGCAGCGGGGACTGGGTTCCAGGTCTTTTTTTTTTTTTAATACTGGGGATTGAACCAAGGGCCTTTGTATTAAGCTATGAAACTGCAATTTTAAAAAAATTTAGGGGCTGGGGATATAGCTGTGGCATAAGCACCTACCTTGCAAGCAGGCGGTCATGAGTTCAATCCTCTGTATTGATTTAAAAAAAAATAGAGACTCTCACCAAAGTTGCCCAGGCTGGGCTCAAACTTGTGATTCTCGTGCCTCTGCTTCCAGACTGCTGGGATTATAGGCCTGTGCTGCCATGCCTTGCCGCGTTCTTTGCATTGACTGAAGGTGCGTCCACCAGAGGGACTGTGCCCCGTGTGGGGTCTTGCTCTGGTTGATGCTGCTGAATCCAGATCCAGGTTCAGTTTCCTCTCGGACATCCTCCTACCTGCTTCCTGTTCTCCAGGTATCCTGTGACTGGAGCAGGCAGCGGGCAGAGACACAAGTGGCCCTGCCTGTGCCCTGCCCTGGCCACCCCTCAGCACTCCTCTCCTTCCCCTGCCAGCCTCTCTGCCCCTTGCAGCAGCAGACCTGTGGGGAGGAAGGACATCTCCCCAAAAATCTGAGGTGTCTGGGCAGGGAGCCCCTTCTGTGCAGCAGCTGTTGCTGCTGTCACAGACACAGGGCCAGGTGTACCCTACTACAGCACCCCCCTCCCCAGGGCGACTGCCTCCAAGCTGCTACTGCAGCAGCACGGGCTCCACGGGGCTTTGCATGGCTCGGCTCGAGGGACCATGAGGGGTCAGGGGCAGTGCCTCCAGGAACTTGAGGTCTTATCCAGGAGCCAACATTACAGCAGCTGTGGTCAAATGTGGTCGATCTGAGCGTCCGGCCATGGGCCTTTGAGGGGTGCATAGCCTTGCCCTGTGAGGCCCATAGTGCTGTGGTGTTAATAGTCTGTGCCTGGATCCCCAATCCCCCAAACAGATGCATGGCGACGGCCCAAAGAAATCTTTAGGGCTGCAGGAGGAAATCCTCTGCTGAGCTCGTAACTCTGCTAGCCACAGGTCGACTGACCCTAGCAGCCCGTATTTAATTAGAAGCAAGGAGCTGAGTGGACAATGGAGGAAACCTGAGCAGAATCTTGGGTGGGGGTTTAAGGTCCCCTCAGAGCAACAGATGATGCTAATAAGGAAAATTATCCAGAAAGTCTCCAGGGGCCTCAGCTGTGGCCTATCTTGCCCCCTGAGGCGTCTCCTCATTTTCAGTTCAGCCATTTCCCAGGCCACACCACAGCCCTACACATGTACTCAGCTTCAGACTGCTCCAGCACTGGGGGTGAGTCAGAGTACACTCTTGCTTTCTGCCAGATTAGCAGGCGTCCCGGGCCTGCGGACATGATGCGGGCTGCCTGCGCTGTGCTCCATCACACACTTCCAGCTTCCAGACCACAGAAGCAGCTGGACTGCAGCCGAGCCCTGCGCGCATACACGCACACGCACATGTGGCAGTGTGGCCATGGAAGAGCAGAAGAGCAGAAACTCTCCATTGCACGGTGACAGCCCATCCTCATTAGAGCCATGGCTGGGACTGGGGCCCAGGTGTGTGCTGAAGGTCAAAGGAGCTTAGGGAGGAAATCTAGGGTAACAGCCAACCAGAGGGGTCCAGGAAGCCAGAGAGCTAAGTTTGGAGCCCAGGCCATGTGGGCTGTGAGAAGGGGAGGCCCCGCCTGGCACCACAGGAGGCAGCACGTGCCCAGTTTGGAAGGCATCCCGAGGGACCACACCTGTGATCCCAGCACTCAGGAGGCTGAGGCAGGAGGACTGATCACCAGGAATCTGAGGCTAGCCTGGGCTCCAGTGAGACCCTGTCTCAAAACAAAAAAATAAAGTCTTTGGGAAGACACTCCAGCCAGCAACGTGGCAGGGGTTGTAGAGGGGCTCCTGCGTGTCAGGAGTGGGTACCTGTCCAGTGAGGCCTGGACCTGGGTCGCATACCAGGCCATAAGTGCTTCTGAGATGCATGGGTGGCCACTTATACCATGTGTCATACTGCTGTGGTGGCTCCAGGATGAATGGGCTCCACCCAAGGCCAGGTGAGCACATGCTGGTCTGGTATGACTATGCTCTGCCTGGCTGGTGGCCCACAACATAGCTGGTCCTGGGCCTGTGCACAAAGGCAACCCATGCCACCCTGGAGGCCACATGTGTGACAAGCTCATGGTTTGTATGAGACATGGCTCCGCTCTGGGGAAGTCAGGCCAGTCTTGGGTTTGCATTTTGATGACATGGAAGCACAGATTGCAGCCCAAAGCTGCAATGCCTGAGGCCCTGGCCCTGCTCTGGCCCTGTGGATCTGAGCAGGTGCAGGCTGCAGCTTCCACAGCCCAGAGGGAGGGCCTCAGTCATTCCGGCAGCACCCAGCAGGTGGTGCTCAGGTCTGTGGAATCCCTGCTGCCCCCCCTGGGCTGTACTGCACTGACTGTGGTACTATTGGGTTTAGCCTAAATTCTGAGGGTGGGGAGGGCCAGGACCTGTCCATCATGTACCGCAGCTCAAGGGTGGGCTTCAGGGAGGTGGCTGTCCCTGCATGGAGGGGCTGAGCATACCTCTTCACAGCTCAGGCTCGAGGCTGCAATAGTCAGAAAAGCCCTCTGAAGAGCTCTCAGTCCCTCAGGGTACAGCAGGGCTTTCACTTCTGCTATGTCCTAGACATGGACATGGTTTCACAAGATTCAGATGACATAGTTCACGGTTTGGTCTCATGGTTTCACAAGACGTAGATGATATATTTTTTAGTGAAAACGTCTTTAGATGGGGATGCTGTGGCAGAGTTCACAGCCCAGACCTGCCAGCTTTTTCAAAGCAGGGGTCCTAGGGCCCACTGTCCCTAGGTGAGGCTAGACTCCCAGGATACAGTGAACACAAAGCTGTGTGAGGTTCAATAGTCTTTACTGGAGTTTGGTTACATCTTAATCTAACTCAGATCATCCTGCACACAGTGCCAGAAAACAAATGCCTATCCTGCCCAAGGTCCATGCTGATGAGGAAAACACACAGGGACACTGCAAACTTGGCCGCTCCTACTTGTTCAGCCTGGAGCTTAGGGTCCTTCCTAAGAGCCTCCCTTCAGGCTCTTCTTGGCCTGAAAAAGAAAGCATTTTGTCTGAACTGCTTATTTCTAAGGTATTACTCAAAAATAAGAAAGCTACCACATTAAATGCCACATTCAACCAAAAACCTCACACACAACTTGGGGGCTGGTGCGTGATGGGGGACCAGGCTGGCCAGAGCTCAGGAGGTTGGGTGTCACTGCTGCACCAGACCCCATGCAGGCCCCCACATACTGCACTGGGTTGCGTGCTGTTGCCAAGCTGTTCCCAAAGCTTAAGAGATACCCATGTGGTCTGCCCAGCACACGATGCTCCCGGGCTGAAGTTGGAGTCTGAGCACAAAGCCTGTACACTCCTCAGGCAGCACTCCATGGGGAGCAGAGGCTCGTCACTGAGAGGGACTTTGGAGGGTCCCAGCTGAGCTCAGTCTGTCTAACAATGGCTACTGGCTCTCGTGACAGGAAGGTTCCACCATGTGCTGGGCAGGGGCTCCTGAGGGTCTTTATTTGATCCAGATGAGGGCATATCAGAGAGGTAGGGGTCACAGATGGCCAGATACCTGATCAGTAACTCATGCCTGGCCACAGATCAGGTGGTAAGGAGAAATCGGTGTGTATCCTCTGATCGTTCCCTGAGACATGAGGGAGCTGCTAGCCCGGAGTGAAGGCCTGTCTGTCTTTCCCCTCAGAGGGCTCAAAAGTTGGAAACCTCCTGAAAGTCAGGAAGCCAGTCAAAAGGACAAAAAGTGCTACTTCTAATGAAGAACCCTCCTCTGGGTCGCAGGTTGGGCCCACAACAACCACAAGGAAGGGATGAGTTTTCCCAGCATTCCAGAAAATGTGCGCAAAACGGAAAGAAATGTAGGAATCATGTGTTCTGCCAGTCTGCTGAGGGTAGTCCTGGGGCACCAAGAGGCTGCTTCACTTACAGACTGAAACTACCCTTCCCCAGTCCAGTTTTCGTGAGGTTCTCCCTGGAAACAGGCGGTCCACTGAATCGGGCTGCTGGAGTGGGGCCCAGTGATGCTGTAACTGAGAATCAGGCTCAGAATGACAGCCTCAAATCCTGTGGCTAAGGCTCCATCGGCAGGTGGCGCCCCCGTCCTGGGCCATCTGCTGTCCACACCCGTAATCTGCGGTGCGGCTTCGATGAGAACCTGCCATTTCTTTGTAGAGTCTCGGTACAATCTATGAACTCCCTTTCTCCTCTATGAAAGGCTGTGCCTGGCAGGTCAGGGGCCACCCGCAGGCGCCGAAGGGACCCAGCAGGGTAGAAACGAGAGGTGCCGGGGGCTCGCTCAGGGTCCAGGTCGGAGTCCTGCCCGTGGCAGCAGCGCTTGCCGCTACATCCCACCTGAGCTTCCCGGGGTTAGCGGGCTGCTCGGGCTACAGACGCTGCCCGCTGGGCCGGGGTAGGCCTTCCGCTCGGGGCCAGCGGGAAAGTAAGGCAGGCCGGGACGGCCCGCGGGAAGGGCAGGGAAGGGGCAGCGCCCACCTACCGCAGTGACAAAGCAACTCCGCAGGGCCGCGAACTCCCGTGCACAGAGGTCCTTGCTCAGGCGGCCGCCCGGGGCGGTGGAGGCCTGCACGCACTTGCCGTACGCCACGGCCTGCGAAGGGACGAGCGCGGTAACAGGAGCCTGAGGGAGCCACCGCCTCCCCCCCACCCCCGGCCACATCAGGTCTGACCGGCCCTTCCTAGCCAGCAGGCACGGCCCAGCTCTCAGGTTCTTACCTCGGCCTCGCAGGCTGCCAGATGCTCCGGGAAAGCGCGGAAACGGCTCCGCACGCGTCGCCACACCGCTCCGTTCCCTGACATGAGAGGTTCTTCCAGATACGCATGGAGGCCGCCATCTTAGGCCCATCCTCTTCCGGCGTCCCTTGCTTGACCATCCTACGCTTCCGCCCATAATCCTGCCTACTCTTTAGGATTGGCCAACATGTCCTGTTTCTAGTGCTACAATTGGTTTTTAGCCTGGTCTGTCTCTACTTCCGGACTTTGGATTGGTTCAGGCTCAAATTGTTCAGGAAGCCCCCCCCCCCGAAGGCCCGCCTCCCGTGATTGGCTGTTGGAGTCAGAGCCGCGCAGAGATTGGAGAGTCTCGGCCTGGAGGAAGCGGGTCAGGCCAGGCGGTCCCCTGGACCATGGCTGCCCCGCCGCCGCTGCGGGATCGTCTGAGCTTCCTGCACTGGGTGAGTGAGGGCACCTTGGCTCGCTCACATCCGGGCTCCAGGCACCTCACTGGAGTGGCGGGGACAGTTTAGCAGCGTGAGAGAAAGCGAGCTCGTTCCGACCGCGGGAGAACGAGAGACGGCAAGTTGCGGGGAGGTCTTGGGACCGGCGACACCGTGTGGGAGTCGAAGCCACTTCTGACTGAGGCAGTGGCAGGCCGGTTGTAGATCTCCAAGAGAAGGGCCGGGGCGTGTTGCCAGCTGCTCGTCAAAACAAAACGTAAAGTCCACTGACAGCTCTCAACCTTTTCAAGCTGAAGTCTCAGAGCTTTTACAATGCCAATAAGCTGCTACAGCAGGTCTGAACTCCTAGGCAGAGCTCGGGCGGAGTCCTTACGCCCTCCCTCCAGGCTCCCTTCGTGGTGTGGTGTGTCTGAGTGGTGTGTGCCCACAGCCTCGGAATACCCACGCGGGTTACGTTTTACTTGTATTCGTGACTGTAGGTGCTTGGCATTCACACTGTGTTCTCTGCTCACTATCTGACAGGGTCCCTGTACTTGTCGTTTTAAATGTCTTTGATCCCCCTCCATTGTCTAGACATTGAAAAATAGGAGAACAGGCATTTCCAGTTTTTAGTCCCATAAATGGCATCTTTTCCTGACAAGCAGGTAACATAAGCAAACAGTCTGGACTGATGTGTGAACATAAACCCACAGCTTAATTGTTCCTATGAAGCTGTGGAGTTAATTGAGCTGAGTTCTGATTCTGCCTGCCTATCAGTGTTCAGGAGAGATAGTGTCACAGCTTTGAACGTTTTGCTTCTTCTAGTCCATAAATAGGTGTATTAAAGGTACCTTCAAATCGCTTTACCGAAAACTGCAGGAATCTGGGGCTGACTCTCATCTTGTGTAGGTAGAGAACCATCACTGATTTTCCTCTCCCCTGAAGCTATGTATCAGTGACTATTCAGAGGAGACAGTTGTGCAGGCCCTCTGTGGTGGGTAGGATGATTCTGGCCCCTTTCAGGTCCTGCCCCAGGCCCGCATGTCAACAGTGAGAGCACTTCCCGTTTCTATAGCCTTTGGTGGCTGCAGTCTCACCCTCTGTAAGAAGGTGATTTGTTGTGGCTCTTACTCCCTTGCAGCTCCCAGTTCTCCTGAAGGGAACCTCAGACAATGATGTCCCATGTCCAGGGTACCTGTTTGAAGAGATTGCTAGTATCCTTCCTTGACATCTTTAGTGTGGGCAGAGGGATGGTAAGGGCCCTGAAGCAGCACCTGTGATTATAAGCAGCCACGACTCCTTCATCATAGTAATGTGGTATGGTTGGGGTCTGGAAGCCGAGACAACAAGGATTAGGCCCCTGCGATGCAGCCCAGCTGCCCCTGTGTGTGGCCTGTGGGGGCAGTGGGCAAATTGAAACTTTGAACTCAAAGACTCGGGGTCAGGGGGACCTTAGAAACTCCAGTGCTTCTGAAACCAGGCTTGTGTAGGTATCTGCAGGGAATGTGACCTAAAGAAGGTGGATAACACAGGAGGGCAGGTTCCCTGCTCAGCCAGCACGGTCTGGTGCGGCCTGTATCAGCTTGTTCCTTTCCTAACCCGAGTGCATCCCAGAAATCTCCCATGAGTCAGTGGGTAGCAGTCAGTGCCTGCTGGAATATCTCTTAAACCGCCTGGACAGCAGCTCTGGCCATGTGAAACTCAAGGTGAGTCCTGGCTGCTGGCCAGGCCCCAGCTCCTGCCTGTAGATGTCAAGGGTAGAGGGAGGGGTAAATAGTCTGGGTGGTGGGTGGCTGGGCCTGGCCCTGAGCATCCTGTATAGGGTCTCACCAGCCCCACATACCTGCTGACTCCCCAGGTGCTGAAGATTTTGCTCTACCTGTGCAGCCATGGCTCCTCGTCCTTCCTCCTCATCCTCAGACGCAATTGTACTCTCATCCAGGAAGCCACAGGTATGAGCAGCTGGCACAGGGAGAGCCAAGCACCTTGGATGGTAGGGAGGAGGATGCTTATTGGTCTGGACCTGCAAACAAGGGTAAAGAGAAATCTATCTGTGCTGGAAGCCCCCACCGAGGGATTCCTTGGGAAGGCACTCTCAGCTCTGAAAGGGTGAGGTGGAGTAGGCATGCATAGGGTGCTGTGGTGCCCTCCTGCACATGCAGAGGCCCTGAGGCAGAGAAAGGGGTGGTTTGATGTGACATAGGAATACCCAGTTTTCTAGGAGTGAAGCCTTTATCCCAGGCCAAGGCTGGGATAAGCAGGCTGGACCAAGTAGGACCTTTCAGGCCATGATAGAGACCCTGTCAACCCTGGTCAGTTCACACTGCATCTGGAAAGATAGATCTGGGTCAGTGGGAGCAGTTAGCTGGACAGCGCCCTAACTGAGGCAGGATGTGGGGTGGGTAAGGAGGATGCCCAGGGTCTGTCCCAGTGTGGTTTGTGCAGAGCCCCACGGAAGGGGACCCCAGCTGACTGTGGAGGAGAGGGGAGGGGTGGCTGATGTCTGAGAGGAATGGACCTTAGGAGCTCCCTCAGGGTGGTCAGCCCAGCCTGCTCCTTTCTGCCTTCTCTGCCCTCAGTTTTTTCGGGACCCCCAGATCCTCTGCACGGGAACAGTTTGTACCAGAAGGTGCGAGCGGCTGCCCAGGTGAGCCCAGCCCTAGTCACTGCTGGGGTCCACAGACATGCTGAGGTGTCCACAACATTTGCTGTTTTTCCACTGCTGCTGGCCTGCGGCTCCTAGACTGGTTAGGAAGCTCCAGGGAACGTTTGGGATGGAGCCAGGTGACAGGGCAGGAGTCAGAAAGCAGCCAGGGGCTCACTGAGCCCCACCTCCTCCCTCAGGACCTAGGCAGTACTTTGTTCTCTGATGTTTCGCCGCTGCCTCCCTCTCAGCCTGCCAGGACCCTGCCCCCCGCAGGTAGGAAGCCCTGGCACTGCCCAGCAGGCCTCTCCTTGCTCCCTGCCCTCCGGTCCTGAGCTCGGCACACCTATGGGCGGGTCTGTGTGGGCAGGGCCAGATGTCTGGAGAGGAGGGCCAGGGCGGTGGCCCCTGCTGAAGTCCAGATCCTCCTAGGCATGGGCTCCCAGACCAGGCCTCGAAGTGGTCTCCAGGGTTTCGGTTACAGCAAGGAGCAGGGTCGTGCAGGTAAGGGGCCACCTGTGTACCCAGCAAGCGGGGAGGGGAGGTGACCAAGGCAGTCAGCAGGCCTCGCCACCCATACTGCTGTTCTCTCCACAGCCACCTCCTCTCCCTTCCAAGAGGAGAGCAACATGGGCATGGCAGCATCAGGGTTAGCTGGCAGTGGGGGTTCACTCCTACCTTGAGGAGCCAAAGAGAGGGACCCTAACTATGGCACAGGAACTGAGTGGTCCCATGTGTGAGCTATAATAACGGGGGGGGGGTATGTTTGTGCATCCATGTCCTTAGGACAGATGGAGCCTTCTAGACGGAGGTACACAAAGTGGCAGAGGCACTTTAGCTGTCCCGTGAGCAGGCCATGGCCAGCTGTGCACTGTTTGACTGTTACAGATTATCCTGCTCATGGCCTTGCGGTTCTGGCTCACACTTTAAGCTGGAGGGTACCTTCTGAGGGAGCTCACACTGGCAAGGGCAGCCCCCTCCTAGTACCCCTTAACCGAAGGACAGCCCCTGGGGATACTCCCTGCCAGAGGCCTCCCCTTTGTATGTGCAGTACATGTCCCTGCCCCACCATCCCTGAGCAGGGAGCAGCCCTGGCACTGCCATCCGGGGAATCTGGGGCAGGTGGGCACAGTTCTGGAGCATTGGCACCTTGACCCCTCTGGGCGCAGGCTCTGCAGGTGAAGCCTTCCTCTCCACCATCCAGAGGGCCGCAGAGGTAGTAGTTAACGCCGTACATCCCAGGCCTGAGAACTCCCACACCCAGAGGTCTCTGCCACAGGGTGACACCTACCAGCCTGCCGTGACACCTTCAGGCAGCCACAGCCACCCCACTTCTGGGAACCTGTTCCCTGGGGTCATCCCAGGTGCTCGAGGTATTGAAAGGAGGGCTCTGGGTCACCCCTTGTTATTTGCTGGAACCCTGGGCTTTCAGGATTTGTAGGCAAATGACCACAGGACAGTAGACATAGCCCTAGCCCACTCAGGTGTGGGTGAGAGAGGAGCAGGGAGTGGGGTGCCTGTCGGCCAGGGTCCACCTGCCTGGAGTTTTCTGGAGCTGCTACCCAGGCAGCTGCCCCATCCTTAGTTTTCATCACAGAGGGCTTGGGGGCGGGGGTGTGTGAGGATGACCGGAAGTCCCTGAGGGTCTCAGCTGCTATCCTTGTCTCTTCCAGCTGTGAGACACCAGCCAGGGCAGGTCGGGGGAGGCTGGGATGAGTTGGATAGCAGCCCCAGCTCCCAGAGCTCCTCCCGGAACAGTGACCAGAGCCGGGCCTCCGATGCGGGTAGTCGGTCAGGCAGTGATAGCCACTCAGGTGCCAACCGAGAGCCAGGTGACCTGGCAGAAAGGTGAGTGGAGCAACTTGTAACCTGCCCTTGAGTGGGACCTTCCAGCTGGGCTTCCTCCAGGCTCACCTCAGTGCAGGGAGGGAGGAGGCTGGCCCCAGCCCTCCACCAAGGATGGAGCTTTCCTGACCTGGCCATGCCCTTGCCAGGGCTGAAGCCATGGCCCTGAGTGACTGCCAGCAGGAGCTGAGCCTGGTGAGGACTGTGACACAGGGACCCCATGCCTTCCTGAGCCGTGAGGAGGTCCAGCACTTCCTAAAAGAGTGAGTGACCCCCACAGTGCTGCCCACTCTGGGGCGAGGGGACACACAGCATCCCACCTGCATGTCCTTTTCTTTGGCAGGTGCGGCCTGCTCAATTGTGAGGCAGTGCTGGAGCTGCTCCTGTTCCAGCTGGGCACAGCTAATGAGCTCGAGCAGATGGTGAGGGCAGGGGCCATGGGGTGCACCACAGGCATTGTGAGGCTGGGTGTGGGCGTGGGGGAGCCAGTCAGGCACCTCTCATACTAGGCCTGGAGGAGTGGAGGAACAGGGGTTGGAGAGGGGCTCCCGCAGGTGCAGAGTGGTGCCCAGGGCTGACTCCTGTCCCTGCTGCACCCACAGAGGGCCCTGAGCGCCATCGCCTCCCTTGGTTCCGCTGACCTCCTTCCCCAGGAGCACATTCTCCTCCTCTCCCAGCCACGGCTAGAGGAGCTCAGCACGAGTAGCCCCGGGCCTGTGACCAGCAAGGCCACCAAGGTGGGCAGCAATTGGAGCCACAAGTACACTGGCCCTGAGGAGCCATGGGGTTGCCTTAGCAGTAGTCATCTCTGTGTTCAGCTGGACTCCCCAGCCCTGCCCAGCAGGCGATGCCAGCAGAGAAAGAGTCCAGGGTCGGGGCCCACCTGCTCCCTGACCAGTGGCTCCCTGGCTCTTGCCCGGGCTCATGGCCTCCACCGGGAAGCCCAAGGCTGGTCTCTTTCATGGGTCCCAGCTCTGTCTGAGCAGAAATATCTCCTTTTGCCTGTTTCCGGTTCCTCAGGCGCTCAGTGCCTGGGGGCCTCTCCATCTGCCTGGTAGTGTCCCCAGCTTCTTTATTCCTGTTTTCCTTGCGGCTGCTGAAAACTAGCTCCCTTGCTTTGCATGATGTCTACCCCCCACCCTTCCCTCAGCCCCAGCCCGGGGAGCCTCATGGGTGCACTGGCTCCCTCCACTCCGCTGGCAGGCCCAGAAGCTGACAGGATGGGGGATGTGCTTCTGCACAGAAGCAGCATGGCCCCTGCATCCTGCTTTTTGACATTACAAGGCCAGCAGCAGGTGACCAGGCCTCCCCAGGCTGGCCCTGCCCCTGGACAGTGGACTGAGGAGGGACCTGGAGAAGCTCAGGTCTCAGACCATGACCCCCAGGAGCTGTACCCAAGCTCTCACCACCTCCGCTTTTCCAGATCCTGAGACACTTTGAAGCCTCTTGTAGACAGCGACCCCTAACCCCAAGGCCCTGTGCTGAGTCCAGCGCTGCAGTCACCCTGGAGGGCCCGTCTGACCTGCTGACCTGCCCTGTGCCTCCCTCCAAGACCCAAGTCTTCCTCCAGCCCCTGAGCTCCACCCCTGTCTTGCCGAGCAGCCCTGCACCCACCCTGGCTCCAGATACCAGCCCCATCCCAGCCCCTGGACGTGCCAGCAAGCCTGAGACCCCACCAGCAGCTTCCAGAGAACAGGAGGCACAGCCCAGGCAGGGTCTGGGGGACATGGACGCCACACAGGGTGGCCCTAGCCACTCTCCATGCAGCCGAGACTCCTTGTTTGCTGGCATGGAGCTGGTAGCCTGCCCCCGCCTGGTGGGGGTTCAGGCTACAGCAGAGGAGCCCAACCCGGCCCCCCACGGCCTTCAAACATGGGCCCAAAGGGCAGCAGTCACAGAGCCTCCAGGCCCAGAGTTGTCAGCCTTTGCCTTCTTAAACAAGTGACCATGGGGGACCCAAGGGCTGGCTGTATAAGGGGGTCTCCTTGTTTCTGCTGGTGGCTCGCAGGACCCCATGGCCTCCTGCTGGCAGCCCTACTTTGTCCCCTCCATTTACCCTTCAGCCACTGAGGCCTGGGTATAGAATCAACTGAGCTAGGCAGTGCCAAGCAGGACTCCCAGCAGTCAGCGCGGTCACTGGTGGGCCCGAGCAACCCTCGGTGCTGGAGCCCAGCCAGGACAGAACACAGTTGTGAGGAAGGGGCTAATTTATGTCCTCAAAGTCTTCTCAAGAGATGGCTCCCTGTCCATCAAGCATGATGAGGCTTCCTCTTTGTGCAAGGGATAGGACCCACACAGGCTGCTCTCGGGGGATTCCCTGTGGCTGGGGCCAGCCTGCCCACTGCAGAGGTTCCCAGCTTTCACTAGCACATCTGCAGGGCCAGCTTTCCTGAGGGCCTGGTCCTCAGCTCCCTCACTGCAGAGCCCCCTGGTCCCTGTCCAGCAACCCTGCCCCCTATCTGCTTTGCCATCGGCTGACTGTGAGGACTTGAGTTCTGACAGGCAGGTGGCAGGGCTCACAAGTGCTGCCTGGGGACCCAGGGCAGCTCTCACCTATCCTGGCCTTAGGCACAGGCTGCTGGTATGGGTTTGGATCTCAGCCCCTTCTTTCCCCAGCAAGCTGCAGCATCTGGAGCTGCCCCCTGTGGGGTAGGTGGTGGAAGTGTTTTGGTGCCTAGGGCTGGGACTGGTGCTTGGCTGCCTGGGGTTCTGTGGCCTTCTTGAGCTCAGTCCCTGCAGCATCTGGCAGTATACCTGTGGGGCTGGAGTGTGAAACACTGGCCCTCAGAAGACCCTGCAGGAGCTCGGGATGAACACTCTGAATAAACACTACTGTTTACATGAAGCTGGACACAGCTTGTCTTTTCTCCTTTTGTACAGGTGTGTTTTAATGAAAATACCATTATGGGGGGGACACTTAAAGAACGTCTTAAAAGTAGTGACAGTTGTTATTCCTCAGATGTTTGGTAGAGCTTCCCATTCTGTCTTCACCATTAACCTCCAGGGCAGAAAACACCTCAGACCCTGGTGGTGGTGGCTACTCAGCTGGTGACCTGGGTGTGACAGCAGAGTGCCCCATGTGGTGAATGACAGCTGGACTGTGTGTGTGTGTGTGTGTGTGTGTGTGTGTGTGTGTGTGTGTGTTTCATGGCGAGCTAAGCTAGGTTGCTAGGCAAGTATTGCAGCCCCTCAGCAGAATCTTTTTCTTTTTTTTGAGACAGGATTTTGCTATGTAGCCCAGGATGGCCTTGAACTCACAGTGATCCTCCTGCCTCAACCTCTTGAGTGCAGGAATTACAGGTGTACAACCGTGTCCTGCTGGATTTTTTATATAGTGAGGAGCTAATACTAAAAGTTTTAAGAAAAGGGAGTCAAGAATAGATAGATAATTTTGAAAAAGAATGAATACTAGATGTCAAGGTTTCTTGCACTTGTCAAGGCTGTGGAGGTGGTGCAAGTTAAGACTCATACTATAGGGCTGGGGATGTAGCTCAGTGGCACAGCACCTGTCTGACAAGCACAAGGCCCTGAGTCTGATTCCCAGTATCAAAAGAAAAAAGATTCATACTATACATCAACTGAGCAGCAGACAATTGAGAAAGACCACATAAATATGGTGAACTGATTTTCTACAAAGATGCAAAGGTAACTCAGTAAAGAAGGGTAACCTTTTACGACCAAGGACTGAAATGGGAAAAAATCTTGGCTCATACTTCATACCTTCCACAAGACAAAGTGAGCCAGGGCCCAAAGCTATCAAATTTCCAGAAGAAAACAAGGAAGAAAAGTTTCTGTTGTTGGGTTAGGCAACGGCTTTACACATTAGATTTTAGCACAAACCAATGAGGCTTGGCGGTGCATACCTAAATCCTAACACTCTAGGAGGCTGAGGCAGGGGGATCACAAGCTCGAGCCCAGTCTGGGCAGTTTAGTGACTTCACAAGAACTTGTCTGCAGAAGTAAGCAGGCATGGCGGCACATGCCTGACACCTCAGGATGTGGGAGGCTGAGGCAGAGGAAGATCATACTGAGCTCAAGGGGAGCCTGAGCTACACAGTAAGACCTTGCCTCAAAAACAAAACAAAACACTGAAAAGAGCTGGTGGTTTCACTCAGTTTAAAGGCCCTGGCTTTGGTCTCCAGTGTCTCCGAGGTGCGGAAGCCTTGAGGATACCAAGAAGTGACTGCGGGTAGGGAGCGACTAGAACTCAATCCTGATGAGAGTGTAACATACAAGTTTGGAAGAACATTTTGGCAATTTCTTACGAAGTTCAGTAAATATCATAGGAGCCAGCAACCCCGCTTGCAAGTGTTTATCCAGAGAAATGTCCCGCACTCACACAGGGCCCCTGAGAGGATGTCTAAGGCTCGAGCTGTCATTGCCGGTCCCTTGGTAGGCGAAGGCGAGTGAGGCAACGAATGTGCCGCACTTGTAGCTTGTAATACTTCTCTGGGTCGTGCAGATGAATTTTAGGATACCTGCAGGAAAAGCCAGGCCAAAGCCACGCGGTGGACAGTGTGATGCTGTGGACAGGTTAGCGAGCCTGGCGACCGCGAGGCCACTCAGCGGGTCTGGTAGAGGTGGCAGTGTCCTCCATCAGGATTGTGGCGTGGTTTTATACAACTGTACACCCCAAAGTGTGCACTTCACTGTATCTAAATCAAACTTTTTCATTTACAAAATTAATAAAATAAGAAGAGGTCAGCACTGTTACTTTAACGTAACTTTTGACGGAAGACCATCTTAGCTCAGGAAGGGCTCTCTAGGCAGCGGGAAAACGGTCCACAGCGCGTTGGGGACGTCTACACCCAGGATGAGAGTGAGACACAGCCTCCGGCCCGCCCACGACCGGAGTCCCCGCCCACAAGCGGAGGCCTCCGCCCCACGCCGCCGGTCCCGGCCCACGCGTCGTGCCCACCCCCTTCCAGCCGCGTCCAATCGGCAGCCAGCGGCGCTCGCGGCTCTCAGCGCTCCGCCGCTCCTCCTCCGCGGGAACTTCCCGAAGGACAGCCCAGATACCCAATGATCTCGCGAGGCGGCCAGAGCGGGCGGACACAGGGCCAATCAGAAAGTGTCGCGCTCAGGAAAGGCGGGCCGATGTGACGGACAAGGAGGAGGTGCCAGGCTGGTTGCTAGCGGCCAGTGCTCGACCCGCGGCATCACGCTTCATTGTCACGGTTCTCGTAGGCATCACCGAAGGCCTTGGGCACAAGTCGCACACCCGGCCGAGTCTCCCGGCCCAGTTCTCTGAGCCCTGCCCTCACAGGTGAGGGGGAGTCCACGCAGTTCTGGGTGCTCCGCGCGTTGACGGGCTCCGCGCGGGAGAGAAGGGGTGGTCCGCGCAGGTGAGCCGGGCAGGCCTGCAGGAAGGAGGGGTTTGTGTCCTAGAAGGGCGCGGATGGGGACGGAGGAGGTGCGAGCGGCCACTAGGGAAGCAAGAACACCCCGCCGCCGCCAGCCCTGCCTCTGGCATCCGTGGGTCAGCTTAGCCCTGCAGGGCCAGACAAGGCACTTAGCCCTTGTCCCTCCAAGTCCTTCAGGAGACTCCACCTCATCTAGGGGCCTCAGTCTTGCGGCTTAGAGGTTTCTATGGAGAGGCTGTTTACCACCTCGGAGGCTCCTCCTGCACGCGTGATGGGGAAGCCACGCGTCCCCAAGCTCCACGACCAGCCTGATCTGGGTGTCAGATTTCACTCGAATAACCGGAAATGTAGCAGGGGACACCGGCCGGGCTGCTGGCCGTGCAGCCTCTAGGGAATAGGTTCTACCCTCCCAGGCCTGCGGGCTGCTGCGAGTTGGCTGAGCAGGGCAGCACTGATGATAACTGTGTGCCGTTGGTCTGCCCAGTCTCCGTGTGGCAGGGAGACTGTGGTCGCTTTGGGCTTGTCTTGTGTCCCCACTCACTCAGTACTCGCCACCCGAGTGCCTGCCACCTCGGGAGGGGTTCCGCATTCAGTGTCTCTTATGTCCCAATGTGGAGGCCCGTAAAGCCAGATAAGGGAAGAAAGAGTGCTGAGAGGGGTTAGGAGGAAATTGTGAGGGGGAGCATCCTGAGGCTGAGCTGCCAGCAGAGGTGCCCTGGGACAAGCTGGCCAAGTGGGACCGCAGTAGAGCCAGGGAGTCAGACAGCAGGCTCCGGTCTGTGGGTGATGGATGTTTCATTGCCTGAGCCTGGGGCCTGACCAGAGCTGAGAACAGAGTTTCCTTGTCCAAGGTGAATTGGTGGCTGGACCAGAGTTGTGGTGTGGAGGAAGCCTGGAGGCAGAGGTGGTCCCCTGGTGAGAGGGTGGATAAAGAGAGAGTTAGGGACTGAGCCCTGGAAGCCTCCACCTCTCTGGAAAGAGGAAGAGGAGTGGCCTGCAGGAGAAAGGGGACAGAGTCAGAGGAAGGTTGCCTCAACCTGGGCGCTCATGGAAGTTCTGGGGGTTCTAAGGCAAAGCAGGGGTGGAACTGGGGTTCCTATTGCCAGGTAAGCCTGGGAACTGGGGTGTCTTTACTGTGGAATATCTGAGCCCAAATCATGCTGAACAACTCACTATTTTGAGCACTTACCGGGTGCCAGCCTCCTGGTTATGTCCAAAGCTCATGACAACCCCTGTGAAGAGGCGTTGTTTATTTATTCTGCAGTACTCAGAATTGAACCCAGGGACTTTGCAATGAGCTACATTCCCTGTCTCTTTTTTTTTTTCTTTTCTTTTTTACATTTTTAATCTAATTTATTTGAAATGCTCCCAGAAAAGTTTAAGGCCATTATAAAAAAGCATTCATTCCATCAAAAACATTCATTGACTTCCTTCCTAAAGGCCAACACTTGGCAAACTTCTTTTCTCAGTGCCTTGGCCCAAGTGGCCCGCGGTTCTTCAGAGTGATTCCTTTGTTTCCCATCACTGAGGAACCTTTCTGAGTTTTTCCCTGCTTCTGTCTGTAGCAGGTTCATTCACTCGCTAACTTATAACAACTTGAGAAACAAAATATTTTACATAAACTTGTAATAGTAATTACTATAAAGTTTAAAATCTATAAATGTCTTATAGGGTAAAATTGACCGTAATATTTTTTACTTTTGAAAAATGATAATGTACTATATCTTGTTTTTACATCATTAATTTCTGTTCCAGCTTCTTTGAATGCACATGATCTGTTACACAGTAAAATGCCAGCATTGTAGTTGCGGCTTTCTTTTCTGTAAACCTGAAAAACACAGAAGATTTAAAACTTTTTTGGCAATAATTTAGCATCATTCTGCTAGTGCTAGTGTGGGTATAATTTTGCACATTCTAAATATTTACAATCACAGGGAGCTTTTCTGTGTGTTTTGTCCCAGCCTCTTTTTAAATAATTTTCTTAGTTATTATTGAAGTCCCTGACTTACATTTGCAAGCTTGTAAGTTGAGTTGCAGTATTTCACAGTGTGCTATGTAAGACTCTTGTCAATTTACAGATGAATACAGCTTGTGGGTAATTCCCCTGTAACGGAACTTGTTTGTCACTTGGAGCATATATATTTCTTTTTTGGGGGGGTTGTTGAGAGAGGGTCTTGCTATGTAGTCCAGGCTGACCTTGAACTCACTATGTAGCCCAGACTAGCCTCGAACTCACAGCCATCCTCCTGCCTCTGCATCCCGGATGCTGGGATTACAGGCAGCCGTAGAGGTACACCACCACACCTGGCTCGTATGTATAAGATTTTTTTTTTTAATTTTTTTTGTCTTTTTCCTATTTATCGGTACCAGGAATCGAACTCACGACTGCCTGCTTGCAAAGCAGGCGTTTATGCCGCTGAGCTAAATCCCCAGCCCCTGTATAAAATTTTTGAGACAGGGTCTCATTAAGTTACTCAGGCTGGGCTTGAGCTTTGTATCTTCCAGCTTCAGCCTCCCAGAGCGCTGGGATTTCAGACCTGCACCACCATTTCCTGGCCCAGGGTGTCCTTTTGAGCTCCCTGTTTTATAGGAGAAGCTGTCTAGACAGGTGGAGCTCCTGACACAGGCTCATGGAGTGGGGTGAGGGGCAGAGCCTGCTCATACCCACAACTGCCTGCTGGCCTGTGCCTGTGACAGCAGCCTCCACGGCCCTCTGCCCAGCCCCATATCCACATGGCATTTGGAAGGCCCCTGGGTAGGGGCCCACCCCCAGGAGGTGAGCATGTGGGCGGTGGCAGGTGCCCCTGTCCAGGCCTGTGTCTAAGGCTCTGCCAGGTGTGGTGGGTGCAGGGGCCTTGGTTCCTCCAGGGATTCCACTTCATCTCTCACTTCCTTTCAGGGCCCACTGTCCACCATGAAAAGCTCCAGGGCTATCAGAAGTGCCCCTGAAGGCAGCCCCGAATGCGCAGACTTGAGTCTGACCGGCCTCCCTCCACCGTTGTCCCGGCGTCCCAGCAGCGCTTCAGCCACTAAGCCCTTTGTGCGCTCTGTCTCTGTGGCCGCAGGTAGTGAGCCGAGGAGGAAGGCGCTGGTGAGTGCCAAAGCCAGGGTGGATGGGTTCTGGGCCCTCTGGCTCTGGGGACAGTTACACTGACTGTCAAAGAAGTCTAGGCAGAGCGCATCCCCACCCAGCACTGGCCTGTGCTCCTGCTCTGTGGCCCTCTAGCTTTGCCTAGAGTCTTAAGAATTGGGGTTGACCTGCAGGGATGGGGGTGATGCGCTCCTATGGCCTTGGGCAACAGCAAGGTTCAGGTGGCTGAGGTGAGAACCATCTTTCTTCTTCCTGTCCATCTGCAGAGCAGGGGAAAGCGCTGCCACCAATGGGTGGAAGTGGCTTTGAGAGGCCAAGGAGGCCCATTGTGCTGCTTGAGCCGCTGTCCACCCAGGGATGGGGAGGAGCAAGAGCTCTGCAGAGGCCCTGTGCTCCCAGGCTGGCCTCAGCTTCTGGAATGACAGGGGCCTGGAGACTTAGCTCCAGTGCTCGAGCTTGCAAGGGCTGAGGTCTGTGTGGAGGTCACAGGTGAGGAACAGGCAGCCAGGTACAAGGGGCATCAAGGCTCGCCTGATGGGTGTAGGCTGAGGTTCTGCTGCAGGAACCCAGTCCTGTGTCAGGCAGCCTAGGGCCTCCTGCGGTCAATCTGAGTGCTAGGTAAGGACGGCTAACAAGTTCCTAAACCCTGTGACCTGTAGAGCAACGGCCTAAGATGTCCTGTCAGGTCACTTAGGACAGACATGTTGTCAGGTATACTCTTTCTCAGCTGGGGGATGACCAATTCAAGCTAGCAGGGGCCCAGCCTTGGCCCTGGGTCACTGGACTACTTTCGAAGCACAAGGAAGGGCCTAGGGCTAAGAGGATGTAGGGGAGGCACAGATCTGCTCCCACGGGGACAGGGTTGGAGAGCTGTGGGGCCCACTCGAGCTCAGTGAAGGCTGCCACTCAGCTGTGTGCCCAGGCTGCATCTGTGGCTACCCGGGCACCTGACCATGTCTCCTGCAATTTCCCTTGCTGAGCACTCACTCAAAGCCAGAGTGAGCATTAACCCTTCCTCTGCCTGGCACCTTGCACACCCTTGGTGTTGAGTAGGGAAGTGAACAAGTTCCATCCTTGAAGAAATGCTTGCAAAAAGCTGGGCTTGGTGGCTCACGCCTGTAATCCCAGCACTCGGAAGGCTGAGGCAAGAGGATTGTGGCCAGTTTGAGGCCAGCCTGAACTACATAGTGAGACCCTGTCTCAAAAAAACCAAAAAAGAAAAGAAAAGAAATGCTTGCACCATTCATTTCTGTAAGGAGCTCCCTCCCTGTGAGGCCGCCCCACCTTGGCCTTCCTGGTAGGCTCTGAGCATTGTTCCCGGCAACCCTTGTCCTCCTGGTCATGCGGCCTCACTGTCATTTGGTGTCCTTGAGGTTTGTGGGCAGCATTTGATTTGGCCAGGCCACAGTATCACCTCTGACCCAGGCATGAGGACACTTTTCCTGGTTTTTGTGGGACTATGGGGGGTACTGACCCCTGGGTGGTGATGCCCGATACTTCTACTCTGCATTGGGCTGTGTGTCACTCCAGTCCCCTTATGCCTCAAGAGTCAGAGCTTGTTGGTAGGCAGGTGTCAGTCCCCAGGCAGCATCCAGTGCTCTGGGGCTGTCGATGTCCCACCCTGTGTACAGATGGAGTTTAGTTTGGGTTCTGTTTTTTAGCACATTTGCAGTGTGTAGTGATTACATTCATTGTGGGGAGCTAAGTACTTGGGGTGTCACACATCTTTCTACTTCTCTGTCCTGTCCCTTCCACCTTCCTCCATTTCTTGGTCCCCTGCCCGTGAGCTTGGGGGTCTGTAACCCATGACTTTATTTACCTTTTGAGAGCTTACATTCCACTTTGGTGCTCTTGACTGAGCTCAAGATGTCCCTCCCCGACATCTGTTGTTCTCAGCAGGGAAGTGGTAGAACTGTTCCAGGAAGATAGAGAAAAGGTGATGGTCCCCACAGCCCCTCCCTTGACACAGTGGCCAATACTGTTTTTTTTCAAAAAATTCTACAAATGCTATTTTTAAGTGGGTCACATATACCCCCTCCCCCGTTTAAATGCAGAGGTTGTGGGAAGGGTGCATGTCTGTGGGCCATCGTTTTTTTTTTTTTTTTGTTTTTTTTTTTTTTTGGAGTAATACTTTACTTTCTGGGCCTACAGGCTACTTAGCCTTACCTGTGTGTTTTCCACTCCGGCCCAGAATCAGACCATTTCTCCAGGCATCTCTGGTCCCTGCCACTGGAGGGTGGTGTTAAACTGAGGTCCAGGAGCTGGGCCCTCTGCTGTGTGTGTGCAAATTACTGTTTCTCTGTGTCTCCATCTATACCTGTTTTAAGCAACCTCCTGCTGAGGTCTGCAGCTATCCTGCACCGCCTTGGCAAGTGTCACCTCTTCCCTTGCTCATCTGTGGTGCCCTGAGTTGAGGACCCAGCCCCTCAGATCCTGGTTCATTTCCAGTGGATGAGTAAAGTTGGGGCTGGTGGCCTGGCCTGCAGGAACAGCCAGCACCTTATCAGTGCCCCACTTAGGCTGTTGTCACCTGGCCCACGCCATTGTCACTTGGGCCTACCTGGTGCCCTCTGCCCCTGCAGTGCTCTGCCTGCATTCCCCTGGGAGTGAGCTGGATAGCTTTGCATATGTTTAAGAACCATTAATCTTCCCTTCTCTAGGGACTGCCCTTATCTTTTGCTGACTTTTGTATTTTTTTCCTATGGTTCATGGTTTGTATCACAAATGAAGCTGAGTACCCAAGTGTCTCTTGTGGTGTTGTTCTGTCCTTTGTTTCCGTCTCCTTGCAGCCCTGTGGAAGTGTTCCCTCCCTCTGCACAGTGACACTGTTCAGCTGTGCTCAGTAGTGGCCACCTGCGCTGCTTCTCTGTGGTCACCAGGCACCGGCCTGCAGGCTGCACCAGCTGCTCCCCAGCAGAGCGCATCCTCAGAGGGGTCACCTGAGTCAGAGGGCACACAGTCCCTGCAGCCACTCTCATGTGTGTGTCTAGCAGCCTGTCTGGAGGTCTGCAAGACCACCCTTCCATTCAGTAATTTCCTAGGAGGACCCCTAGGCTGATGAGAGCTGACATAGGGACAGTTCATTACAGGAAAAGATTGCGGATTAATGTCCAGAGGAGGAGAGTCCAGGGGTCAGACTCCATGGTCCTTTCCCATTGTGGGGGGACAGACATGCTTTCCTGGTGCCGCTGGTGGCAACACACACAGAGCATTACCAGCCCAGGGCACACCCCAGTCCTCCCTCAAAGAGTCCTCAGGTCTCCACTGCAGAGATCCTGTGGCACCCGTGTGGCTGGCCCATCTCCAGCCCCTGCACAGGTCAAGCCCCTTCCCACATCACCTTCCTGCTGTGGCTCTCTCTTCACATAGTAAGTCACACTGTTAGACCGAGAGAGAAGTCTCAGGGAACCAGGGCATCTCAGGGAACCAGGGCACTTTAATTAGGTGGGCTACTCTGGGAGCTTAGTAGTCACCTCCCAGAAACTCAGGGCAAGGGACTGTCCCTCACCACACATGCCATCCTCTCTGGTCCTTTCAGTGACTGGCCTGGGATCCCTTAGTGGTCTACCCGGAACATTCACAAATGGCAACTGAGCCTTGGCATCCCCTGCCAGGGACCAGGCCACCTGCCTATGGTGTGGACCAATCCATAGTTATTAGCAGTCTGCTGTTTGCAGCCCGGTCAGGAAGCATGGGTCCTCCCAGTGGGCATCTCAACCTGTGTCACTTCAGTACCCTGCTCCATGGTGGCCTCTCCCAACCTGCCATTTCCCTTAAGAAAACAATGTCATGGCAGGCGTGGTGGTGCTCACCTGTAATCCCAGCACTCAGAAGGCTGAGCAAGAGGATTGCTGTGAGGAGTTCGAGGCCAGGCTGGAATACATAGCAAGACCCTCTCAAAAAAATCAAAACTAAAGAAAACAGTCTCATGATGTGGGGAAAAGCCCATGGCAAATTGTGTGATTTCATGTTTCCTTGTTTTCTTATTTTGTCTGGGCTAGGGTTAGGGTTAGTTTTTGTTTAAGGATTCAAGTCTTAAGATACCTGAAGAATGTTAAGTCTGTAGGTTTGTTTTCTAGGTCTCAAGGCCTCTTTTTTGGGGCGAGCACTGGCTGTATCACATCTCATTGTGGAAGCTGCTGTCCAGCATAGGGAATCCCCATTCCTAGGGTGTCCCACTGATTTTGAATCCTTTTTCCCCAAAATATTTCCTCTGGAAGGTTTTTTTGAAGCCTACAGAAAAGCTGGAAGCGTAGTATAACATGTGCCTGTGAACCACTGGCCAGTTCCTCCACCCAGCAGAGCAAGCTGCTGGTGGCGTGGGCTGCCTCCTAGGGCCGCCATCCCTCTCCTCTAGGGAGTGGGCCTTCCCCAGGAGCACCTCATGACTCCATAGTGGCCTCTGATAAATGCTCATCTCTTTCTCCACCTGGGGTCCCAGAGGGCTCCCACATTGATCAGCACATTTGTTATTTCCAAGACACTAACTGTGAGGACACAGGCTGCTGGGGTCTGGGATGAGGGCGGTACCTTCCTCCATCCCCATGGTCCATGCAGGTGGCTGTGTCTGCCCCTTGCCCACGGTACCCTTGTCTCCACATTCACCCTCACAGTGACCCCAGGGTACCCTGGGGTGCACTCCCCACTGACAGGAAGGCTGAGGCCTGGAGGGGCCGAGTGTTTTCTTGCCATTCCCCAAGCTCACTGTGGTGGCAGTGAGGAGCCATCCCTGGCCAACCACGTGACCTCCCTCTCTGCTGGCGAGTATGGCTCTGCCTTGGCAGGAAATTGAGGTGTCAGTGCCAGGGCTCTCTCCTACCCATGCCCAGGTCCCACACTGGGCCCTGGTCCTGCATCCCTACTTACCTGGCACTCCTCTATGCTTACCCATTTTTCGAGGGCCCAGCCTGGTTGGGGTCTGAGACCTTTGCCCCTGAATGGGCTGCCTTCTCCTGTTCTGCAGGAGGCCACAGGGCCTGGGAACTCCAGGGCCATCAACAATCTTCGAAGATCTAACAGTGCTACGCAGGTCAACCAGCCTTGGACCGGCTCCCCCAGGTAATCTTTGTTTCCCTCAGTCAGCTTTGGGCTTGTGGAAGCCCCACCTGGCAGGTAGCTGTGCCCCTGGGGCAGCACTGCCCCTTAACTCTCCTTGCTTCTCCAGCTTCTCCCTGGGCCCTTTCAGTGCAGTCAGTGGCGGCCCTTGCAGGGCATTGGGCTTGGGGTAACCTTTCTGTAGCCCAGCTGCTGGGTCCTACTCCCTCCTCTTGAGCCAGGAAGGCCAAGGAAGCCATGTGCAGCCAGCCCATCCTCTCACATCTGCAAGACACTGGAGCCAGGCCCTGAGACAGATTTTAGGCCCTCAGATGCCCAGACCTGTCCCTGCAGGAAATGGGGCATCGAGTCAGTTCTGAACCCTCCATTCCCCGTCCCTGCCCTTGACAGTCAGACAGCCACCCTCCCCTGCAGGCTCCAAGCTGGTAGGGGAGCAGGAGCTGGTTTGGGGTCCCTGTGCCATTGTGAGGGTTGGGGCAGACACCCTTGGGCTGATAGTCACTCACTGTCACAGGCCATATCCTTCAGCTGGCAAGTGCTTCTTGGGCTGCAGATCTGTTGGGAGCCGCAGCCCCGAGCCCGGTCGCCTCACTTGGCGGACGTGAGGCCTGTAGTAAAGAGTGAGGCCTGAGGTAGATTACCCCTCCCATCGAATATGTTAGTTTCCTGCTTACCGCGTAAACAACCCGCTCAACAATATAGTCTGCCTGGCAACTGATGATGTTAGCCAATCAGCTTGCCTTGCTTACTTTAACATGATTGGACACTGTACCCGTATATATACTGGTGCCACCCCTGGGAGGAAGTAGAAGCCAGGTAGAAGCCCGGAAGTAGAAGCCCAGAAGGAGCTGCGGAGAGCGGACCGATAGAGGCTTCGGGGCAGACTGAAGCACAAGAGGAGCCGCGGAGAGCGGACCAAAGGAGGCTTCAGCTGGGAGAACCCAGGGCAGGCTGTACGGAGAAAGGAAAATAAAAAGAAAAGGTTGTCCACTACCAGACTATGTCGTGTGTCCTTCCTGCCGGCCGGGAGCGGACATCGACATTTGGAGGCCCGCCCGGGGACTGATCACCCCCGCGACGTGGAAGTGGACAACGCTCCAGTACAGAGCTGCGAGACAGGTGAGTTGGGGATAAGCCTGGGCTCTGGGTGGCGCGCACCTACAGGGCTTTTAGACTCCCCTCAGGCTCACGCGTAAGTGGCGGATTCCTTGGGCCTCACGCGGTGAGTAACATATTAAAAAATGGGAAACATGCTAGGTAGCGGCACTAAGAGCGAGGGTGGTTGTGGAGAAAGCTCTCAAGAGCTTACAAAAGTATGCAGGGTATCTGAGCAGGCCCAGTCAGGGAGCTCCCGAGAGGGGTCTGTCAAGGGGAACAAGGATGCTAAGGAGGAGGACGGGGCTCTAGCCTCGGAGTCGTCTGACTCCGAGGACGAGGGAAAGTTGAATGGCAAGGAGGCCAAAGAGACCAGCTGTCAGGAGCCTAAATCGCTCAATAAGGAGTCGCAGGGTTCTTTTCCAGCGTTGCCCCGCGAATTGCGCTCTGCTCAACCTGGTCTGCGGAGGAGTAGAGAGCTCCTGAGCGCTCCCCGGCGCGAGAGGGAGGCGAAGCCTTCCGCCCCACCTTGGGGGCCGTTTCCGGAGGCGATCCCTCGCCGCGGGGCGGCCGCCCGGGAGCTCCCTTCCTCTTCGCCAGAACAGGAAGTGATGCACGGGCCCCCATTTTCCGCCCAATCACGGCCGCTGTCTTATGCTCCGCCGCCGGCAGGTCGGTATTTTTACAGGCGGCTTTGGCAGGGGGGACGCTTGTCTCATGAGGTACATCCACCTGGGATAGATAGTGGCCCCTACGAGATATTTCCTGTACAAGTAGCTATGGGCCAGGGACGCAATGTATGGGAGCCTTTTGAGATAAAGCAGATTAGAGAACTTAAAAATGCAGTTACAACCTTTGGGCCGACTGCGCCTTACACCATTGCCATGCTGGAGAATCTGTCTTCTGGGCCCCTCACCCCCGCGGACTGGATTCAGCTGGCAAAGGCCTGTCTGCCCTCGGGCAGTTACCTGGATTGGCGAGCCTGGTATGCAGAGTTCTCTGCCGAGCAGGCTGAGAAAAACGCCAATCGGGGAGACCGGGGGTGGAACAAGAGAATGCTTGTGGGAGAGGGTCGGCGCGCTGATGGTCAGACTCGGTTCCCCGGCGCTCTCTGGCGGGGAGGAGATAGAGAGCCATCCGCTCCGCCCTGGAGCTCTTTTCTAAAAGCGGCTCCCCGCCGAGAGGCCGCCACAGGAAACCCTCCCTTCCCTCAGCCGGCACAGGAAGTGACGCCCCGTTTCACTCTGTCGCGACCGCAGTCTTATGACGTCGCGCCGCTGGGCAGACGGTATTTTCATGGGCGGCTACTCTGCCGAGCAGGCTGAGAAAAACGCCGGTCGAGGAAAAAGGGGCTGGGGATTTAGCTCAGCGGCTTAAGCGCCTGCCTTGCAAGTGTGCAGTTGTTAGTTCGATCCCTGGTACCAATAAAAAAAAAAAAAAAAAAAAAAAAAAAAAAAAAAAAAACGAAAAAGATAAAAATAAAAAATAAAAAATAAAAAACAAAAAGGGGGAGTAAACCCTCGAGGTTTGATCCCTGGTGATGTTTGGCAGATGGACATCACACATATACAGGAGTTTGGGACTCTTAAATATGTTCATGTTTCCACAGACACCTGTTCTCGCGTCATATTTGCAACAGCAGAAACAGGTGAAAAAGTGTCTAATGTGATCAATCATTGCCTGGCGGCTTGGGCCGCATGGGGCAAACCAAAAATATTAAAAACTGATAATGGACCAGCCTATATAGGCAAAGCCTTCAATGAGTTCTGCAAAATGATGGAGGTTCAATTAAAACATGGTATCCCATACAATCCCCAAGGTCAAGGAATCATTGAGAGGGCTCATAGAAGCCTCAAAGAAATTTTACAAAAACAAAAAGGGGGAGTAGGCCAAGGCCTGGCCCCAAAGGCACGATTATCCATGGCACTATTCACACACAATTTTTTAAATTTAAATAATGATAATCGCTCCCCAGCTGTGGAGCACTGCAACCCTTCCCCCAACCATAAAGGGTGGGTGAAGTGGAAAGATGTCCTGACAGGACAATGGATGGGCCCGGATCCAGTGGTCAGCTGGAACCGAGGCGCGGTTTGTGTTTTCCCACAGGAACCGGGACGAGAACCACTGTGGATACCGGAGAGACTGACACGGACAACAAAGCCCTCGACTAAAGATCAGACCTGCCCTACTGGAGATCCATCACAGACCAACCAACAAGATGAATAGAAATAGCGGTAGCCCGAAATGGACAAAAAGATCCTCAGGCATATGCATGGCTTGCTCGATTGGCCTACGACCGAGTCTAGGGACGGTGAGCTTCCCACACTCCTCCTCTAAAAAATTATGATATAGCAGGGTAGATGAGTCAATGACGGGTAAGAGCGTGCCTCCCCAGCACGACTCGACCTAAGCCAGGCCCTACCCCATCCTGCACGTAAGCCGCTGGACTGTTAGATGCTGCCCAGGTCTAAATTTCTCTCCGAGGGGATTTCTTTACGGAGAGGAAATGAGTGCAAGCTTGTGTGCATCCAGGTTCCGTCCAGTTTGTGCCTGGCCCTAGAAAAAGGACGAGGGCCTCAGGGCCTTGGCAGACCATGGGACGGCCGACCAGGGTCTAAGCCAAGGACCTACGGTGGGCCTACGCATAGGGCATAAGCCTCTGCACCCAGTCCAGGAAGGGCTACGATGCGCACATTCATAAAAAATAAAAAAGGGGGAGATGTTGGGAGCCGCAGCCCCGAGCCCGGTCGCCTCACTTGGCGGACGTGAGGCCTGTAGTAAAGAGTGAGGCCTGAGGTAGATTACCCCTCCCATCGAATATGTTAGTTTCCTGCTTACCGCGTAAACAACCCGCTCAACAATATAGTCTGCCTGGCAACTGATGATGTTAGCCAATCAGCTTGCCTTGCTTACTTTAACATGATTGGACACTGTACCCGTATATATACTGGTGCCACCCCTGGGAGGAAGTAGAAGCCAGGTAGAAGCCCGGAAGTAGAAGCCCAGAAGGAGCTGCGGAGAGCGGACCGATAGAGGCTTCGGGGCAGACTGAAGCACAAGAGGAGCCGCGGAGAGCGGACCAAAGGAGGCTTCAGCTGGGAGAACCCAGGGCAGGCTGTACGGAGAAAGAAGAATAAAAAGAAAAGGTTGTCCACTACCAGACTATGTCGTGTGTCCTTCCTGCCGGCCGGGAGCGGACATCGACACAGATCTGTGGATGATTTTAAGTTCTGGCCAGTCAAGGAGCAGACCTTCCTCAGAGGAGGAGGATCAGTGTTGTCTGCCCAGTAGCAGGACTGCTCTCAAGCCTTTGGGGCCCAGGGCAGTGCAGGGCATGACCTGGGACCTTGCTGAGATAATGCCTGTCCCCCCAGGACGTCCACTGTGGCCTGTGGCAGGGGCTGAAGGTGCAGGACTTGCTAGGTGTGTGGCAGCACCTGTACAGTGTTGATGCTGGGGGTGATATGACACAGGGTGTGTACGTGTGGTGTGTATGTGGTGTGAGTCCATGGATTGCGTATGTGTACACAGTGTGTGGCATGCTTGTGTGTATGGTGTATATATGAGTAGTATGCATGGTGTGTATTTGGATTGCATGTGTATGTGCGCATATGCACACTGTCTGTTGTGTGTAGGTGATAGCATGTGTGGTGTATGTGGTGTGTCCATGATATATGTTGTGTGCATGGTTGTGCAGGGTGGCTGCACTGTTGAAAGGATATCTGGGGAGCTCTTTCCTGGCTCTAGGCTGGAAGGGGTCTTGGCCGTGTTAGCAGTTAAGGTCTCAGTATTTTTAACTACTTGATCCATCTTTCCTCTGGGCCCTGGTCACCTCCACCTTTGTATAATACCAAGACTGTGTGTGGTGCTCCTGGCTCCTGTTCCCTGCCCTGTGTGCATCCCCCATACGGCTTGCTGTTGAAGCTGGTGGCTCTGAGGGAAAGTGCCGTGGCAGGTTTTCATGATCCTGGGCTCTTGCTCCTTGAGATGTGATGTAAGCTCCGACCATCTGTAATTTCTCCAAAGCTAACCTTGTGGGGTTTCCATCAGGGGTGCCAGTGACTTTGGAGTCTGGTTGCCCTTCTGGCTCTGCCCTACCCTGGACCTCGCTGTGGGGTTCGGGTGGCCTCTCGTAGGTCCCAGCTGTTCCCATGATGCAGAGTCTTGCAGGTTTTAGCTGGATCAGCCCCGGAACCCTGCAAATCCTCTGCTATTGCTACCTGAGTCTGCTCCCCTGACCTGTAGTCTGTGGGGTCCCTCCTGGTGGGCAGGAGCTCTCCTGATTGGCCCTTGTTTGTTTGAGTCTCTCACACTTTCCACGTGAAAGATCACACAGTCCACAAACAAAGAGGCTCCTGTTCCCTTTAACCCTTTCTGCATTGCATCCCATCCCCCTGGCAGGAGTGGAGTGGGTTTGTTGGGGGTGAAACCCACCCCTCAGCACCTCCTTGGGGGATCCATTTTGTCTGTAGGTGTTCTGGGGGCCTTTCTGCATGACTGTCCCTGCCAAAGCTAGGGAGTGTGCAGTGCTGTCTGGGGCTGGGTTGGCTCCTCAGGGCAGCACTGTGCACTGGCCAGCAAGGCAGCCTTATGGACAGTGTGCCTGGGCCAGGGAAAGGCACCTAAGGCAGCTGAGGACTGGGTCGGAGTTGGGAGCCTCTCCAGGAGTTTGGGGCTGCTGCCCACCAGCACAGCCCTAGTGAGAGCTGCTAGGCCAGCTGGTTGCCACCATCTCTGCCTTCCAGCCCCACAGGGCACAGCAGTGACATGCTTCAGGGCTGAGGTGTCTTTGTGGCATTCTTTTTAAAAAATTGGTACTGGGGCTTGAATCCGGAGTGCTGAGCTACACCCCAGACCTTTTACAAGATATTTATTTATTCGTTGCAGTGCTAGGGACTAAACTTGGGTGCTCTACCACTGGGCTACGTCTACCACTCTGTCTATAATTTATTTTATTTTATTTGGTGTATTCACAGGGTTGTATGACTATCACAATCAAGTTTAGAGTGTTTTCATCACCCCAAGAGTATCTGGGGCTGGGGATTTAGCTCAGCGGCATAAGCGCCTGCCTTGCAAGCAGGCAGTCGTGAGTTCGATAACCAGTACCGATAAAAATGAAAAAGACAGAACCCCTAGTTGTGGGTTCTGCCCCTAGGGACTTTCCTGCTCTGGACAGTTCGCATTGCTGGGACATACGGTGTGAGGCCAAGGGCTAGGTTTCTTCTTCCTTCCTTCTCCTCATGGCACTGGGGATTGAGCCCAGGGCCTTCTCACTGAACTGCATTCCCAGCCCTTTTTATTTTTGAGACGAGGTCCCATCATCACTAAGTTGCCCAGGTTGGGCTCAAACTCGGAGTTCTCCTGCCCCAACCTCCCGAGGGCCACAGTTACAGGTGTGCACCATCTTGGGTGGCTCCGGTCTGGTTCTTTCACTGAGCATCACATCTTCATGGTGCAGTTGTGCTATGGCCTGTGTTGGTGCCTCATTCCTGTTGACGGCTTACTAACGTGCCAAGATGTGGATGGACAGTACCTGGCATCACAGCTGTGCTCTGCTGCAGTCGTGGCTTTCTTCAGAGCAGCGGCAGAGCTCTGACTTCCATTCAGCTCAGCAGTTGGGGCAGGAAGTGTCCTGGGTCTCCTGGGTGGTTCCTCGTCCCCTCTGAGCTGCAGGCCTGAGTAGCTCTGGGTCCGCAGGGAGGAGAGTGTCAGCAGCTGGTGGCCAGCTGTTGCAGGGCCGTGGTCCCCAGACATCTAGGTACCATATGGCGAAATGAGACCTAGCCTTTGCCAGGGCTGGATGGGAACTCCCAGTCCCACCAAAGCACCTTTGCTGGGCACAGTGGCATCAAGGCTGACTGTCTTAAGCTGTAGCCTTGGGAGCAGAATCCCTTGCGTCCTGGGCCTTCTCCTCTCATCAGCTGTGGTCCTGTCTTCCTTGCTGGAGTTGGTGTCACTGCTGGTTGACTTTGTCCTTGTGTGTTCTCCCCCCTGGGACACAGGCCAGTGGAGTCCCCCGACTTCCTGACACTGTTCGAGAGCATCCCTAGTGGGAGAAGGAGGCTGGTGGGGCTGAGCAAGGCATCCGGTGAAAAGGCAGCCACTTGGAATGTTCTGGTGAGGCTGGGCGCGAGGTGGCCATGCGTCCTACCTAGGATTGCTGCCTTTACACGAGGGGGCAGTGACTGTGAGAGGGGGCATCGCAGGCCCCTGGGGTCACCTTGTCTGCTGTTTGCATGGGGATTGTGGATTCCTGTGATTGTGGGTGTAGCAGTGTCAGGTAGGCAGGGGCTGGTGCTGGGGTATACTGAGGGCTATCCCTGTGACCCACAGGACGAGCAGCCCAGGGGCTGTGGCTTGCCAGCCAACACCCAGAACCCCAGTGCCCCCAATGCCCCAGGAGGTCCACGGAGGAAGGAGTGTACCCTGGCACCTTGCTTCACCGCTAACAACAGGTGGGACTCCTGCAGGTAACGGGACAGCCCCTGGCTGGTGGCCCTGGGGCAGGGACTCTGTGTTTTTGTTCGAGACTGGATCAGATTGTTTCGGAATGAACGAGTGGAGAAAGGAAGCAGTGGCGATTTTGTATGTGGTACTGGAATTCAGGGTCTTCACACTGAACTACATCCTCAGCTCTTTATTATTATTATTTTAAATTTTGAAACAGAGTCTTCCTAAGTCACTAAGTTGCTCAGGCTGGGCTTGAATTTATGATCTCCTGCCTCAGCCTCCCAGAGTGCTGGGATTACAGGTGTGTGCCACCTAGCATGCGTGGCCTTCTTTACCAGTAGTGAAGGGAGAGGCTACAAGGTGGCAGGTGGTGTCTGTCCACTTAAGGACAAGGCTTGCTGTGGCCCAGCAGGCCTGTCAGGGCCACACCTCTGCCCAGCAGCTCCTCACGAGACAGCCTTTCCCTCCAGAGGCCAAGATGCACTGGGCGGCTTGAGTGACGCTGATGCGTGTCTTCTGAAGGCTGGTCCTAGGTTAAGTTTCAAGGCTGTGTGTATTCTAGGGGAAGGGAGATCATATCAGGGCTGCATCAGTCACTCTTGTGGTCAGGCCCACCAAACACTCAGCCAGAGCATGTGGGAGAAGTCTTGGCCACTGGACCTAAAGGAAGACCCCTCTGGGTCCCCTCCAAGTCTGCAAGGCAGATGTGGCTCTACTTTGTCTTGGTGGGGCTGGGGACAGTTGCTGCCCCCTTGGAGCACAAGAGGGCTCCCAATTCCAACAATGGCTTCTTCTTTAGGCACAGGCCTTAGGGCCCCAAGGGACCCTCAGGCGATGCCATGGGAGATGCAGACAGCTCCTCTGGGCCGGAGCCTGTGCCTCAGACACGATCTTGGCCATCTGCCTCCTATGCTGACAGCTTCCTGTCTCTCTGGCAGGAGCAACAAGGGAGCTGTGGGCAACTGTGTCACCTCCATGGTGCACAACCGCTACACCCCCTCAGAGAAGGTGCACCCCCTCAAGAGCTCCAACCAGACCACCCCTTCCCTCAAGTAAGCCAGCACCCACTGGGAGGCACAGGCCCTGGGTTGGGCTTCGGAAGGCTGTAAGGTGTGTGGCACTCGGGCTCTGTGTGGGATGCCATGCTCTGTGCTGTCACCTGAGCTATGAGGTCCAGGGCCACTTCCCAGGGACAGAAAAGACAGACCAGACATGGCCAAGCCCAGGGCTCACAGCTGGTGCCCCCCCCCCCCTTAAGGAAGCCGCTCTCATGTTCAGAGCCCTGGGGCATTGCAGTACAGGTGGCCACGCAGAGCAGAAGGCCCTCCCTGTACTCCTTCCATGGCTTTGCTTGGTCAGTGGCCTTTGCGATTTCTTGACTCCGTCTAGCTCTGGGCTCCTGCGGCTTTTGAGAACTTCTTATTCTTTAAATATAAAGAATGTTTGCCTGGGTGCCCATGGATCTCACCCACACTCCACCACAGGACAGCTCGGGGTGCTCTCTGGTGCTAGGGCAGAGTTGTTTCCCTAGGCAGCGGGCAGGGCTCCTCTTCTTCCTGCCAGCAACATCATCAAGGCAGCCACCAGTGAGGGCAGCGAGGGCAGCAGCTTTGGGAAGAACCTCGCCAGCAGCAGCCACACAGCCCCAAGTGGAGCTGCAGGGAGCAGCACCCCTCTCAGGCGGAAGGAAGTGACTGAAGAGGAGGCTGAGAGGTGAGCATGTCCAGGAGCTGGGGCCTGTGTTGTCTCCAATGACACCAGTGCCACTTAAGGGTGATTTCAAAACACTGAGACTGACAGCACCCCCCCCCCCCACACACACACACAGACACACACACCAAAGAAAGGCAGCTCTCTAGAGGGAGGAAGCAGGGGCGATGGCTGTCTGGGGCGGTGGAGCCTGGAGAGCAGGAGAGCTCTGCAGGGTGATGGGATGACCTGGGAGTGGATTGCACGGCTCTGTGCATTTCTAAAAAGCGTGGAATTATATGCTAAAAGTGGATGGGTTTTATAGTATATAAACTATACCTCAGTATTAATTATAAAATGTTTAGGGGAAAGAAAATATAAAACTGAGAAGAACAAAAACACCTAAAGGACTGTGTCCTGGATGTACGCCCTTGGGTGCGGATGGGGCAGAGCAGTGCACTTGGCAACAGGGCCGTGGCCACTGCAAGCCCCTCCTACCCTGGCTCCTAGGAGCCTCTGCTGCCTGGGCTCACCCGCCTTGCTGCCCAGGACTCAAGGGGTCCCAGGCACCAGCCCTATAAACAGGCAAGAAGGACGAAGGGTGCTGGGAGCTGGCTGCTCCTAAAGAACTCCTTGTGGTGCCCTCCATGAACGGTCTCTTAAGGTGGACTGGTGTCACTGTCCAGACCAGGGCCTTCACGACAGGTGGCCATCTATGTACTGGGCTTTCGGTGCCTTTGCCAAATGGATCCGTGCTTGGTCCTTCGAACCAAGAGTGAAGTTGGTGTTCAGTCAGATTTGAGTATTATAATATAGGAAAGTGTGTATGGTGAGAGCTGCATATATGCCGTACAGCGTCCAAACTGGTCCAGCAACCCCAAGATGCCCTTCAGCTCCTTTTACCTGTCTCCCACCCCAACCCCAGCTTCACCAGCCCATATGCCTGTAACCTAGCCTTTTCCAGGGTGCCAGGAAATACACCATGGTACCTGAACCATGTGCCCAGTACAGGTTGTTGGTGGTGGTTTTTTGGTCTTGGGTGGCATCCCATCCCCCGGGTGTACCTGTATTTACTCTGAGCTAGCTGGTGGGTTATTTCTAGTTTCTAGCAATTACACACACAGCTATCCAAGCCTATATCAATAGATGCTTGCTTTTCCTGGGTAGCTTCTCCAGGTGGTAGATTTTGGGTTTTAATAGAGTGAGCCCAGAAGCACTGGCCCTGTCTGGTTCTGGCTGGTTGGAAAAGGACTGCACACAGCCACCAGCTTCACTCTGCCTACCTGGACCTTTGAGGTTCCTGCAGGAATGGTGGCCATGGGCCCCTCTTAATCCTGCGCCTTTCTCTCTGGGCAGGTTTATTTGCCAGGTAAACCAGGCTGCTGTCACCATCCAGCGCTGGTACCGCCGCCAGATGCAGCAGCGCCATGCAGGAGCCAGAAGCCTGAAACACTTGCTGGCATCCAAGCGGGAGGTCTGTGAGCTCCTGAGCTGCTCCAGGACCTCAGAGTGGGCCCAGAAACCCTGGGATCTTAAACTATATAGAATGAGACCTGGCATCTCCCATAGCTGCACACCCATCTGTGGGCCCACTTGGTCCTCCAGTGAGTGTCACCAGGGGCTGGTGTTGGGATGTGCCTACAGATCTGGAAGGATGCTCCACACAGGCTTCTGCCCCCGAGGTGTGGAGCTGTCTCCCTGCTGAGCCACGGGTGCCCAGGGTGGGGACTTGCTTTCTGCTGAGTGGAGGTGGCACGTTTGGGGTCTCATTTGCCCATCCCCATGAACCCTACAGTCTCCCAGGGATGGAAGAAGTCAAGTAGAAAACTCCCAGTTGGGTCCAGGGTCTCCATCCGTCTGCTCATCTGCAAACCACATGGCTTTGGCTTCCCTGGCAGGAGCAGCAGCAGCGACTAGGCAATGGGAACCTCCTGGAGTTGCACCGGCAGAAGGAAGCGGCAAGGAAAAAGGCCCGGGAGGAGAAAGCGCACCAGGCCAGGCAGGCGGCCATTCAGGTGCAGGGGCCCTGCAGACCCCCAGACCCCAAGCTGACTGTGGCACTCACTGGTCCTGGGAGCAGCCACCTGCAGGAGGATGAGGGGCCATCCTTGCCCAGGGGCTGCTCAGAGACCTCCCCATGCCCTGTAGGAACTTCGGGAAAAGCGAGCCCAGAAGTCAGGGAAAGCTGAGCTGCCCAAGAAAAGCCCAGAGACCAGACTGCCAGGGAGGCCTCTGCCCACCCAGGAGCCTGTCCCAATGCCAGGCAGCCCTGCTTGCCAGGACCTCAAGACCAGCAACACAGGTGAGTGCTGTGGCTCAGCCTCAGGAGGCTTGTGATGGGGAAGGGGTGTGGCCTCTGCCAGGGGGTCTCTCCACTCCCACGCTGCAGCTGATTGGTGGCTTCCACATGCCCAGCTGGGACTTTGGCCCTCACTGGCCCTGGCCCTTTCCCTCCATTCCTGCCCTACTCACCCATAGGGCTGGACTTAAGGTGCCCCAGCCTTGACAGACAGCCCTGGACAAGGGACCCTGCAGGGAGAGACCCCGGCCTTGGGGTTGCTTGGCTCTTCCAAGCCACACCTTGAAGGCTGAGGCTCCCCAGTTCCTCTGTTCTGTGGAATCATAACTGCTTCCCGCACCCGGCACTCCACGGGGCTCCTTAGGGTTAGGGTTCTGGGTGGGATGGTGCTGTATTCTGTCGTGCAGGTGCCAGCATCCACCCTGCAAGCCCCAGGGACCCCTGCCTGCCCGACTCCAAGTCATCCCCAGAGCCCCAGCAGCCTCCAGAAGACAAGCGGCAGGTCTGCACACAGTCGTGCTTCCTGATGTCAGCTTCACAGGGCGAGTTGTGGCAGGGGTGGCTGAGTTCACCTCCACCACGGGATCCTTGTGCCCTGAAAGGCTGCCCAGAAGGCTCCTGCTGAGGGATGAGCCAGTGACCTCGGGAGTCCTCACTGGGGCGTGGTCTCATGGAACTGCTCTGAAATTTGGTCAGGTTTTCCCATTTGCTCTGGGTCGGACCCTGTGTCCTCATGCCCAGAAGAGGAGCCGAAATATCAGAGGCTAGGGGATAGCAAGGCCACCAGGCTGCCCTGTGAGGCCTGGTAGCTGAGCCTGTCCATTTTCCCAGAAAAGGGACCTTGAGACACATTTCCAGGTGGGAAGATGCTGTCACCCCACAGGGCAGGAGCAGGCTGCAGAGGCCGGAATGCCATGCCGCTGGGTCAGGCTGGTATGTGACATCTTGGCTAAATTCTTACTCTCTGCCTGCCTGCTGCAGGACACCCACTCCCAGGACCTGGTTAGCCAAGACCTAGAGACAGTGGCCTCTGTCAGGAACAAGGCCAAGTCCAGAGCGACCCTAGATCAGCTTCTAGACTCGCTACGGCTGCTAGAGGAGGAGCCGGAGCCACTGCCCTGCCCCAGGACCTATCAAAAGGACAAATATGCCTGGATCGACGAGGTAACTAGGCCACACACCTGCTGTCACCCCAGCCCAGGCTCTGGCACCATCCAGGCGGGTCCTGAGGTCATTACAGGGTCAGTTGTCACCTAATGAAGGACAGAGAAGTCCCGGTTGACCCTTATTCTCCCCTCCAATCTGTCGCCTCCCCGCAGTCAGGACACTGTAACCCACAGGCTGGGTGCCTGCCTGTGCCAGCAGTGTGCCCCAAGGCTCTGGGGTAACTGGAGAGACCCTTCCTCCCAGACGCAGGCCCCGCTGCCTCTCTACTCCCAGCCACCTGCCCTTGGCAAAATGCTGTAGCTGCCGGGCATTCGCCAGTGCTGAATTCCCCACCCCGCAGGAGGATGATACCAGTTCCTTGACAGCTGACAACCTGGAGAAATTTGGGAAACTCATTACACCCCCTGGACCGCCTGAGGAGGGGACACTTCTCTCAGAGGCCAAGCTGAAGAGCATCATGAGCTTCCTGGATGAGATGGAGAAATCGGAGCAGAGCCGGCTGGCCCCGCAGCAGGAGGTGGGCGCTCACCAGCTTCCTGCTTGTCCCCCAACAGGAGACAGTTACTTGGCAGGGCGCCCCAATCCTCAATGGGAGCTGGTCATTCACCAGGGCCCCACATAGCAGCCCCAGCCCCATGCCTGGCCTCCAAGGAGTAGAGGCTGGCAGGGCAGATTCCTCTTTGGATGGGTCCCCTCTGGCACCTCTGGGCCCTGATGTCCCTTGAGCTGTGTCAGTCCTGGATGACAACCAGTGACCAGCAGAGTGGAGCAGTAGTGGATTTTACTGTTCACAGGCAGGGAAGTCAGAAGGAGTTATGACCTTTTTAGTAGTCGGTTTGGTAACTAACTAACTAAGAGGGAGGGCTGTGGCCCTCCCTCTCCCGGATGATAAAAACAGCCTCTGTGCTGTGGTGCTGTCACCCTCTGTCCAGATGCCCTGCAAGAGTTCTCCACAAAGGACGGGACAGGCGGGGTGTCACACCACGTCCCTGGCCACCCTCGCCATCTAGCAGGTGGGCAGTAGGTATGAGCTGCCCGCCTGATGCTCGGCCATCCACAGAGGCTGGTGCCCGAGGTGGGGTGGGGCCATCCAGAGCTGGCCACCAGGGGAAATGCGTCCGTGATGCGGCTGAAGCTGGAGGTGGAGGAGAAGAAGCAAGCCATGGTGCTGCTGCAGAGGGCACTGGTAAGGCCACCGCTGTACCGTCCAGGGGGTCAGTGGGGCAACCCCCTGCCAGCCCCTTACCCACAAGCCAGGGCTGCTACATTTTTCCTGGAGGCGCTATCTCGCCATCTCCCCAGCATGACTGCCAGGACAGGGGCTGGCCCCAGCACCCCCTCCTGTCTGTGCCCCCTCAGGCACAGCAGCGTGACCTCACTGTCAGGCGGGTCAAGGAAACGGAGAAGGAGCTGAGCCGGCAGCTGCGGCAGCAGAGGGAACACTACGAGGCCACCATCCAGCGTCACCTGACCTTCATCGACCAGGTGGTGCTGCCCCCGGGCTGAGCCCCAGACGGGGCCTCTCACACTTGTCACTGTCCCTCTGTCCAACACAGAAGGACATGGGCTACCCCTCACAGCCTGCCACCTTTCCAGCTGGGCACAGTGGGCCACAGGGACATCAGGCAGGGGATAGGGTTCCTCAGAGGCACTAGGCAGCTCTGCAGCTGCTGCCAGTGGGAGGCATCCTGCACACACATTCTACCCTTCCCAGTGCTGCCCCTGGGCCGTCTGCCCCTGGGGAGGCCTCTGCTGGTCTGGAGGAAGGTGCTTTACCTGGTGACTGCTGCTTGGTGGTCACCACAGCCATCCAAACCTGGGGCCTGGTGGGAGCTTCACGAGGCACTTGCTCGTGGGCAAGGAGCAGTGATGGGGATGTCACAGTGCTCCCCATCCTGAGAAGATCCTGGTGTGGTCATGGCAGGGCCTAGCCTACTGACCCAATGGGGCATCCCTGGTATGTGCTGTGTTCTCTGGGTTGAGCCTGGGCAGCATTGGAGCCCCGTGGCACACGCACATGTCCTTCTGCTGACTCCAAGGTCCAGTCATAGGAGGATGGGGATTGCCTGAGAGGGAATGCCAGGGGGGCCTAGACACAATGGTTCCTCCTGTCACAGCTGATTGAAGACAAGAAGGTCCTGAGTGAGAAATGTGAAGCAGTGGTGGCCCAGCTGAAGCAGGGGGACCAGCGGTGTCGGGAGCACCTGGCCCAGATGCAGGAGCAGCATGAGCTGGTAAGAGCCCGTCCCTCTGAGAGCCAGGCTGCTGTTGCTAACCTTGTGCCTCATGTTCACTCCCACAACCACCTCTGGGGGTTGTAAATAGATTCTGGTGACACAACCACAGCACAGCCTAGGAATGTGGGTCTAGGAGGCCAGACGGAGAGGATCTCCCCCGCCCCCTTCTGTCCTTCTTGAGCTGTTTCCTGTGTCCAGTAGGGCCAGCCCTGAGGAGGAGCCCCATGTGAAGACACGTGCCTGCCTGGCCCTTTCCACAGGGCAATGGGCTGTAAACCCAGGAGCCCAGGTCTGCTCCACCCAGCATGGGCCCCCAGGCAGTGGGACCTGCTTATCTTGCCTGCTGTACTCTTGGCTCCCTCCTACTTGGACAGCAGGATGTGCTTAGAAGAGTGATACAGGCTGGCTGACCCTGTTCCCTTAGCCCCAGCCTGGACCTGTGCCAGGACTCTGAGTAGGGGTGACAGTGGCATTCTGAAAGGTTCTGGTATCCATAACTGGCACCCAAAGTTGAGGACCCCCAGCTACACAGCAGGGCCCTGGCTATGAACCATCCCTGGGGAGTCCGAGGGGGCCCTCTGCAGGCTGCTGGCGGTCCCTCTTGCCTCTCAGGCAGATGGCTGTGGAGAGGCCTGCAGCCCAGCTTAGCACCCTGGGAGGACAGAAGGCACTGTCTGGAGTGCAAACCCAGGACAGGACAGAGGGACGGGGGTGCTGTTAGCATCTGTTCTTTTCAGTTTCCTGTGTTCCCACTCCTAGGAGATTAAGAAACTCAAAGAACTTATGAGTGCTACTGAGAAAGTCCGCCGGGAAAAGTGGATCAATGAGAAGACCAAAAAGATCAAGGAGATCACCGTCAGAGGTGGGGTCCCTGCGAGACTGTAGAGGTCACTGTCAGAGACTGGTCTGACTGGGGGAGGGGATCCAGGAGGTCATTGTCAGAGGTGGGGCCGCCATCGGAGGTGGACACTGTTGGGGCACACTTCTGAGAGCAGACAATAGCTTCCGTCACGTGCATAGTACATGCTTAGCACAAGACCTTCCTTGGGGAGGCATCAGCATTAGAGATGGGAGCTCTCCTGGGGCAGGAGGTGGCAGGGCCCACCCCAGCCTCGGCCAGCCTTGCTTGGCCAGAGAGGCCTGAACTGGGAGCAGCATCTCCCCCCAGGGGCTGAGCTTGGAGAAATCAGGGTTAGCAGACAGCTGGCATGCAGGTCACACTGTGAGGGCAGAGATGAGGTGGTTGAGGAAATCTGGGCCCTTGAGATTGGTGTGTAAAGGAGCTGTGGACCCTTCAGGAGTGTGTGCAGGGCTCCCCTGGCCTGGCCTCTTGTCCCAGGGTCCTGGATATCCCCGCTGGGCTGCCCAGTGGTTAGAGCACAGGGTTTGGGTGGGGTGCTTTTACCAAAAGTATGTGGTGGCCTCCAAGTAGCCCTGCCCTTTCCCCACCTGGGCACTTGCACCTCGGCTGTGCTTCTGCAGGAGCCCCAGAGTGGGCTGTGGTAGGTGGGGTCCTCTCAGTGGGTGGGCCCCCCAGTTTTCCTTGTTCCAGTGATGGGGCCCCCTTGCTCCTCTGCAGCTGGTTGTGCTTCTCAGGTCTGGAGCCCGAGATCCAGAAGCTCATTGCCAAGCACAAGCAGGAGGTCAGGAGGCTCAGGGACCTGCATGAAGCCGAGCTGCTGCAGCGTGAGGAGCAGGCTGCACAGCGCTACCTGCGCCAGGCCGAGGAGCTGCGGGAGAACGCGGAGCGGGAGAAGGAGGCACTGGGCCAGCAGGAGCGCGAGCGTGCCCGACAGCGGTGGGTGGCTCTGTGTGGGGACCTCAGCCTGAGGCTCAGGCCGACTGCCTTGCTGAACCACGTGGGCTCCAGAAATGGTGCAGGAGCTGTGGTCCAGAGCAGCGGCCCTGCCTCGCTCAGCAAGTCTGTGGGCTCGATGGGGCTGTGTGCAAATCACCCTCCACCGACTGGGGTGGTCAGAGATTCCTCCGAGAGGCAGATTGGGTTTGTAGCTCTATCAGATGTCCTGACCTTCACAGGGGCCCCAAAGCCTCCGACCCTTGGGCAGGTGGCATTGTAGCTGCTCTGGTGCGGAGCATGGCCTCTTTGCTCTGTCTCTCTGCCCCAGGATGGGGAGTCAATCCAATGTCTATGTGAGGTGTGACCTGTTGCACCCTCACCCCAAGACCTGCGGCCAGGGCCACACCTGTGTCTGGGCAGCAGTGTCCTGGGGCTCCTGGCCCTGCCCATGTGAACCAGGCCCCACCATCCTGCAGGTTTGAGCAGCACCTGGAGCAGGAGCAGCGAGCCCTGGAGCAGCAGCGACGGCGGCTGTACAGCGAGGTGGCCGAGGAAAGGGAGCGGCTGGGCCAGCAGGCAGCCAGGTGCATGGGGGCACTGACTCCTCACACGGGGCCCCTTGCTTGGCCTCTTCCAGTTTCTCCTCACCCACCCAACCCTCTTCCATTAACTGCTTAGCTGGCCCACCAGCCCCTTCTGCCTCTGACCCTTCACATGGCCTACAGGCAGCGCGCAGAGCTGGAGGAGCTGAGGCAGCAGCTGGAGGAGAGCAGCGCAGCGCTGACCCGAGCTCTGAGGGCCGAGTTTGAAAAGGGCAGGGAGGAACAGGAGCAGCGGCACCAGGTCCTCTCTCTCTGCTCCCTTGGAGCACTGTGCCCAGCCCGGGGTCCAGCAGGGCAGCCCTCTGCTGCCTGACCCTGCAGGCTGCTGTCCCTAGGGGGTACCCAGGGGGTGGTCAGGGCCCTGGACAGGGTGGGTGGGGCAGGGGACACAGCAGTGGGCTAATTAGGCCACGGGATGGCTGCCGAACCTTGTCCCTGTCCTTGTCCAGATGGAGCTGAAGGCCCTGAAGGACCAGCTAGAGGTGGAGCATCAAACCTGGGCTGCCTGCTGTGCCAAGAAGGAGGTGGGCCTGGGCAGGCTGGGCAGAGGGCTGCTCCCCTGGTCACATAGGGCTGCTTTGGGGCTGAGGCTTGTCCTGAGCTTGTATGCTTCTCTCTCAGTTCTTCCGTGTCTCTGGGAAAGAGAGAGGAAGCGCCTGGATGGGGCGGGCTGCTTGAGCTGGAACAGCGGCTGGCTTCCCCAGGCATTGCCCCACCTGTGCTTCTGAGCCAGCTGCCCCAGCCTTCGAGGGGCTGTGCCTCCATCTGTTTCCTTGGGGAATTTCCGGTTGCTCCCGTGCACTGGCCCCATCCTTAACATCGAGGAGCCACTCCCAGTTTGTACCTCTTGCCCAGCTCCCTGTTCATGCTGCTTGCCCTCACCAGGTGCTAGTAACAGGACATGGCCCTCCTCAGAGGGAGGGCAAGGTCCCTTGGTTCCCATGAATCTGTGTCCCCTGTGGTTCGTTAGATGTCCCGATTTTCAAGCAGGGGAGCTTGTGTAGTTGCCTCTGCCTTCCCTCATCTTCTGTCCTCCTGATGGCAGCTCCCGAACCAGCCATGTGTCCCTGCAGGAAGCGTGGCTCCTGAACCGGGAGCGCGAGCTGAAGGAGGAAATCCGGAAAGGCCGGGACCAGGAGATAGAGCTGGTGATCCACCGGCTGGAAGCTGACATGACACTGGCCAAGGAGGAGACGGAGAGGGCAGCCGAGAGCCGGTGAGCCAGGGCTGCCTTAGGGTGGCCAAGACCCAGGGAGGGCCAGGAGCTGCGATGCTGTGAGCAGTGGCTTATCTGGGTCCCCTGCCACCCTGCTCCTCTCCCTCCTTGCCAGCGTCAAACGCGTGCGCGACAAGTATGAGACAGAGCTTTTGGAGCTGGAGCAGTCGGAGCGGAAGCTTCAGGAGCGGTGCACGGAGCTGAAGGGGCGTCTGGGGGAGGTGGAGGGGGAGAAAGAGCGTCTGCAAGCCCTGGTGCGGCAGAAGGAGAAGGAGCTGGAGGACATGCGGGCAGTGAGTGTCCCCAGCTCTTTCCTGTTACACAGCCTCCTGGCCTTACTGCCAGCTTGCCCACTGCCTCTGTTGTTCCTCAGGAGAACGCACAGCTGTCTGGTGAGCGCAGCAGTGTGACCCAGGTGGTCCGCCAAGAGTTTGCTGACCGACTAGCTGCCTCTGAGGAGGAGAATCGGCAGGTCAAGGCTGAACTGGCTGAGTTGCAGGCCCGCCAGCAGCTAGAGCTGGACGAGGTGCATCGCAGGTGGGCATCTGGGGACGGCAGGAGCTGGATGTCAGGTCATACAGGCAGGCAAGCAGGCAGGGCCCCCACAGTGCCAAAGCAGAGGGTATCACGGTCATAGAGGGCAATCAGGTCAGATGCCCTCTCTCCTTGTGTGGGATGCAGAGAGAGTCCCTGGGCAGGGCTTCCATTCCACATTTGTGGCTAGGAGGCTGGGCTAGTCCCTTGGTGGTACCTAGTTCCAGGGTGCTGGGAATCCCATGCGGTGTCTTCTGTTTTTGCTCCAGCAGTGCTGAGGGCCTCAGCCCATTGCTCCCCAGGGAGCAGCCCTGGACCCCTCAGGGGTGGAGGCATGGGAGGAGCAGACCTTGTATGGGAAGGGGCAAGCACAGGGAGGGTAGAGAGTGCCCCCAGGGACCCCGCAGCCCTCCTGTGTCTGCTACAGCCTGCCACTGGCCTGGAAGGTGAGCTTGGGGACTTCCTGCCCATCATAGCAGAGGCCCCACCCCAAGCCACTCCAGGACCCTACTTTGGGTTCTGATTCCCATGGAGGCCTCATTTTTGGGCAGTGAACCAGGGGCAGCTTTGGTGGCCAGGGCCGTCAGGGACCATGGCAGGAGGCTAACGTGCGGCTGAGGGTGAGTGCCGCAGGGATGCTCACCGTGCTGTGCCACAGGGTGAAGATGGCCCTGGCCAAGAAGGAGGAAGCTGTGAGCAGCCTCCGGAGGCGACATGAGGTGGGTCCCCGAGGGGCCCCCTTGTCACTCCACATCCCACCTGTGGTGGGGCCCACGCCTGACCCTGTCGTGTTTTCAGGCCGCAGTAAGGCGGGCTGACCACCTGGAGGAGCTACTGGAGCAGCACAAGCAGTCGCCTCTGAGTGGCAAGTGACGCAGGAGAACAGGCCCGCGCGGGCGCTGGGCCCTGAGGCTGGTGCCCAGGGGCTGCGCAGGGGTCGAGTGCTGGGTGAGCGCCTGTGCCCACCCGCTCAGGAGGCCTGTGGTCAGGGGACCTGCAGCTGTGTTTTATAGTAAAGAGCTGTGGTTTTTAGTGTTCTGTACAGCCTGCCTCTCTCTTATGAGCTGGGATGGGAGTGCAGCCAGGCATCGGTCTCCGTAGTCCCCGAACTGGTGTTCACAACTCCCTCCCTTCCCCATTCTCCCACAGCTCTCTGTCCAGGGTCTGCCTTACCCTATGGCCTGAAGCCTCTGGTCCTGTCTGAGCACAGAGGACCCTTTATTCCCAGCCTGGCTGGGCGGGAGCACTCAGATCTCACGCCCCAAAGGACCTTCTCCCCACCCCTGCGGGCCCTCAAAGCCCCCAGGCCACTGTTACAGGTCCTCATGGCTGGAGAGACTCCTGGGGGAATGGGCACCCCTCCCCGGATACCCCTCGCCATCGAGATGTGGTAGCCTAGAGACTGGATGGGGTGCCTTGAGAGCAGCACTGGCCCAGCCCGAGCACAGAGCACATCCTCTGCTCACTGCGCTTAGCCAGGATGGCAGCCCACATGGATGGAGGTGGAAATGGTGGGGGGAGCTCCAGGAAAGCCACCACATCCTAGATTGGCCTTGTGTCAGTAGGGACGCCACCAACGCGCTCCCAGCCCTGACAGAAGGACCTGTTACCCTGAACCTCTGTCCTCACCTGCAGCTGGGTGCCCAGCGTCCTGGAAAGACCCTTCGGGGATTGCAGGTGCTGCTGGTCACGTCTGGGCCTGCTCCGGGGGCTACTCGAAGATCTCATCCACCAGGCCCACGGCTGCCCAGCCCCTAGCTGATCACTCTGGGACATGAAGCCACCATCAACTGTTTCTTATCCTCACAGAGGAGCTGGCTTAGTCCCTGATCCCAGGCTGGGTTCTGGTGACCAGAGGCTGTAATGATATGGCGTCCCTCCCTGGCAGAGGGTGCGTGCAGGACCACCAGCTTCCACCCACTGAGTTCAGAGGGCATAGCCCAGGTCAAGAGGGAATTCAAACAGTGCGAGCTGCACACAGCCTGGGCATACAGGGCCCAGGGCAGAAACTGAGGCTTGGTTGGAAATGGCAGTTCCAGAGTCTGGCGAGAGCCAGGCAGGCCAGCACCGGACCTCTGTTGCCCTCTGTGCCCCTGGTCCTAGCTGCCTCTGCAAGTGAGATATTGAACAGACAGGGGCAAAAGGTGACCTCTGCAGACAGGCAGAAGGCCGTGGGACTCAGCCCCAGCCAGGGGGCGGCCCCTGGCCCCCGATCCAAAGGCTTCCGCTGCTCCACTCCTTCTGGGGTTCATTCGTTCCTGAGCTCCTTTGATTTGTTCGTCCTCCATGCATGCCTGGGTTCACTTACTCAGTTATTTGCCTTTCTGTTCCTTCCTCCCTCCCATCCTTTGTTCAGTTCTCACTGGTTCTCTCATTCCATTTTTCACTCCTTCCTGTCACTCCGGCACTCAGGCTTGTGCCCAGCATCCCCCAGGCACTGGCCTCCCACACCTGCTGCCTTCGCACCTCTGTGCTTGTTATTTTTAAATTCAAGTTTTGGTTGTCACGATCATCCGTCATCCGTGTGTGCCGCTAAAGGGAGGGACTGAGCTTCTGTCTTGCCCACGGCCCTCCTGTCAGCCACTCAGCGTGTCCCACACCCTGCCTGGGTGAGGTGTCCCTGAGGAGCCGGAGCTGGGGGAGGCAGGCAAGCCTGCGCTGGGCAAAGGGACTGAGACACCAGTTCTGCCTTCTGGTGATGACACGGCCAGGCAGGGGCGGTGGGGGCTGGACCCCCAGGGCTCTTGACACCTCAGTCTCCCAGCCCCTTCTAGCACTGTGTGGATGAGAAGACAGCACAGCGGGAGATGGGGCTGGTGTCACCCAACAGGCCACACACTGGAACGCCCCATTTCTGCCGTCTTGACGGCCAGGCTGTCTTCCCAGGCTTCGTCCTTTCCCAGCCAGGCTGGGTGGCGGTAGGGGCCTGGGGAGCGAACAGAAAGCCAGGAATTTAACAGTCCAGCTTTTCTGCCTTTACTTCCTTCCTTCTCTTTTCCTTGAGTCTGAGTTTCTGTTCTTTTTCTAACTTCTTGAGGATACAACTTGTAGCTCACTGGCTGCCAGTCCTTTTGCCTTTGAAGTAATTGAAGCCGCACCCACAAGGGTTGGTATGTTGTGTTTTCCCTATCCTTAGATCCAAAATATTTTCTGATTTTCATGGTGGCTTCTTTGAACCATGAACTGTGTAGACTGCATTGCTTTTCTTGTCTTTTTGTTTTTGCTTTCTGACTTGGCTTTCCTGTGGTCACAGAAAATGTTTCATCTTATTTCAGTCCTTTGACTTGTATCTGTGCAGTTTTGGTAAATGGTACACCTGTGTTTTTAAGAGGCTGTGGTTTGCAGTTGTCAGGCGCAGGGTGATATCTGTACCACCGAAGTTCAGGGAATCACTGTTTTCTGACTGCCACAGCCATACCGATTTCTTTTCCTACCTGCTCTACAGTGCTCAAGACAGGAGGGCTAAAATCCCCACCTTTGTACATCATCTCTTCCTCTCCGTGCTTTGCTCATTTTTGCTTTCTGCATTTGGAAACCATATTATTAGGTGTATACACATTAGTGCGATTGTGACTCCCTGTGGATTGACCCGTGTCCTTACAACCCGATCCTCCTCCACTCTAGAAGTGAGTCTGCCTTGAAGTCTCCTTTATCTGATCGTAGTTTAGCCGCACAGGCTTCCTGTGCTTAGGGTGTTGCCCGTGTATCTCTGCCTGCCTTTTTACTTTCTGTGGCCTTGTCATTAAGCATAGCACAACAGCAGCCACAGATAATATGCAAGCCACGTTGGGACGGTCACCTGCTGACCCTGACCCAGGGCCGGGCAGTGAGAGGAGGATGGACTGATCGTGATGGGCTCTGGTCTGGGAGGACTGACTGGTGGGGCTTTCCGACTCCTCCTGGGTCGCCCCACAGAAGCTCCCTGATGGGTACTGAGCACCTGGGAGTCTGCTGGGCCCAGACCAGCCACCGACTGCGAAGCACCTGGCGAGACCTGTGCCTTGGTGTCTGCAGGCTTCCATTTTCAGGAACCTCAGGACCTCATATCCTGGGTATTTTGTTTGCTTATAAAAAAACATAACTCATAGTGAATATTATGGTAGATTGAGGGGTGGGATTGTGGTGGGGAGAGACTGGGATGCTCGGCAAGGCAGGGGTTGTGTAGAGATCAGCCTCACAGGCTGTGGCATCTGGGGAAGACTGAAGAGAGAAGTGGTGTTCGTCAAGCTGCAGAGAGCACACTAGTCTGAGGAAGGGTGGGCCTGGAGGAGGCCACCGCTTTCTGTCACGGTAACCAAGGTTACCCCCCACACACACTGCTCACCCTCTGCCCCTAGATGGCACTTACTACACCAAAGGACCTAGGAGCCTCTGTGCTGAGGGCTGAAGGCTGACCACTAGTCCCTGGGGTCCTGTCTGGAGAACTCAGCAGAAGGGGAAGCCATGAAAGATGAGCACGGAGGGGAGCAGGACCAGAAATAGGGGGAGACAAGATGACAGTTGCCACCTGTGGTCTCAGGCCTCAGAGAGGTACAAGCGCCAGGTGCCTGAGCCATGACCATAGCTGCTGTGTGAAGTGGGAGGTGTGGGGCTGGGGACCAAGCCCAGAGCTGATGGGGAAGGGGCCCTTCAGGGTGAGAGGGAGGGTGGGTCCAGGAGACCTAGGTGTTGGGGCATCTCTGCGTGCCCACCTCCCCCGGGACCCCCTTGCCTGCCCTGCCAGCACCTTGCACACACACAGGACCTCCATGTTCGTTTGAAGTTGTTTATCTTCCATTTTTCTGGCACAAGTGGCATCTGTCCTCATGTCCTCTTCCTCTAACCCTGGTGACATCCACCCCTGTCCACCTCTTCCCCCGACAGCCCCGCAGGAACTCCCAGCAGGTCCAGGGCTGATCATGGGCCTATTTCTTCTTTGGAATTTTCTCATTGATTTCAGAAAACTCAAGCAAGAAACTGGTTTCACATAAACACCCTGTTTTCTCAGGCTGTAGGTCCTGAAGCTAGAGCAGATGAGGGTGCCTCTTCTATGAGGCTCTCAGTCAGGGGACCCATCCCCAGTGTCCAGTGGGTACAGGAGCGCCAGAGACCTCGACATTCGCCTTGAGCCAGACCCTTGACAATCACGTGAGGCCCCTGCGGGGACTCACAGTGACCTGGGTCCCTAGGGAGACCCTCAGGCATTCCCACCGGGCCTCGCCAAGTGGGGCTGTGATGCTGCAGGCTTTCTCTGTGAAAACTGAGCACAACCCTCCTTTAAGCCTTGGGCCACCCATGTGCCAGTCCTGGGAGTTGAAGATGGGGCTGTGAGACTTGGGGCAGGCTGAGGGCTGAGCAGTTGGGGAGCATATTAGGTGTACCCCCACCCGCCATGCAGTGCAGCATGCCTGCCAGCGGGTGATCACCATACAGCAGAGCTTGGCAGGGTTTCCCGACTCCTAGTTGAGCTCCCCTACCTTGTTATCAACCCTCCCATCCCCTTCTGCATTGACTGCCTGGAGCATGGTTTCGGCCTCCTCATCAGTTGGATGTGGCAGGCAGGATGTACCTGAGCTGAGGGAGGCACGAGTCCATCAGGGAGCTGCTGGGCAGTGCCCTCCCTGCTCACTCGGGCACATTACATTCGGTGAAGCTGCTCTGGTCCTTGTCTAGGGTCTGGAAGGCCTTGCGGATGGCTCTCCAGCTGCCCTGAGGCCTGTGCCTTCACATGTACTCAGAGAACTAGGGGTGGTTGAAGGGCCTGAGGCCATCTGGTCTCTGGTCACTGCATGTGGCCCAGCAGTCTAGTAGACAGTGCTGGCCTGAGCCCAGGGATGGGGCAGCAGTGCCTGTTCCCCAGTCCCCACCCACCAAGGTCATGATTTCCTGGGCTCACCAGTCCTGGGACACACGAAAAGTGTAATAGCTGGGCTTGAGCCCAGGGGTAGGGCAGCTGGCCTGTCTCTCTCTGCTGGCCATGCCAGGGTGTGCTGTGTCATGGTTTCTCATGTCTGCAGGGAGCACCTGTGTATCTGTGCCTGACAGGGATGTATTCAGAGCCAG